GACATGTGTATGTGTGTGTGTTCATGACTGGACCCTCTGATAACTACGAGTAGCTGTATACGCCTTCGACTTTGCGGGCCGGTGGCTCGAACTGTCCAGTGCGTGACTTCTTGGATGGACCCCAAAGGAAGTTGGCTCGACATTGGACCAAACGGTGCCGCATTGGCAAGCAAGGATTCCTATCTCGGGAAACAACGGGATTCCTTGTAAAGGAAACCATGTCTAAACATTACCTGAAACATATGCCCTACCCCGCTTCCCTGCTTGTTTACTTGTCTGACTATGTCGAGACTAGCGTCGCTGACGTGTCATGCCGCAAGTACATTGGGCCTTTCACTTCTTCAGATTGTCTGTTGTCGCTCTCAACTGCGCTGTTGCATGTTATTTAGCTGGGTGAACAACACCACATTCTGTTTCCAGCACAGGTGGAAATGGCGATTGTCGTGGAACCTTACTATGGCATTTATGCTCATTTATGCAACGATGGATAATGGTTCCAAAAGGATCATCAGCAGGGATCCTTACATTATACACCTGAACATTGCCTTGTCAATGGTGGTTTCCCCTTATCTGTGTGAAAAAAGCCATGTTTCAAATGGGCAAAATGTATCTTTTTAAGGAGCCCTGATCAGGCACAAGCGCAGCCTACAGCCTCTTCCAGCCGGGCCCCCCTCTTCGACCAGGCGCTGCGTTCCACATGACGATGCCGGCATCGGAGTCTGGCGAATCTTGCCTATGGCGAAAGGGCTTATGAATGTCAAAACAGCAACTGAGGTCAAGTAAATGGGGGGTTCCCCTGCCAATTTGGGGTGGCTTCCCAGCAGTTTGGTGTCCCTTTTTCAAATCATGCGGGCTGGGGGAGACCATATGAGTCACAATGAAACCCTGGTACCAAAATGGTGAATCACTCAAAACCAAGGCGGCTGCAACCATTTCTGGTTGGGACTGTCCCTTGCTGACCTTCAACAACCCGGGTTTTGATTGTGGCTCAACTAAGGTCACTCGGGTGCTCCCTGTGTCAGGCGCAACAACTGTCAAAATCGTGCTAAGGAAGTTGAATGGAATCGCGCCGGGCACTTTTTTCAGAATTTGTCAATTCAACATTGAAATCGCATATGAAATTGCATCTAGCTAAAAGTACTTACAATTCGATTCAAACTGGTTTGGAGAGGGTAGACCCCATCTAAGAAACCCTGGTTTCTGATGATTCCCCCCGTAAATATCAACAAACCATGGCTCCACCTCGGTTGCTTTCTGCTCCCCTGCCAAAAGTGAATAACTTTCAGCGGTTGAAATGGAAAAAAAAACCTTAGTTTGCCAACAGTTCTCAAGTCCCAACCTCTTCGCAAAATTTTCACCAAAGCCAAGTAGGGCCCGTAACCTCCCCGTTCCAAACGCGCCCCCTCCGAGACTCGCCACCACCAGTTCCCCGAAGCTCCGAGCCGCGCGGCCAGCAGCAGGCTGCGCTGCCAGCGCCCCGTCCTGGCCTCCGGTAGCTCTCACCGAAGCAGAACCCCCAAAAGGCAACAAACCTGAAGCCGCACAAAACAACAAACTACACTAAAACTAAAACACTAAAACAAAAAAAACAAAGAAAGGTAGGGTTGCTTGAAACACTAAAACAAAAAAAACTACACTCCCTACCCACAAAAAGAAGAGGCAAACACTGGTTAGCCAACCAGAAACAAAGAGACAAAGAACAAACTAAAGGCTTGCACAAAAAAACAAACCGAGGTTCTTTGCAGCCTGCCAGATAAGGAACAAAACCAAGAAACAAAACTAGGTCCTCCCGTAGAGAGGTTAGAATAAGGGCACCCTTTTTATGTAGTCGATTTTAGTAGGGGAACCCTCCCAACCAAAAAAGAGGAGAGAAAGAGCACTACCGGGGTACCTAGACAGGGATCCTTGCATTATACACCTGAACATTGCAACTTGTAAATGGTGGCTTCCAACTTTAGTTTGGTGTTTAACAAGCAACATGTTTGAAATGTTTGCAAAATGGAGACGTTTTAAGGAGTTTCCCTGTATTTTGGTGCTGAAACAGCAACATGTAACTCAAATGGATGGGCAAAATGGAGGTATCTTTTTTTCGGAGCCCTGCCAGAAAAGCATCAAAAGCCCTGATCCAAGCGCCGGCCGAGTAGCGCAGCCGCTGAGTGCCGCGGTGCGCATCGCGCCGTCCAAGGCGAGGCGCCGGGAGCCCGCGGCGCAGGCCAAATGCAGCGAGAGCGGCCAAAGGCCCACGCGCTCGCCTGCAATTTAGCGGTTTAATGGGGAAAAAACACTTTTCCCCATGAAAAAACAACTTTTCCCCATGAAAAACCCACTTTTCCCCACTTGTCCCCATGAAAAACCCACTTTTCCAACCAAAAGTTTGTCCAAAGATCCAACCAAATGGCAACAAAGATCTAGAAGTCTAATAGGTCCAAGGCCCAGGCGACCTTCTTCATGTTGAACCTATAATTTCCTGCTAGGTCCTCCAGTAGAGAGCTTAGAAGAAGTTGGTACCCGATGCTCTTTTTTTTCTGTTTCGCTGATTTTGGCAGGGGAACCCTCTCAACCAAAAAAGGGGAGAGAAGGGCAATTAGCTGGGAAACCTAGTTTTTTGTAGGCCGTTCTGGCGCTATTTTGAAAGTGTTCTAGGAGTACCTTCCCCATTCTTTGCAGGGATCCTTCTTTCTAGAAAACCTCCGGAAACCCAGGGAAAACGGCTGGTTTTTGAAAAGAACGATGGTTGAAAAGAATGGTGAATCAACCCCTAGAAAAGTCACCAAGCTGCGCTGGCCGTTTTCCGATCCTCCGCTAAAAGCGACAACTTGTGGCTGGAAATCTGATCCCCCCTTAAACGTGACAAACTTTTTGTGGCTTAAATATGGACATCCAACCACCAAACACTCAAAAGCTCAAAAGCTAAGGAACCGGATTGCTGGGAGCCACCAAGCAATGTGTCAGAAATTGCCCAGTGTTGATCTTGAGAAGCGACACACACCAAAAAGGTATTGCCGACCAGCAGCCGGAAATGGTGAAACAAACCCAAGAGCTTTGGGTTTGCAACGCGAATCGAATGGAGCAAGGAATGGACAGCGCCCGGTAGGGAATGAGTCCAAGCCCTAGTCCTTGTATATGGGTGCAAATCTTAGAGTTTTTGTGGGGGATCCTTTGGCCGACCTCATTTACGTTCATGTCCACCGACCACTTTGGAGGTGGTTCCCTTTAAACAAGTGATAGCCATATGTCGCTTAGGTGGTTTGAACATGGGCCAATGTTGCCCAGTGCATCCCAACTATCGGTTGCCCTTCGCATGCTCCTGTTGGGATTTGTTAAAGGGTACCGGGACGTGGACTCACTGGGTTGATCTAAAACAAAACTTGTGGCGGGGAGACGTTTTGTTTGTTTTTGTTGTTTCAAGGATAGAGGGACTCTGAAGCTTGAACATGAGTGTGGAAGGCCTTGCATCTCGAACGGAAGTTAGACCCTAGCAGGGTAGAATTTGGGTGTGTCTTGTTTAAGTTTGGACCCCCCTACAAGGTGCTCCCTGTGGGTTTCCCTTTGAAACCAACCAAAACTCGGTTGCTGTTTGCTCCCCTGCAAAAGTTTAACTTTTAGTACTTTAATTGTAAATCCATCCATTAGTTGGCAAAAAGTTAAAGTCCTAACATCCAAGCAAAATGCACCAAAGAAAAGGGGTGTTATTTAAATTTGGTGAAGGGAAGTGAACGGACACCCTACTGCGTTCTACACAGCTTTGGTCATCTTTCGGAGGCGAGAAGCCCTGCAGGTATTTATTTTTTGGCAGGTGGCTGTTTGTGCGGTTGGCCCCATTCTTTCCAGGGATCCTTCTTTCTAGAAAACCACCTAAAACCCTGGGAAAACAGTTGGTTTTCGAAAAGAACGATGGTTGAAAAGAATGGGGAATCAACCCCTAGATTTGTGGCAATCCCTAAAAGAGGAGGTATGCGTTTTGATATCCCTAAGGCTCCCTAAAAAACCCTGATCAGGAACCTCAGGAACCCGAAACAGGCTCTCAACTACCCGCCCCCCTTGTACCTGCTACTTAGGGATTCCTTGAGTATTTTGCAGGCCCAAACCCAAAAAAAACACCCCAGACTCTGATCGAAGGAGGCTGCAACTCGGTTGCATTCTGCTCCCCTGCTCAAAGTTCAACTTTCAGTGGTTTAATACGGAAAACCCAGTAGTTGGCAACAAGTTAGAGTCCTAACATCCCTTCGCAAGATGCACCAAGGGCAACCTAGACGACCCATTCGCGTCCATACCGGAAGTTCTGCCGTGCGTGGCAGGCCCGTCCGAGCGGCCGGCGGTGATCACGCTGCTGGTTGCCACCAGCGAAGGCACGGCACTGCTCAGGCGCAGGGCGCTGGCCCAGGCTTCCGAGGTCCTAAGGAGCCAAGCGGCCGTGAACCTTTTTTTTTTGGTGGCACTTGCAGCTATCAGTTGCAGGCCGTGCCGGCTTTCTTTTGACATGGCTGCTGCCTTTTTTGACTGTGCCCCTTTTGTGGTTTTCAAGGCACACTCAACAGCCAACCCCCACCCAGTTTGGGGGTCCCCCCAAAAATTAGCAAAGCACGAGCAAAACACCAAAGCGGGTCCAACTCCCTCTGCAAAACTCGCCAAAAAAAAATGAGGCTGAGAAACGGGACAACTGGGGGACACTTCCATTTCCATTCTTTCCAGGGATCCGAATCTTTCCAGACAACCATACGAATTGAGGGGAAACAGCGATCGGTTTTTGAAAAGAACAATGGTTGAAAAGAATGGAAAAGGAATGAACCCCTAGATTTGTGGCAATCCCTAAAAGAGGAGGTATACGTTTTGAGATCCCTAAGGCTCCCTAAGAAACCCTGATCAGGAACCTCAGGAACCTGAGTGAACCCCTAGAACCACTCGAAGCAAAAATTGGACCACGGGTCCATCGACAGGCGCCCACCGCCGCGCCGCAACTCACCTGCGGCTCAAGTTCGGCACGCGGCGAAAAAACGATCCGCAGCTGGGGCGCCGTGCGTGTTGGGGAAAAAAGGGGGGCAAGCCACATCGCCATGACAGGCCATGACACTCAAACTAACCATACAAGGGAAAAACAACCCCATCATTTTGTTTTGCAAGAACCTATTTGTGAGGTCACTAGAAAAGACGTTTCCTGTACAAGCCTTGGGTTACCTTGGTATTAAAAGACACACACACACACACATTGAGGGCCCCATGAGTCGATTTCAAACTACAGCACGGAGGTCGCGCGAACGGGCCCGGGGTGTTGCAAAAGGTTCCGGTTTGTTCCAACCAACGTTGGAAGGGGCCCAGATTGTGTTTCTTGTTTATTCTTGCTTTTTGCTGCCCAAGGCAAGTATGCCGGGCTTGCACACATCTTCTTGGTTGCTGCTGACCCCTCTGCAACAAGCTGTCAACTTTCTGTGGGTATGGAATATCTGACCTGTTACAACCGAAAAGTTCTTAAGTCCCAAGATCCATGGCCAACTATAGGCTTCCCTCCAGTTGGTGGTTTGTTTGGTGGTGTTCCGGAGGGGCTTCCCGTTTACCCTCTACAAGAACCAGGGGTTCAACTCCTCAAACCACCAACCAAGGATTGCACCAAGGATTGCCCGAGAATAGCCAGAAACCCATAAAACCAAAAACCAAAAGAAGCCCAAACAGATCCCTCCCACATAAGCCATAAACAAAAGCCACGTTTTAGATCTGGCAAAAAAAAGGAAGAGGACACAACGGCGCGTTTTGCCCCGACCTCCCCGGCCTCGTTTTGCTGCAGCCCGTGCTCCGCCATCCGCTCCAAGAGCTGCAGCGCCCACCGCCACGAATCCGCCGACGCATCCGGCGGCGCTCCGGCGGCGCTCAGGGCGCTGGTGGCGGAGTGCGGGTCCAGGGCCGCGCGGCCGAGGTGCAGCCTGAGAAGCACCCCTGGATCCCTTGGCCAGTGAGCCAACCAAAACTACCCACTCCAAATACACTCAAGGGTATGATGTCGACCCTCTAATTGCAAAGGAGGTATTCACCCAAAAGGGGCGATCGATTCGGTTCTTAGTAACTTGCTGGTTGCTGGTTCAATCCTTGGGTTCAAGAACAATCCTGAAGCTGAGAAGCTGCACCCCTAGCTCCCCTGGAAAATGAGCCAACAACAAAAATAAGCTACACTGGAAAGTGGGCTCAAATTCTGGAGCCTGGGTCATCTGGTTCTCTTGGTGTAGGGTCTTTACCAAGCTGCATCCTGGGCTACGCTCCCAATCCGAGTGCATGTTAGATACTTACTAACATGTACCCTCATGACGGGTCAAATGCTGGTCAAATCTTGGCCAGTTCGCTACACCCTGCTTAAAGAGGCGATCGATGCGGTACGTCAGGCAAGTGTTTTTTGTGTCATGGTGAGATAAACCACAAAAGCCATGATTATAACACATGCTATAACAAAGCTTACTAACCACTTACCTGACGTACTCGATCGTATCTGTAAGTGGGCTCTCTGTTTGCTAATTGTGAACAACTTTTAGTGGGTCAAACGAAAACCCCACCACTTAACCAACTCGAAAACCTGAAAGCCTAAGGAAACGGACGATTCGCTGGAAACAGCCAAGCCTGCAAATGGGCGTGTCTTCTTTTTGGAGTCGGTTCAATTCATCCAAACATATCCAAACAAGAATGGTCCATCCAAAACGTTGGAGTTGGTACCCCGTTGTTTGTGCTCACGCCGCCACTAACGGCGCGGAGCATTTCGCACAGTTTTATACGAACACGTGCCTTTCCCGCTGTGCTGGTCGACGCCTTGATGACTTTGGTGGGGTGGGGTGGGGTGGGGTGGGGTGGGGTTGGGTAATAACGTACGGGACACAAGTTGCTCGCATGCCTGCTGTTGTGTGGTTTAGGCACAAGCTTAGTCCCAGACACAGCATCACGCAGGCCGAACTTGGATTTGTATATTCCCTAGCGTGAGTCATTGAATCTTGCTAATTACAACTGGTCCGCCGAAGGCTCCAAGACTATGACGTACACTTCAGTTCTGTGAGCCATAGTTCGCTGCAGTTTGCCAAGAATGTTCTCTTGCCTCGGGATCTTTGAAAGGATGGAAAGACGTGCAGCAGTGGCTGCCGCCTTGTGTCATGCTACGAAGAAGGGCGGGCTGAATCCTGAGCGGTGGCGATACTCGCATAGTTAATGTCCACCTCTGAATAATAAATAGCCCACCCCCCCTCAAAGACCCTAAATAAAGTTAAGGGGACAAATTTCAGGGTCAGGAAAAGTTTGGAATGTGTTTAGTATTGGGCTCTGTTTTTTTGGTTTTCGTTACTACTTTAGAATTGGGCCAATTCTAAAGTAGTATTGGGCATGTTGCTGCTTTTTTTGGGGGATTGTTTTAGATGTATTTAGGGGTAGTTTGTTATTAGGTTGGGACTAATCGTAGGTGGACATTGCCAATGGCGGCACAACACGCGTGATTGCTTGTAGCAAGCAATGCCGTAGTTATTTCATGACCAGAAATCCCTGATTGGGCGTTTGCCAGGGTTGTGAATTCCTCTGCGCCGTTCGTGGCGGCGTGACCTTGTTTGTGGTTTTTCGGAGGGTCTTTATTATAAAAAAAAGGACACGCCCAGATTAACATTGAACCCCAAAAGGGGGTCCAAGAAGATTCCTCGAATGGACAAATGGGTAATTTTTACTGGGCTCCGTGTGAAGTTGGAGGAGTCCAAACACATGGGCCGACCGATCGTAATAAACCTTTGGTGCCTCTTTTTGGACCGGAGACGGCGACTGTTCTCTTCGTTCTTTGTTGGGGGGGGCGAGGGTGGGTGGATTGGGGATTCCCTTTCAGCAAATGTACAACGTAAATCGAAAATCAGAGCTGTGGATGTCAAAAAGGGGCACCCCGCAGTTGAGCTCGGGATCCAGGAACAAAGGGAGGTCGGATCAACCAGACAACGTTCGCGAAAATCTAAGAGAGCCAAAATACCCGCCCAGGCTGTTCAAAATGGAGGGCCGGCCAAGACATCGGAAATCACCACCCCCAGCGGAAATCACCTCAAAGAGGATTCAGGGAAGGATTGAGGATTGTCTTGCGGCCAAATACCCACCAAATAGCAACCAACTACCAGCCAAATACTAATACCCGCCAAATACCTGCCCTGTACAGGCCATAGAACCATAAGGGCATCTACCGGAAGTTCGCCTACCAACCAAATAGGAGCCCAACTGGATTCGTTGGCACTCTCTTGATTTGTAGTTTGCACTCAGGAAGTACGTGTGATTTTGTGCCTTTCCTTGACACCCAATACGGTAAGTATATGGCAACACCCCGACAAGGGCTGAGAACACTGTTGAAAGATCTGAGCACCTTCTCCACCGTGCCAAACAAAACTCACTTGCTGAACGTAGACGTCCATATATGAACCCCTGGTATGAAGCCCTAGTTGATGGGTTAGTGAACCGTCACTGCCGGCTCAATTATGGGAAATCAGCCCCCTTTGGGGCCATGGGTTCATACATGGATCTAGACAATCAGCCCGAGAATCCGCAAAAAAAGGGGCCGCCAAGCTCTGCCCATCGCAGTCCCTTTGCCAAGCCACTCCTCCAAGAAGTTCCCAGACATCTGCCACTTGCAGCATGCCAGAGCCGGGCTGTAGCTGAAGACATCGGCAGCAAACCTAGACGCATGCGCAGCTGTTGGTGAATATATGTGCATAGATATATATTATACATATATATATATATATGTATATGTAGACGCTCCCTCCCACTAACACTGCACCTGACAGAGGGTCCCTTCAAGAGGAAATTGGTCTTCCAGGTATCCTCCCACAACTGCAATAAACAAACAAACCCCGGCAAGTGCAAGGTGATTTCTTTGGTGAGTTAGGCACATCATGGATTTACCTTCCCGTCCCCCAAAACCCAACCAAAAAGGTGCCTTTATCTATGGTCCCATGACATTGAATGGGGGATCGTGGAAAACATCAATCTGGGCCAACCTGCTTCATGTTCACCCCCCCTCCCGGAATCCATATTCCAACATGTTCGCAAAAAGCCAGTCCTAAAAGGATCCCGACTTCAACACATCCACGCGCATCGCGCCTTAAAGTCGGCATCGCCAGTAGCAGCACCAAGCACTGAGGCCAAGCGTCACCTGCGGGTGGGTATTTTAATAACCAAGCACAAAGGGTCCCACCCTTCCCAAACTCTACGACTCTTGGTATGGTGGCAAAAAACTGTTTTTTGCAGCCCCAAGTAACAACACTTGCCAAGAACAGTGAAGCATTTTTTTGAGAGGAGTGTTTTGGAAGACGACTTTTCCTTTCGGAGGAAAAAACAAACTTCCATGATTGTTGGAAAGAGGCCACCCCCATTCTGCTCTCTGGGCCAAACGCCGGCCTCAAGGTGGAACCATTGTTGTACTTACTTAGCCTTCCAAGAACAGTGAAGCATTTTTTTGAGAGGAGTGTTTTGGAAGACGACTTTTCCTTTCGGAGGAAAAAACAAACTTCCATGATTGTTGGAAAGAGGCCACCCCCATTCTGCTCTCTGGGCCAAACGCCGGCCTCAAGGTGGAACCATTGTTGTACTTACTTAGCCTTCCAATTTCTCAGGTTCCACCTGTGTCACCTGTTTCAACCAAAAAGCTAAAGTTCAAAATCCAACTTAATAGCCATAAAGACCTCCATTTGCCGTAGAGTCTCCTGAAGAAACATAAAGATATGTCCTGTAGTAGTGATTTCCCTTTCAAACCAGCAGGGGAACATGTAGAATATTCTTCAGGAAATGAAAGCTCTTGAAAGGACCCACGGTCCGCTTTGTCAGACGGACTTCACCCAACCCTCGGCCAAGTTGATTGGAAGTCGCAAAATCGGGGCGTTCTCTGACACAAGCTGACCTGATTCAAGGAAACGCGCACAAGCAAAGACTCTTGCAGCAGCATTGTCCTCCAACTAGTGTCAGTGATTCTGAACTGTTCAAATACTGCTAAGCTCAGAGTTATGCTGGATTCCAGTGAAGAACTATCCACTCAAATGTGAAGAATCCCCCTTTCGATGGTGCGCACAAATCGAAACCAGAGGGAAACTAGAGGGACATCAGCCACTTCTCATACAAACCAGCGACAACTGTTGAACTTCCTGTAGCTGGCTTCGGAGCTTCAAGAAAAAGACACCCCATCTCAACTATGTGGAGCTCCAAAACGGACTGTGGTTCTCATGTTGGTTTCCCTTCAAAGCCACAAAGTGGTACCAACTCCCAAAACCAGACACACCCAGAAGGCACACTCATGGCATACTCATGGCATCCAAGTTGTAAGGATGTCAGCAACCCGGCCTCGGGCGCAGGCGCTAATGCTGCTGTTACAGCTGATCGAGTCCAGCTCCTGCCCCACAAACCAAACGCCCGAAATCCGTGGCCGTGGTCAAGACTCCTTGGGCCTACTGTGGATGGTTGCGAAATCCGTTCGCACCACTTTGAAAGTATTGGACACCGTTGTTGGTACTTGCAGGGGAATCATCAGAAACCCGGGTTTCTGAACGGTGCGATTTCTGGATTTCGCGTCACCCTCCACACCTGTCCAGGAATCTTTCGAATAGTTAGCCCAAAGGAACCGGCTGGCAAAGGGTCTGGATGCGCTTGTGGATTTCACCTTCCACTGGTCTAATACTCTTTGAGTACTCTTTTGAAATCCTACACTGGATCCACAGATTTGGCGTACCCAAACCGAGCCCTGTCGTTCCCTCATTGCCAGGATGACCTCAATCCCCGATTTTGTGACCGCCACAGCCATACTGTGGATGGTTGCGAAATCCGTTCGCACCACTTTGAAGCCATGGTTGAAACCATTTGTTTGTTGGTATTGACAGGGGAATCATCATTCCATCTTAGGTGGTGCTAACTGGATTTTGTCCATCCACGGTATGCAAAGCGTTCAAGCCCATCATAGAAGCAATTTCTGGATTTCTGGTGCGATTTCTTAGGTGGTGCGATTTCTGGATTTCGCGTCACCATCAGTAGGTTGTCTCCACTGACCCAACTTGGCTTCGGTAATTATCCTCGGAGCGGAGAGGCGTTGAGCATGCAAGTGGCGGACCTCCCCTTCCAAAAGGATCCGTAGGTCAACAGGGACACCCCCAAAATGGCGCGAGTAAATGGAAATATGGGGCGATTTAAGCGGTCCAATTCCCGGTCTAATTTTGAACCATGGTCAAGTTCCACAAATTTGGGGCATGGGAATGTGAGCGAGTCCCTGAGTTGTCTCAAATTGAAACCTGAGGTCAGTAACGGGTGCCAAACACATGCCCATACGTTCACCAAGTCAAAAGGGCGCCAAACAACTTTCCTGCGTCACTTTGTTTTCTGGCGGGTGTCCTTTTTGCTTCCCTTTCAAAATCACTACAAAGGAGTTCAGGAGGAGCACACTCCTAGTAGATAGAATTTTCCCAAAAATAGACGGTAGTTACGAAAATAACATGCAAACAGCAGTCGCAGGGTGCCAACAGGAGGAGCAGATTTTCGTGGGACCTCCGTCAACCCCCGCGCGCCTGGGCCATTCTCAGCGCCTGCAGCGCCTTGCGCCAGAGCCGCGCTCGCTCCAAGCAGGCGAGGGCCGCGTTGCCGGTGATGAGATCCGCGAGGAGGGCCCTGGCCATGGAAAGAGACATGGCTCGTGCAGGGGGGGGGTGTCCTTTTTGCCACCTTTTGTGAGAAATGGGCGATTCTCTAAAAGAGGAATCCTTCACTACAAGGGGGTCGATCATCTTTCCACCAAGGGTTGCAAAAAGCCCCCCCTGGGCTCATGAACCCAGGCTGTGCCCTGAAAGGAAACAGGGATCCGGATGCATTTTTCACCGGAACATTGCCTTGTAAATGGTGGTTTCCCTGTATTTTGCTGGAACAAGCCATGTTTCAAATGGGCAAACTGGACATCTTTTAAGGAGCCCTGGGAAACCACAAGGGGATTGGAAAAACAAAGGTCATTCCATGTCTCATTCCCTGAGCACCAGCAAGTTTCAGTTGGAGGGTCATTTTCAAGATGTCACTTTGGATCTTCAAGGGAAACCCAAAGGGGGAAAGCAGCCATTTAATTTTGTTAACCCCCTAGTTTCCTTGTTGGTGCTCAGTAGAGAATGAGGGAATGAACCCAAAGGGAAAATCTAAAGGGGAAAGCAACCATCTTGGAGGGCGGATTTTAGCCCCCTGGAGAAGACAGCATGTTCTTTTTGGCGATAGGTTGCCTTTGTACCATGAAACCTGGTGCATGTTTGACCTCAACCTCCGTCGGAGGGCAAGTGTCATGTCACTTTGAGTCGGCTCTCCAGGAAAACCACGGACCATAAGTCACGTACCCTATCCACAAACCAGGACCCCGAAACGGCAGGTGCCACGGCAACGTGCACAGGAGGGTAATTGGTGTTCGTGACAAACCAGCCAAACATCAAAGCCAGCAAAGCCAAGCAAGCAAAACCATCGAAAACCAACCCCAACCCCAACCCAACCAACCTAAACAACCCCAACCCCAACCCAACCCCCCCAAACCCAATCCAAATCCAACTCAACTCAACCCCAACTCAACCCCAACTCCAACCCACACAACCAAAGAAACCCAACCCCAAACCCAACTCCAACCCACACAACCAACCCAACCCAACCCCAACCCTTCCCGCCACCACTTCACACGCCTGGATCCCAACAAGTCCAGCGCCGCCGAAGCGCCGCGCCAGGCCGCCTTCCGCTGCGCCGCCCCGCAGAAGGCCCCGAAGTGGAAGGCGTTGAGACGCAGGTCGTGAGATCCGAGGTCCTGAAGCGAAGAAACCAGTTGCACCCCCCCCTTTTGTGAGGGATTCCAGTGGCTGAGCAGGGAAAAGATCTGAAAATCTGAAGGGGGGTGTTGATAAGAAACCTGCTGCGGATGGTTGCGAAATCCATTTCGCGCCACTTGGAAACCATGGTTAAAACCATTGTTTATTGGTATTTACAGGGGATTCATCATCCCAGGGTTTCTTAGGTGGTGCAGGATAGTTGGCCATGGGGCATAACCTATGGCTCCATTTTGGGGTGGATGAACATCCATTTGGCACCTATGTTGATGTTCACCAGGGGTGCAGGGTTTTGACCCACAGCCATTTGCATCCATAGAAACATCAAAAAAAACAAGAGAGAGGAAAGTAAAAGAGACAAGAGAAAGGGAAAGAGAATAGACTAAGAAAACGAAAGAACAAGAGAAAGAGCCATTATATAGCTCTATGATTTGAAACGTCCGGCTTCGCCGGCTACTCGTTAGTCGGGATTCAGATATGCTGGGTTTCCATTGCCCAGGTGCTGACTCAATCAATGCTTCAAGCAACACAACTCGCAACATTGACTTACTCTTTGTGTGACCCGGCTGTTCGCAGGTGTGCCATCAAACTCGGACTAGGATCTAAATCCAGACAATCCCAACCGATTCATTGGGGCCAGTCGGTGATGCGCTCTTTGTGTTTGTTTGGGGTCATTCAAGACATGCTCTGCATCCTCCGAACCAACCAAAAACAGGCGGTCTTGCCGCAAGGAAGACCTTCCCCTGATGCACAAGCGAAACCAGCGCATCGGTACTCGATGGACGAAATCCGTTAAGCATGGTTGAAACCACTAGTTGTGGGTATTTACAGGGGAATCATCAGATTCTTAGGTGGTGCGAAATGGATTTCGTCCATCCACAGTAGGACACCTTTTGGCGGGTGCCAACAATGGATGAGGTCTTGTTTTCGGCCAAACCTTGTGGGTCCCTTTGAAGTAGTATTGGCTGGCAGTCGGGTTTGTGGGGTTCCCCCATCCACTTGCCAAAGGACCTAAAAATACACAGCTACTCTTTTGGGAGTTTGACGAAGTTGCTAAATAGGAACACCCAGCACATTGAAAGGTCGGTAATGAACCTGGGCTGTCCAAACTCTCTCGTCTGGGAAACGTGTGCAACGCACGTGTCCCACAAGAAGACAAGACTTGGACCCGCAGCTTTTGGCTTTTGGGTACCCATTTTCAAGTGGGCTGCAAGAAAGGAAACCAAAGGAACACCACGCCTTTTTGGGGGTCGACTACAAAACACGCGCCCGTTACAAGCTCGGTCCCTGGGTGAACACACCAAGTTTCCCCAAATCCAAAGGCGCTAGCTCGAGCCGAAGAAAAGCCGATGGAGAGAAAGCTGGTACATCCAGCCCTGTCACTGAATGACGAAAAGCGTTACTATAACTCGAGCATTTGGGAATGCCGGGGAAGCCGGAACACGTGCTGAATCAGATCCTGATTTGGCCTCCATTTCCCAATCCAAACTGTTCGAGTCTGTTACAGAGATTCAAACTACCAATTGGACTTCCCGTTCGCGATTTTTTGTGAGCAATGATCACGTCTGAGCATTCCCTGTTCGCACGCTCGCTTGCGTGCTGTCATGAACGAAACCACACATCTGCTCGCTCCAACGAGCGCCGAGAAAGGAACCAGCTCGACCAAATAGTCTTCCCCACCCAGTGGATCCAAGCTACCCCTATGGGGGTAGTTCCCTTGGCTACCAGCCAGATTGTTCTAGTTCCCTATAAAGGTAGTTCCCTATGGGGGCAGTTCACCATCCAGAGAACCAGCCATGATTGTTCATTTTGGCTGTTAAACGGTGGCATGCCCTTGGCTACCTGCGAAATGGACCGTTTCAAGTCCCAAGAGGCTTGCTCCGACTGGCCCAAGGCTGGAAACTCAGACCCAGGAAAGGAGAAACCCTGAAAACTCTAACCCCCCCACCAAAAAAATATATGAAGAAAACAGAGAGGCAACAACGGCCAACAAGTGCCAGGCTTGTGGGCTCTCCTAAACTTGAGAAGTGTCTCAAAGCTAGGGCCCCACCCCGTTTCGGGGCGGTTGGTCTCCTTCTGGCTTCAAAACCATCTAAAAATCGGCGCGGCTCCTGTTTTGAGACACTCACTTCCTGACTGGGTTGGCAAAAACGGTCCAAACTTGTTGTTTGCCCCCAAAACGAGTCTCTAAACCCGCAAAGTGGCCCAAGTCCATGAACTCAGGGAGTGAGGCAGTAAGCCAAAAGACTCCAACTCCCGCACAAAGTTGAGAAGTGAGCCCCAAGAAAAAAACGGACTTCATGTACCAGGCCGGTAACTTCACCAGTGGAAGCAGAACCGGTGTGTAAATGCTGTTCTTCTCAGCCTCCCCGACCAGTTCTTCTCTTCTTTGTTAAAGCGCAACAAGGCCCCCCTCTTTTGCTATTTCTGGAAAGATTCGGATCCCTGGAAAGACTGGGGAAGTTACCCCTAGACTTTTTGAGACAAACCCCAGAGGCCAACACAACCTCCCACTCCGCCTGCAAGAGGCGCCAGGACTTCCGAAGATCCGAGCCGTGCCGCAGCCGGCGCGTGGCGCGCCGGGACTGGCGGGGCAGCTGAGGTACGGCTGGCTGGCACGGCCGGCAAGGAACTTCCTTCCATCCTTCCTTCCTTCCTTCCTGAATTTCTTCCTTCTGTCTCCCGTTCTTCGCTTCCTTCCTCCCCAAAAAGTGGATTCTGGGGTTCCTCTTCGGTTCCCGCGACAATACCGGGCTTCCCCCAAAAGCCGCACAACACGCAAGATCAACCAATGGAATTGTCAACATCGCTGTGATACCAAGGTAGGGATCCCAGCCATAGCCATGACGTCATCACTTTCGATCAGCTGTCCTTGGGCCACAGAAATGACACGTCCACCCATGAAGACGAAGGTCAAAATCCCGTACCACCAGTGAACATCCCAATCCCCACTAAAATAGACCAAAATGCGTGGTGAATTAATTCACCTACCCCGAAATGGGATCCCCCATTGGTTTTGACCCACAGCCACATGAGCATGGCAAAGGGGAGCCATGGGCAGCCCACTTCGAGGGGTGTGATCAGTCAGAGCCCCCCTTCGATCATGAGACGTGGAAGTCATCTTAGGCCACTTTAGGGCTCAAAAGCCGCTCCGACAAAAGCGGGCGCGTCACACAAAAAGAAGAATCATTTCAGCAGTTAAGTGGGGATTTCCCACTAAACCACAATAATATAATAATAATATAAGCAACATGTAAAACCTGTTTCCCAACAACAACCCCACGTTTTGAACACCACCCCCCCTTTTAACCACACCACCCCCCTTTTTGGGGGGGCGCCACGCCACAAGCGACACCTTTGGAGCTCGCAGCTTGCGATCCAGACTTCCCGGCCTCTTCCATGCCGCATGAGGCCACCTCATCGAGACCAAGCGGGGAGCTGGGCGCCGGTTTTCGGGGGGCCCGTTTTTCCGATCCCCCGCTCAAAGCGACGAACGTTTTTTGTGTTTTTTTCCATGGGAAATACCACTAAACACTAAAGAAGTGACAACACTTTAGTGGTTTAAACTCGGAAAATAGCACGAAACACTGAAAAACATAACAGGCTGAACCGGATGGCTGGGAGCCACGAAGGTTTTACCCCCATTAATTGGTGTTGAGGCCACCGCGGCGAGCTTTGTGCTGGCTTTCTTGTTTTCACCGCTTAAGTCGACTGAGCGGTCATGAGGACCATTTTATTTGGGGACCTCCATAATACTGTGGATGGACAAAATCCACTTCGCACCACCGAAACCCTGGCATGATGATTTCCCTGTGAATACCAACCAACAATGTGTTTTCATGAAATCACGTGGTGCGAACGGATTTCGTCCATGCACAGTAGAGAACCAAAAATTATCTGGCATCCGCCGGGCACTCTTCGGTTCATATTTGCTTCCCGAGCACGACTGCATCCGCTCAGACACCATTGCGCTCTGCCATCGGGGCTCGCCAGAGCACTCGAAAACCGGTTTTGTTTGCAAGACGTCGGGCGTGATTGAGTTTCGTTCAGCTCTTGCGGTTTGACAAGAATCCTTACATTACACACCTGAGCATTGCCTTGTAAATGGTGGTTTCCCTTTATGTTGGTGGAAAAAACATGTTTCAAATGGGCAAAGTGTACCTTTTAAGGAGCCCTGTTTGAGGTTGGCGCTCTTGCATCTTTGTGTATAGGGAAGAGGCGTTTGTGGCTTTCTGTTCGGTGCTGTACGATGCCGGCCTGTTGCTACCTGAGGATCATTCAACACATTGGATGCTGAGCCTTTTGTCCACCAAAGCTGGAGAGGACCGATTGCAGCGCTGGACTCCGCAGAATGTAGCCCTCTTCTTCTTCTCAAGTCGGGCTTGACTTTGGTGTGTCTTCTCTAAACCTCTTTGTTGGCTTCGTTTAAGGGACTTCCCCTGTTTGAGACGTACTCAGCAACAAAGAAAGCATTTAATCGCAGATGGAAAGGTCCTTGAAGCTGAACAAACAAATATCACTTGATGATACATATATATATATATATATGTCTTTTTGACTGGTTTAAAAACCTAGTATCTATCTCTGATATGTCTTGCCATCTGTCAGTCAGTCATCTCACCGCATGTCCCCTGCGGGTGGGACCCGCGTTTGCGGGGGAAATAACGAAGCAACAACACACTCATTGCAAAGAGCAGTTGAGCAGGGCAAACCAAAACGACAGGCTGGTTCTACCAACATGGTTCAAAAGGTTTAGCTACTTAAGCTTCACTGTCCCATTCAAAGCAGGTAGAAGAACCAGAATCGAAAATTGCCAATAGCGGGTTTGGGCGCTGCTCGGTTGAAAGCTGAGACTTGAGTGACACTGCCTTGTGCGAATGGCTCTTCAAAACAGATTGACTGAATGGCTCAAAACAGATTGCTGACTGACCCGTCCCAAGTCCAAAGAACATGCTTATCCCCTCTGAATTTGCTAACTAGAGGAGTAATTTAATGACCACCAACCGGGCATACAAATAGAAACCGGGCATACAGATAGAGCCCCTTCATGGATGACCGCCAACCGGACATACAGATAGAGGCCCTTCATTTTGTTGAACTCTTTTCACCCCAAGCTCGCTCGTCCTTTTCTGACGCGTCCTAATCTCGCTCGGAGACATCTGGCTTGTAAAGTCCCATGCGGCTGCTACACACGTCAGGGTGCAGCAGGGTGGGCCAGCCACGAAACCGAAAGAAAACCGTTGCTCTGGGGTTGGTCTAGACCCGCTTGGTGATGGGTAGCGGGAAAACCGCAAAGCTACAGATAGTCAAGCTCACACAAAGACCTACCAAGCATTCATGTAGAGTGTCCTCATAAATGGGACTCTGGCACCAAACCTGCTGAAGCCCTGATGTGCCAAGAAAACTGCTCAGCAAAGGACATCAAGCATCTTACAAGGGCCCATCAATTAAAACCTGACCTGATCGCCAAGAACAAGTCTCCCTCTCCACACACTTTGACCAGAATTTGGGAGCGCCGGATTTTGCATGGAAGCGGATAGTGAGCGTCCGAAAGGGAAAGTCGTCGTCCAAAACCCTCTTGTCAGCTTCCGTTGAGGCACTTGAAAGCGGGTCATATCAGGTGGGCCCGGCAGAAACTGGTCCTGTTTCACATGTGCCGCGTCAGCTATGCACGTTTGGCGGAGATGTTGTTCTTGGCAGTTGGCCATGGGCATTCCAAAACTCTAGGCTGTGCATCCACATTGTGGATGTGCTCAATGGGCTTGTCCGCTTCTGGCTGCTGTTCCAAAGGAACCCGAATAAAAGTGACTGAACAGGGCCATATACCCTACATCCAACAAAAACACACACAGATTCCACGACACACAAACAAAAAGACAACATGAATCGCATATATTCCATATATTCCATGAATCACATATATTTCATGCATCCTTCCATGAATCACCTAAATTCATATCTTCACTTCAACCCCCCCCCCGCAATGGCCCATGGCCCACGGGGGGCTGTCACGGCTGTCACGGCTTCAGCTGCGCCGCGGCGCGGCGCTGCAGAGGGCCCAAGATCTCCGCCGCGCGGCGCAGGCCGCTGCGCGCCCGCCTCGGAGCGACTCCACCCGTTTTGAGGGAAGCTGACAGTTGGGAAGTTGAGACCCCTGGCTTGTATGGGAAATTCCCAACCAAACCAAAGCAAAATGCGCCAACGTTGTTGTTGTCTAGGTCCTCCAGATTTGCGAAGTTGGAAGAAGTTGGTACCAACTTTCTTCTGTCTATTTTAGTAGGGGAACCCTCCCAACCAAACGTTTAACTTTTAGTGGTTTCATGGACAAAACCCACTTTTCTCATCAAAAACCAACTTTTCCCCAAAAGTAAGTCCAAAGATCCAACCAAATGGCAGCAAAGATCTAGAAGTCTACTAAGTCCTCCAGATTTGAGAGGTTAGAATAAGTTGGTACCCGATGTTTTTCTCTGGACGTCGATTTCAGGGGAACCGAATCTCCCAACCAAAGGGGAGAGAAGGGGCACTGGGGGACCTAGCCCATTTTGAGGGAAGCCATGGGCGGGGGAGGAGCTGGACGCAGTTCGGGCAAATTGCAATGGATGTCGAGCTTTCAATGGCTTCCAATACTTGGTTGCTGCAACGGCCCCTCTGCAAACAGCTTCTCACTTTTGGTGGGTTTGATGGAAAGCCCCTTGATTTCTCAAAAAGCTAAAGTCTAAAGATCCAACCCAATAGCAGTCAATAATGGCTTCCTATCTGTCCATATTTTGCTTTAAATGGCTGTAGTGGTCAAAAATAGAGGGTAGGCACACACAAACTCCATCATGATCAATACCATGTATTTCATCAGGATCAATACCACGTATCTTATCATTATCACTATCTAAGGTGTTGTTTAAATCAACTCAGCGATTCCATTACCATGCATAGGCAACCAAGGGCCAGAACCACTTTTCCAAAACCCAAAAAGGAACATGGCGAAGGGTACCCACTATGGTGGTTGGGATGCGCTGGGCGTGTTTGCTTGCGTCATAGAAACCATCAAACCAGGAATGTCTCATGTCATGTCTACAGACAAATCGCCCAATACCCGTTTCGGTATGAGGAAGCCCACCTGAGCCCACCTCCATTGAGCCAAACCCGCTGCATGCCCCCCCCCCCCCCCCCGGTACGAAGTGCGAGGTGCGTGTAGCTCCAGGAGAGGAGGCTCAGTGCCACCAGATCTGGCTCCAACTGCCCTGGGCTGCGAATTTGGAGCCCAGTCACAAATGGCCATGGGGCAAAATCCAAATACCCCTCGTGAACATCCCAATCCAATCCACTAAAATAGGTTCTAACATGCCCCCCCCCACCCCAAACAGGCCTTTTCGAATTTAAATGCCAGAGCCTGCCAGCGTCGACGAATGGCTGCTCAACATCGGGGAGGTTTCCCTTCCTGCATCTCTTGAAAGTTAATCATTCCCACTCCAAAAAGAAAAAAAGTACTTTCTTCCATGCTGGTCTGATAATTTTCCCTCCGTGTTGAAATGCCCGTTCGGGTAGTTCCGACTGCTCAGGCATCCGTTCGGACCCGTTCGGACCCGTTCGGAACCCGTTCGAAACCCGTTCGAAACCCGTTCGAACCCGTTCGGACCCGTTCGGACCCGTTCGGACCCGTTCGGAGGTGCGTAAAAAATACGCCAACATTACGCAATAAGCCTTTGATAAATTATGTGCAGCGCTGATTTATGAACACTTCGATGGTGGTGAAAATATCCGTTCAAGAGTAGAAATACCCGTTCGAAAGTGGAAATCCCCGTGTCCTCAGGCCAAAAAGTACTTTTTCAATTTTGGAGTAGGAATTCTTAACTTCCAGGAGATCCAGGTTGGGGCTCCCTTTAAACCAACAACTTGGGTGTTCGATTCGCTAAGATAGCAAGTTGGTGGTAATCTAGGAGAAACAAACACTCGAAAGCCTTGAGTGAAGTCAACCCAGTCAGTAGTGCGACATATCCCATTTAAGCAACCACTTACTGCCTAGGTCCTCCAGTAGAGAGGTTAGAATAAGGGTACCAACTTTTTTCTGTAGTCTATTTTAGTAGGGGAACCCTCCCCCAAAAGAGGAAAAAGGGCACTACTGCGGGACCTAGCTGCATTACTAAACCAAGGGGACAAAAGTTGTGCCTCTTGGGCCTTCTCAGGAAAAACAACCCTTTCCCCCCTAGAATCCTGCAAGTTGTTGCTGGGTCATTCGCGGTCGAATTGTCACACTCCAAAGCCTTTAAAGCATTTTAAATTTAAAAGAGGGTAATTGACCGTCCCACTCCTGCCACATAAATAGGAGTTGGAAATGCGATCCGCGGGTGATCCACACGGCTTTGCAGAAACCATCAAGAGGCATAAACTTTTGTCCTTCTGACGTAGCGACACACCTCCACCTCCGAAATCCGGGCGTCGTGTTTGCATCTCCGACGCCAGGCGATGAGCGTGCTGTGGGGACGCCGCCTCGATGCAGGCCGTGAAGGCGAAGGTGTGCAGCTCGATCTGCGCTGCGATCCTTAGGCGAAAAGATGCGCAAAAAGGCGCTCATGAGCACCGAGGCGTGACCGGTTTTGGGGTTTGGTCAATCAACTTGCACCCAATCAACGGTTGCTGTTTTTAGTTTTGACGTTTTTTGGCTCTGTTCATTTTTCGGTTTCGGGGCTGCAGAACAGCGAGAGGTTTTGAGGCTACGATGCCAAGGGTTGGAAAGACGTAGACCAAGCGAATGGGATGACCCAGGGTCTAGAAAAGGGAACATTGGGATGAAAGCAGTTGAACATGAACTGCCAACGTGCACCAAAAATGTCTACACGTGTTTAAAAGTCTATCTTTTTTCATGAGACGGGCAGCTTTCAATTTGGCATCTTCCGGCTGCATCTGTGTGTCAGGCTCATACATGGATTCCTTTATCACCTTTAATTAAACAAACAAGAACAAAACATGTCCGGAGAAGGGTTCCCAACACAGGGGAGTACGTTCCACCCTTCCATACACCAAAGGGGCAGGAATCCACGAACTCGTGTGTGGATCCATGCTTGAATTGCCAGAGCCCGGAAAAGGCTCTTCCGCTGAAACACCTTGGCCCGAATGACCTGGGTATAACAGGTTTAGTAGCCTTGACCAAACTTGCAGTAAATGGGGAAAACCAAAAGGTGAAAACCAGCACCCTCCAAACATGATCCATTTGTACCTGCAGTGCTCTTGGGACATTTTGGGTAATGAGGTGCTGCAAGGTCGAATTTGCTTTGAACAGTTTGAGGGACATTTTGCGTCATGGACCACCCTTCGAGGGTGCTGCAAGGTCGAATTTGCTTTGAACAGTTTGAGCAAAACCTTTCTTGAGCGACTGTCAATGTATTCATGCGCCTTTTTGGAGCTAGTACCAGCTTTGTTCAGTCACTGGATTTCCCCGAATTAAAAGTTGATCAAATTACTGGTGGCTTCCATTGAAACGACTGGCACTTTTGGAGGTTCCAACAAGGGAAACGGAGGAAACCCTGGTTATACCAAGGAGTACCATGCGAAATGTATAACATTACCGTGACGAAACATTGACCGGGGATGAGAATCACTTCGCACTTCGATCTACCGGTGCTTAATATCTGACAACCACCACAATATCTGGCGGGAAATCCATTTGCCAGCATGCCGAAACACGTACTTGAAAAAACAACCACAGCATCACACCGAACATGGCACTACTGTGGCTGGACGAAATCCTGCACCACCTAAGAAGTCCTAGAATGATGATTCCCCTGTATATACCAATAAACAATATGGTTTCAACCATGGTTTCCAACTGGTGCGAAATGGATCACAGTGGGCGTTAGAGATCTCACTGAACACTGGAGCACAACGCCAGGGCGCATTTGCCGGAGCCACACTTCCGGGTTGCCCATGGACATGCACGAGCCATAGATGTGCGCCTCAACAAAAAGAAAACACCGCGAGGCCCCTGCTGCCCTTGATCAGCTTCCCTTCAATTTGTTGGTTTGGTGATTTGCTGGTTGAGGGGCTTCCCACATCCCCTCTAGAATACCTAGGGGTTCAAAGCCTCAAACTCCCCATCCAAACCACCAACCAAGGGTTGCCAGACTTTAAAAGCAGGTCCAAACACAGCATCCCCTTTTCGAACCCGGATCAGGGTCGGCCTGTTTTTGGAACAGGTTGTTCTGTGTTAGCTGATGTCAAGTTCGGATACATCACGGGAACTACGTATACCAGTCAGGGCTGGCTCCCAGTTTGGGACTTGTGTTTCTGCAGACTGGTCCGACGTTGCGTAACATTATTCGCTCCATGGTGAAACTACAATCAACAGTTCCAAGCAGCTGCTCGCTTGCTTTGTGCCTCGCCGGGCTGGTCAAAGAACATCTTGCATACGCGGCACTTGCGTCTCCGCATTGCTGGTAAGCCGACTCCTTTGGAAAGCCGCTGGATAGTTGATAGAAGTGGCAGACTCAAAGCAAAAAAAGAAACGCAACCCTTAGCAGATCTCGCGATTGTTGAGGCCTTTGGGGGGTAAAGGACCTCATATATAGGGTCTTGGGCTCCTAGGGCAAACACACAAATCCTACAACTTTGCGCAATGCGCCGATGCTCTCTAATTTGGCTGACAGACTGCGCGCCAAAAGAGCGCAAAGTGATTCTGACAATAGATGCAGGCAGGTGGGCGTCTTTTTTTCGTCAGCGGGACCACCCAACCCCCGTATTTGTCGAAGCCCAAATCATGCCCGGCCAGCCCGGCCCTTTCCGAGTTGTTGATGTGTTTTCCCCACGCAGCCCCAAACGAAAGGCTATGTGTCAAAAACGGCGGCCCGGCAACCCCGGAAATGGGTGGTTTCGCTTTGGGGTCACCTTCAACCAACCCCAAAACGGGGAACACTCAAAACCAAGAGAGATGCAAACACACGCACACAAACACGTGCACAAACGTGCACAAACACGCCCAAATGCTTTGAGAGGCACGTTGGGCTGTAGTGTCTGTGCCCGCATCTCCTTCAGTGCCATCTCTGCCGCAAAAGTCTCCCCGCTCATCGCCAGAGCTTTGAAGAATAGGCCGTAGCTGACTTCGTCCTTAGGCCCCTACTTGGATGTTCGGCCAAGTTAGTACGTGATTAGCCAAATGGAATATGACCCACTGATTAAGGAGGCTTATGAGTGGGATATAACCTAGGTTACCACGAACTTGCTAACTTGGCCGAACACTCAAGTACTCTGCAAATTCGAATGACACCCCACCAAGATGCCTCTAAGAAAGACTCGTGCTTCGTGAATTCAATGTTAATTGCCAGAAGGAGAAGAGAACAGAACTGAGAACCAACATTCAAAATCATAATCGATCGCGCAAGTGATGACGGTCAAAGGTACCTGCAGTGTCAGTTGTGGCACATACCCCGAAAAAGCTCCGTATGGTCAAAGCCACCCCGCACTTTGAGGTTGGAAACTAGAACTCATAACCCCTTCCCGGTTGCAGACAACAGCTTTTTTAGAGTTTGCTGTCCCATTTCAAGCCAGCACGTCCAACGCCTGTGCCATTACATTGGCCGAACGCCACATGCAACGAAACGCCCTCGCTCTGAACAACTCGTGATGCTGCATGTGACCCAAACCATACTCGTGGCGTAAATGTTCAACTGCCAAGTTCCAAGGTTGCACCCTGCCAACACTTGGTTGCTTTCTGCTCCCCTGCTGAAAGTTTAATTTTTAGTGGTTTAATGATGGAAAACCCATTAGTTAGCAACAAGTTAAAGTCCTAACATCCAAGCAAGATGCACCGAAGAACATGTTTGCCTTTCAGCGGGTCACAAGAGGGTCCAACAAAAGACGTCCGTCCCCTTGCGCGAAGCCGAGCACAGAGTTGCAGCAACCAAGTCCCCAACAGCTGCTGCAACAGGAGTCTAGTCCTAGACTCTGAAAGGTTCTTGGGTCCCTTGAAAAAAACTCTCAGTGCATGTCAATAGCAATCTAAATTCAAAACATTTGAACATGTGATGGTGCTGCGGATGGACAACATCCATCTTTCAGCTTAAAACAAGGTAGAAAATATTGAATATTTTAGAAGACACCTGCATACTCACACACCCGACTGCGAAGTGCCAATCCAAGCGTCCGGCGGACACTTCAATTGACGCATGTGCGACAGCAGGCGAAGAGACTGTCTCCAATCCTGGACCAAAACTGGACGGCGCCAGTTCAAAACCCTCAAACCGCCCTTAATACTACGGTTAAGCCATAAACTAGGGGCTCATACCAGGGTATATGAAGGTATACGTTCAGTTTGTGCGTCATCTTTTTCAGGGAACCCTTCTCGGCCCTGATTTAAATCACCATTAACACAATGGCTGGGTTCATATGATCAACATTGTGTACCGTTCAGGATTGTCATCGTCCAACTTGGATCCTTGCCATTCTTTTAATGGGGGATCGGGGATGAGCCCTTGGGCGAAGTGTTGCTATCTGAGGTCATGGGTTCAACCCCGCTCGCCCGTGCTCCCTTAAAACATGTGCCCCGATGATAGGAAACAACAAAGAGGGCGTGAGGGCAGACCCAAGTGGCTTAATTTGCCCTGTGAATTGACCTACGGCTGGTGTGTTGCTGGTGGCAGTTCTTGTGGCTTTCAAAAGCTGAACGGTGAAACCCGAGGCTGAGCCAATAAGTTTAAAGCTTGGTGTCGGAGCTCAGACTGTATGTCCTCAAGTTTGCTCCGTGTCCAAAAGATCCGCTGCGGCCGGGAGACAATAACACGTTTTGGGCGGCGCCTCTTTTTTTTTGCCCGCCCAAAATGGCTTCGGTCCTTTGGTTCCCTTCAAAGCCAACCAGAATTGGTACCCACAAAAACACACACACCCATATCAATGGCAAGGGTTCCCTACGCCCCCCCCCATTCCCATTGCTTGAGGATATAAAGACAACGACCCACTCACTTCCTCCCTTTCCAACAGGCTCACTCCCAAGCCTTCACAACCAAGGACCAAGCAACCAAGCAGCCAAGCAGCCAACCCACCAACTAGCCAGAAAGCCAGCCAGCCAACCAGCCAGCCAACCAACCAACATTAAAAACCAGAACCACAACCAACAAGCAACAAGAAACAAGCAACTGGGACTTTTTGAGCCGTGATTTCCATAAACAAAACACCGGGACCCCCCAGGCTCGAATTCAAAATATGTGATTCCAATAGTAAAAGGACTGGAGCTGGCAGGATTTCAGAAAAGAACCAGACCCCCCAGGGGTGATTTCAACAAAAACACCTGGATCGAGGTGGTTGTTTCTTTGGAATCTCCAGTCGCTCACTCTGCTTGCTCGCTTCGAATCCAAAATAAGGAATGTCAAAATAAACACGGCTATTTATATATGTATATAATATATACAGATGTAAATAACAATAATAATAATAATAATGATAGTATAACTAACAATAATAATAATAGGAAAAAACAAATATGACAAAAACAGCCCCCCCCCAAAAAAAAAAAACGGTTCCCCTGAACTGAACGGAGCAGGTCCCCGAGTCCCCCCGAGTCCCCCGAGTCCCCCCGGCCCCCGCCTCGAGGCTCTGCAGGCCTTGATCGCAGGCCGCCAACGTGGCCCCGAAGCGAGAGCCCATCTGCTCCAGGACGCCCAAGCACTCCCGCCTCGCGAAACGGAACAAAAATCGGCGCCCCCCAAAAAGAGAAACACCCAGGAAATGTGTATCTATATATAGCATATGTATATTTATGTAAAATACATGTATATGTGTATGTGTATATATATATATATATATGGTCACCCCCCCGAACTACATTTGAAGCATTTACTTCATCTCACCCTTCACAAATACCGGTATTCACAGTGTTTTGCATGTCAACCGATACTGTATCATATTTTTTATTGTTTGTGACCTCCATGCCTTCAGCCGCGGAACGCAATCCACAAAGTGGGTAGGCACCGCAAATCCGCCGACATTGCTCGGCGTGTCGGATACTTACTAGAGGATAGAGGATAACCCCCCCCCCCACCCCCCCCCGCCCGACGTCTATTACGTAGGTTTTTGGGGGGGGGGGGTCCCCCACGTACCGCGCGGCAATTTGATGACGTTCCACTAAACGTAGTCTTCGGGGAGCCGGTGTCGCAAAACAGGGGTCCCAGGCTCGATTCCCCCTGCCGGCTTTTTTGCTGGCTTGGGCTTCCTGCATCCTTTTGCCGAAAATCTGGAAAAACTCAATGTTTTTGGACGTCCTCTTTGCGAAAACGCTGGAAAAACCGTGTTTTTTTTGCGGGAAATACATACATACATGCATGAATGCATGCATGCATACATACATACATACATGTCATACATACATTACACACAAACATACATACATACATACATGCATGCATACATACATACATACATGCATACATGCATTACATACATACCTACCTACCTACCGACATACATACATACATACATACATTACATACATACATACATACATACATACATACATACATACATACATACATACATACATACACATACATACATACATACATACATACATACATACATACATACATACATACATACATACATACATACATACATACATACATACATACATACATACATACATACATACATACATACATACATACATACATACATACATACATACATACATACATACATACATACATACATACATACATACATACATACATACATACATACATACATACATACATTACATTACATTACATTACATTACATTACATTACATACATACATACATACATACATACATACATTACATTACATTACATACATACATACATTACATTACATTACATTACATTACATTACATTACATTACATTACATTACATACATACATACATACATACATACATACATACATACATTACATACATACATACATACATTACATACATACATACATACATACATACATACATACATACATACATACATACATACATACATACATACATACATACATACATACATACATACATACATACATACATACATACATACATACATACATACATACATACATACATACATACATACATACATACATACATACATACATACATTACATACATACATACATACATACATACATACATACATACATACATACATACATACATACATACATACATACATACATACATACATACATACATACATACATACATACATACATACATTACATTACATACATACATACATACATACATACATACATACATACATACATACATACATACATACATACATACATACATACATACATACACATTACATTACATTACATTACATTACATTACATTACATTACATTACATTACATTACATTACATTACATTACATTACATTACATACATACATACATACATTACATACATACATACATACATACATACATTACATACATACATACATACATACATACATACATACATACATACATACATACATACATACATACATACATACATACATACATACATACATACATACATACATACATACATACATACACATACATACATACATACATACATACATACATACATACATACATACATACATACATACATACATACATACATACATACATACATACATACATACATACATACATACATACATACATACATACATACATACATACATACATACATACATACATACATACATACATACATTACATTACATTACATACATTACATTACATTACATTACATTACACATTACATTACATTACACATTACATTACATTACATTACATACATACATTACATACATACATTACATTACATTACATTACATTACATTACATTACATTACATACATACATTACATTACATTACATTACATTACATTACATTACATACATACATACATACGTACATCCATACATACATACATACATTACATACATACATACATACATACATACATACATTACATTACATACATACATACATACATAAATACATTACGTACATACATACTTACTTAGGTACTTACTTACTTACTTACTTGCTACATACATACATACATACATACATACATACATACATACATGCATACATACATACTTATGTACATGCATGCATACATACGAGAGAGGGAGATTGGGAAGAGAGAGGCTTGGGGGGATGGGGAGGATGGGAGCAGAGGGAGGGAGAGCACACAAGGGAGACAAGGAAGAGAGGAAGAAGGAGAGGACAATGTCGGCGGACTGAGCCGGAGGCTCTAAAGTAATTAGGGGCTAAGATTTCTAAATCATTACACACACACATGACTGTGGGTCAAAATTAAACAACCAGGTAACCGCAAATTCTAGTTCATATTTCCCTTTGCCAGGGTTGAATTTTGAGTACCCATTTTTGACCCGCAGCCACATTGCTCATATTGTCTGATGATAAAGACTTGACGTGGCTTCAAATGAGCCCCACAACCCCCACACTCAATTTGGCCATTACAGGCCCTCACATTAAATCCCGTCCGCAGGCCTGAGCTGATGAAGCTGTTCAAACAAACGACAAATAGCGGGGTCGCGTTGTAAACAAAAACAATAACAAAACTATTGAAGTCATGTGTTCAATCATAAGAGAATCTGGCGTAGCATCTAGCTCCTAGCTACTGGTTCTGCCCAAAATCTGTAGTGCTTTAAGTTTCCCTGGTCAATAGTGACAAGAAATCAAACATTACTAAGTCCATGTGCCTTACATGAAACACAACAACCCATTGGCCAGGCCTGCGAGGTTTCCGCGGGCACTGGACAAAAACCATTCAGCTGGTCAAAACGATCACGTATCACCAGTGTCCCCAACAAAGCGAAGCTATGCTTATAGCTACCCGTCCTACGAAAAGCCTGCAATCCTGTGCCATTAAAACCACCAAAAAGAGATCCCAAACGCCGGAAAAACTTGGACCAAACCCAAAAGGAAGGTGACCCACCCAAAAAATATAGACCCAGAAGCTCGGCCAAGGCTCCATCGCTTGGCCGCGCTGCACACCGTGAGCGCATTATGGAAGCACACGGCGTCGCAGGCCGAGCGCTTCTCCTTACAGGTTCTGTCCAACCCTTGATACTGTGGATGGTTGCGAAATCCGCTCGCACCACGTTCAAATCATGGTTGAAACAATTATTCTAGGGGTACCTTCCCCATTCTTTCCAGGCATCCTTCTTTCCAAAAAGCCACCCAAAACCCTGGGGAAACGGCGATCGGTTTTTGAAAAGAACCATGGTTGAGAAAAAAATGGACAAGGAATCCACCCCATTTATTGGCATTTTGCAGGGGAATTCTCATTCCAGGGCCTCTTAGGCGGTGCCGGGAATGAGAAATGGAATGAACCTTAGACCATCCAACTGGTGGTTTCCTTCAAGGGGACTGGGGTCATTCCCACATGCCAGCCCTGGGTATGCTAAAAACTCGTCCATTTGCTTTTTCGCCCCCTGGCACAAAACAAAAAACATATCCAGTAGTGATAAAGTCCCTAAAACCCGACAGGGGAAAATAAAACATGTTCTTAGTCAAGTGGAAGAGCTGCTTTTTGCAGCCTACAAAACTTGAGCAGAGCCAAGAAACCTGCAAAAACATGCCAACAACAGTGAAGGGGAGCAGCCCGGCAAGTCGACTTGGGAGTTGTTTAAGCATTGGGCCACCCAAAATGGCTCAACGGTTCTTTCCTCTTGGTTCCCTTCAAACCACAACAACAGGTGTACCAACTCCAAAAGAAGACAAACCTTGGCCATTTGTTCCTGAGGGGCTCGTTGTTTCTTGGGTGCAACAGGTCCCAAACTCTCTTTAGGACTCCTTGGGTGCTTTGATCATGTATCCAAGGCATACAGGTGCCCCAAAGTCACAAAGGAACACGACATCAAAATGGACCAGTAGCCGACAGTAGAGCGACATGGACAAATTTGGAAGAATGCACCAAACTCGGAAAGCCACAAGAGCCGCTCGCTTGCTTCATAGGATCCAACCTCCCTCCGCGTGTTTCCCGAACATAAGACCCGGATTTACAGCCGAAGTCCAGACCCTATGACCCAAGGCGAGTGAGTCGCAGATGCGGCCAGCAAATGAAGAGCCAGCGGCCAAAGGGCCTCGCGCTCCTGGGAAGGGAAGGCGATTGAGCCCCAAAACGTCCGCTGGCAACCAGTTTGTACGTTGTCCGTTCATGTTCTTACCCCTTAAAACTCCCTGCGCCCTGGGGAAGTTACTCTTTTACAGACAGAAAGCCAACGTTACCCCAAAAAGTTGAACAGTTGTGTTTTTAAGAGGTAAGATTCATGTGGCTTCTGCTGAAAAGGGCGGTCCAGGTTCTGACCGAAACGGGGAAAATGAAAGCCCTGGCGGAGAATCTTCGACCCCAAGTGATGCCTCCCAAACACTTGGGACATGCAAAGGGGGGGGGCGCAAGTGCAGAACCCCTCACAAAGCGCCCACTTTGATACCAATGGAAGGTCAGAGTACTTCTCTCAATGGTGAAAATATAGCCTTTGCAACAAAGCTACAGTTTAGCTGCTTGTTGGGGAGCTCTCATGTTCTCCCAACAGGTCAAGAAGCTTACAGGTCGGAAAACGACAAAGCCCAGGTGCTATCCCCACAGCCTGCAACCCTGCGGAACCCTCCCTGAAAGCTGCCCCAACTCACCCCAGAGCTTCTTTGGGCAGAAACCCGACAAACACAAAACACATGTTCAGTCTTTGCCAGGGGGCTGTCGGATGTTGTATTCCGCCATGGATTTGTTGCTGCACACGGCAAAACATCATCCCGCCACGTTGTTTGGAAAAACCACCGAATCCCCCCGGATGAAAAAAAGTTGGTTGCTGTAAAAGAAGCCCCCCCCCTCCCGAACAAGAAAAACAAACATGCGTGAATGAATGTCTGACTGAATGAATGGATGGATGAATGAATGAATGGATCGATGGATGAATGAATGAATGGATGGATGGATGGATGAATGATTGATTGAATGAGTGAGAGTGAACGAACGAACAAATGAAAGGAATGAAAGGAATGACAGGAATGAAAGGAATGACAGGAATAAAAAGAATGACAGGAATGAAAGGAAAAAACATAATGAAATGGAATTGAAGGGACTGGGGTCCGGGGTGCAATTGAATGTAATGGGATGGGATGGATGGATGGATTGTGAGCTAAAACGCTTCCCTCACCCTCTCCGCTCGAGGCGCCAGCGCCACCATCGCAGATCCGAAGCCCACCGCGTCCGGCCGGCACCTTGCGAGCAGCAGCAAGGCGCGCTGCCACTCGGAGCCTGGGGCGCGATCCGTCCGCTAGGAGTTTTTTTGTTTTGTTCAATATATATATATATATATATATCTATTTATTCGTTTTTGTCCGGTGCTTCCAGTTCCCATACCCAAAGGGGCGATCGATTGGGTACGTCAGGTAAGTGGGTAAGAACCATGGTGAGACAACCCACAGAGGGGCCATGGTAGGTCTCCCAAATGGGTTGAGGCTTACTTACCTGACGTACACTGCCCTTTAAGTACCGAAACCCCAAGTTGGAGCATGTGTTTGTACTTGGGTGTTCGGCCAAGTGAGTAAGCACTTAGCCAACCCACTAACTGAGTGAATTATGAGCCTTTTTTCGTGGCAACTGAAAGCAGGATGAAGTGCGAGAAAGACTGGGTAAAACCACCTACCTGGAGTCTCCATGACCCCTTAAAAATGGGTCCATGACCCCATTAGTTTGGGTAATGACCCCATTTGTAAAGGGTCATGGAGACTCCAGATACCTACTGGAGGATCTTGTCCATCTATCAATGGACTTGAAAGAACTGGTTCGCATATTTTCGCATGTGAGCAGGAACAATATAAATCTATATTGTGATGACAGGACTTCAAGCTGTTCCATTGTTGAACAAGTGTAGTTGCTGGGAACCAGAACTCCTCTTGTGTCACAGAACAAGAGACCAAACAATTACCAGGCGCCGTGTTCCTTCAAAGCGAATCATCAATCACCAAATGAAACAATTCCCGGAACCCCGCCTCCTTTGTCCCAAAAGGCTCCTCGCACATGGCCAACCCTCCAACCCCAAGCTCTGCGTACACCAATCTGATGTTACGTCGTGAATCAACCTCAAAACATGCTTTCTCCCCTGCCCAGTAAAAGCGACCACAATCACAACCCAGCCAAAAACACCATCTAAACCCGTCGTCTTCTTCTTCTTCTTCTTTTTGGGGGAGGGGCATTGATCGAGAACCCCAGCCCATGTCGCAGACCCCGACCTTGGTAACGAGCCCAACAGACACTCAGCCGCGGGCCATCTGCGCAGGACGAGATGGCGGCGTTGTAACTCGTCCTCGCGAACGAAAACAAATCGTTGGATCCGATTTTCTTGCTGGTGCTCAGGTTACCCCAGGTGGCTTCCCTACAAACCATCCCACTGGTGGCTTCCTTTAAGGGAATTTTCAGGGTACCCCGACTGGCGGTTTCTAAGGGAATCTTTGGGGCATGACAAAAGCAACCAAATGGCTTGCCAGTGCGAGCCCGCATGCATGAACGGATGCTTGGACAGTGCTGTCTCCTTTTCAATTCCAGGACATTTCTTGCTGGTGCGAGAGACGCAGGGAATGAGAAATGGCTCATGACCCGAGAAAAACCATCCAATGGTTGGTTTCCTTTGAGGGAATGTTCACGTTACCCCAGGTTCATTCCCTCATTCCCTAGTGGGCACCAGCAAGTTTTGGGCATAACAACGGAAAGCAAATGGCAACCGATGCTTGGTGCAAAACCAAATGATCTAAAGCAGCAGCCACAACTGAGTTGGTCAAACTGACTTCCACCCTCGAAAAATCAACCACTTGGTGATTTGTGCTCAGGGGCCTCCCATCCTACTGCTCGCTTGAGCCACGGTTCAAATGGGACAAATCCGGGCCCTCGTAGCTGAAATTTAAGGTCCCTGCAGGCCAAGCCCCAAATTGTTAACAGCAAATGTCGACCCTGGGCAATTTGTAGCGAGCGGAATAAGGGGGAGTTGTTTTTACTCGAAAAGTCAAGGAGCACCTCTTGCATGGTGCATCCCTTATCCCTTTCAACTAGGGGTGTATTGAATTGATCCGGGGGTCCCATAACGGAAAATGTCAACCTCGACCTCACCAGCACTTTCCCTCGTCGCCTCGTTGGCCGCAGGCGCTTTTGCCCCATGCAGCGCAGCAGATGAAGCGCCACAGGCCAATGGGAGGCGCTGATGGCGGCATTGAGGCAAATGACGTCCGGCACCACCGCCTTGTCGAGTTGACTTTTGGTTGGTTTTGAAGGGAAAACAACAGGAGATGAACTCAGGAAGCGAGACAAGGCTTGCTGGTGCTCAGTAGGGAATGAGGAAATGAGCCTAATTAGGGGTCCCCTTAAAAGAAACATAAGGAAACCACCAGTTGGATGGTTTGCAGGGGTCATTCCCTCATTCCCTGCTGAGCACCAGCGAGAAGGACACCAACCAGATTGAGGCTTACCTCATCTTGAGGCAAACCCAATTCACAAGGGAATTAACCCTGTTTTGCATCTGGGCCAAAATCAAGAAAGGCATGGGGTATCAGTGTTTGTGGATTTTGAAGGAAAAGCAAAACTCAATTCCTAAGTGGATGGCTCAAAAAAAGTCCAAACATTTTTTGTTTACCACTGACATGGTCTACCCAAAAAGTCTAAAGTTCATGAACTCGGGAACTGAAAAAGGCAACAAACAAACCAACCATCTTAAAACAAAGCCCAAGATAACCAGGCAATTAAACAGTCCTTCAAGAGCGTTTCCACCTCCCTTGTTGCATTGGCAGGGCCTAAAACACAGCCTGACTGGAGTGATTGAGACAAGACTCACAAGAAATCACATCTCAAACTGATTCAAGAGACAAACAACGCCTTTTTTAGCAGGGCTGCACTTGTGCTCACTCGATCCCCAGGCCACGACACAGTCACTTTCAGCTTCCCACCAATTGGTGGTTTGGAGTGGTGGGAACTGGGGATTTCAACCCTTGGCTCTTGTAGAGGCTACATGGGAAACCCCTCCGGAACACCACCAAGCCACCAATCCAAGCCACTTTCGAGGTCGAGTCCCTTAAGGAAAGGGGAAAAACAAAAACCGCGCACCAAACACTGGAGGGTCGACCGGATAATCCGAGGCCGCACGCAGTCGACCACGCAGTCGACGTGCCTGGTCAGTCATGGCCTCCAGCAACTGCAGCGCCATAGGCCACGGGGCCTTGCCGCTGTTTGAAGATCCGCTGCTTAAACCAAGTTCAACAATCCCGGTAGCCAAATGTTACAGGGGCCTAGGTGAAGGTTGGTTTTCAACAATCCTATGGAAAATGAGAATACCCTTTCAAGGGCTCAGCATTTCAACCAACCTTCGTGTTTCCCGGGCCTCAACCTTCCTTCCAATAGCGTGGGTTGGCCGAAAAAAGTAATCAAAACGTCTCATTGACCACTAAAATGGTCCAAACACAAAAAGTGACGATCAAGTTCGAGTTCCGGAACTCAGGAAGAACATGGTCCAACCGCAAAAAGTGACGATCAAGTCCGAGTTCCGGAACTCGATCGGAAGTGAGGCCAGCTCTCACCCATAAAAACCGCGTCGCCTCCCGAATTCCGTCAAGAACGCCCCCCGGACGCACGCGGACGCCTCGCCCTTCTCGCAGGCGCTCAAGGCCGCGCTAAAGCTCACCACGTCTGCCTGAGGCTCAACGGAGCGGACGGCGGACGGAATATTTTTGGTTTTCTGGCTTCAGGTTTTTTCTCGGTCTTTGTGGGCCGCCCGTTCTCGGATCCGCGAAAAGTGGCTCACTTTGAGTGGCTTACATTCGGAAACTAGTACTAAACACTAAAAGGCTCAAAAGCTCAGTTTTTGGCTTGCTGGTTACGCATGGAGAGAACTGGCCCTTGGTTTTTGTGGGCTTCCTGGTTTGTTACCCATGGGGAAGAACCTCCATTGCGACTTGTACAGATCATAAGGTAGACTCAGATGACCCGTTGGCGCTTTGGGAGCCCGGGGGTTGGCCATGTTAGGTTCTACCTTGTCCAATTGGGATCATAGCAACTGTGCACGTACTCCTTTGTGTCAGGTTACTCGGTTTGGAGCCCGGCGGTTTGGATTTGGATTTCACCCCCCCCGGGAACCAAAAACCATCCAAAAGGTCACTTGGAAGGAAGGCGATGGTGCGATAGGCGGGAACAAGAATTGGAATGACCCCCAAAAACCATCCGGGTGGTTTCCTGAAAGGCAACCGGAGAAGGCCATTCCCTCTATCGCACCTCTTAACCCCAAAACGCCCAAGGGCCCCAACCCAAGGTGGAAAATCGGCCGGGAGCGATGCTAGTGGGATTCCCACCCAGGCAGCCTGGGTCATCTTGTGGAGAATGTTCGCTGTTTCTGCAACTTAGTCCGTTGAATCGGGGTTGGAATCACCCCCAGAATAGCTCCCCTCTTCTTTTGGGGGGGGTCTCTTTATTTTCCACTAACCAGGCAAAACAACTATTCTTTTGCTGGGGTCCTAGTTCCAGCCGGAATGACCTGCGTTTCAAACGGCGTCTCAATCGTCCACGTCTCCACTAACAGAAAGTGATCCATCAGCGCCTGAACCGACAGGCGCCGGCAGCGGCCCAAGAGCGCCAAGGCCGTCCTCAGGTCCGAGTGCTTTACTCATGACATCGGCAAACTGCATAGCTGGAGCCTCAAACTGTCCTCCAGTAGAGAGGTTAGAATAAGGGTACCAACTTTTTTCGGTAGTCTATTTTAGTAGGGGAACCCTCCCCCCAAAAAAAGTAAAAGGGCACTACTGGGGGACCTGGCTACCCTTAAAAAAGGGAATTCGCGCCATAATTTTGGGGCAATAACGCATGTTTAAGGGTGTGTTGAGAGTCCAGGTTGAACAGTTTGTTTGTTGGCCGATAGCATTGCCTTCCAAAAAAGTGTAATATGAAATTCAATATGAACTTGGGAAGTAAGCTGTGGGGGAAGAATATGCCCATTTGGTTGTTGGAGATTCATCCACCAAGGGGAATTGCGGGATTTTGTTGGTTGGTGAAAGGGACCCCCACACAAAGGCAAGAACAACTGGATTCCCGATCAAAACAAGCTTGAGTTGTCAAAATGGTTCTGTGAAATGGGAACACATTGGACATGATTGCCATTGGCGCAAACGACCCGAACCCATTTCGCACAACCCGTTGAACCCTGATTGGGGCTGGAAAATACAGGTTTCCGAATACCCACTGTTTGCATGCAACAACTTGTTTTTCCCCAAATGGGAGTGTCTTTTTGTGGTGGTACCACTTTTTGGTGAGTTATGGAGGAAAATCCAAAGGGTTACCCAAAATGTTGACCCCGGATTACTAAACCCCCGTTGATTAATAAGGGGGACGTTCCCCTCCAAAAGTGATAAATCCCCACCAAACCCAGGGACACCCCCATCTCAATAAACAGGGGATGATTATTCTGGGGTCAACATTAAGTGGCCTATAAGTTTTATCTTCAGCCTTGCCTGTAGCAGTAACTCTTTACCACTCATTTACCCCAAATCTACCCAACCATACCCCCAATCTACCGAAACCGACCCCCAATTTTTTCCCCCCTCCACCCCCCTAATTTATATCCTACGGGAGTGGTTGGTTTCCAAAAACAACTTCAGTCAGCCGAACACCCGTCCATTCGGGTTTCCAAGTGTCTGCCACTTGCCGGACTTCTCACAGGCGCTCAGCGCCTCGAAACCCAGTGGCCGAGATCGGGAAACCAAGCGGTTGAGGTTGGGTTGCTGGGTTGATAGAAGCACATTTGGCTCAGTCGCCACCATTAAAACTCGGTTGCTTTCTGCTCCCCTGCTAAAAGTTTAACTTTTCGTGGTTTAATGGAAAACCCATTAGTTGGCAAAAAGTTGAAGTCCTAACATCCAAGCAAAATGCACCAAAGAAAATGCAACCCGGGCAACCCTCGGCTAAAGCCTTGGGTTTTAACTACCCGTATGCTTGATATCTTGGTTCAACGGCCACCAGTTGCAACTGTCCCCAAGTGGGAACCAAAGGCTGGGTTTGGCTCAAAACTACACGATCGGAGGGGCAAGCCCCAGGCTTTGGTGCATGTTTCCACTTGCCAGGGCAACACAATTTTGGTACCGGTTTTTTGAGCCACGGCCATTTCACCTGCCAGCCAGCATTGAAACAATGCTTGGGGTGATTTTGTGGATGGCGGCGAAATCCAGAAATCGCACCGCCGTTCAGAAACCATTGCTTACCCTGCAGCATTTGCCCCAAGGCGCTCTTCTTTGGGGGGCAAGGAACCCCGTTTAAACTTTGACCAACTCTTGAGACCGAAAATCACATCTGCTTCGTATTTAGGAACCCAGAAAATCTGTCTGTAGTCAATATATATATATATACACACGCCAATATTTGACCCATTTGAAGGGTAAATGCGAGTAACTATTGCGCACATGGATTGTTTGGGATGAAATATAAACCACGCTCGCTGTAAAGAAAAACTAAGAGGAGTGTTGAACAATCGTGGTTTAGACATAAATCCTGCATTCATGCATGCTCAAGCACGCGGCTCAAACATGTTTGAACAAGGGGTTGGCCATTTCCTGGCGCTGCAACCTGAGCTCGGTCCAGTAGTTTCGCACGTAGGAGCCTGCCACTTCCGGCTAGTGGTTGGAGAGAAGGCTTTGGCTCATCTTCTTTGGCACCTCCTTCCCATGCACAGATGCCCAGTGGATTTCCATGGGGAAAAAAGGAATCGGCATCCTTTTTGGGTTGGAGCTTAAAGGGGAACCCTTCCCAAAAAAAGTTATTAAAACAGGGGCGCCACTGGGCAACTGGGCATTCCTCAAACCAACAGTAGACTAGCAGCTGCGGATGCTGAATGCGCAGAAATGGAGTTCAAGCCCTATGAAAAAGTCGACTCTATAGAGGGTTCCTGTGATTAGGGTGTGGATGAATTAATAACCAGTAATGTGGGGAGATCCAAAAATGGTGTTCTTCCTTTGGTCCGCCTCTTAAACCATCTCAGAATCCTTAAGGGTCATCCATGTAGCAGGTCACATTTTCGTCCGGGCCACCGCATTGCAGGTGATGGTGTTCGGCAGCACCTAGCATAGGGCTCACAAACCAAAAGATGACTTTGGTCGCAGCCAAGATGCTCACTTCAAAGGGAATTCCGCCTTGTGTCACGTGGGTGTGGGTCAAAATAGGCTAATCCCAAATGAGTTGCCCTGGTAAATGGAAACAAGGACTAAAGTTTCTGCGTTGTGCTTGGCTCTTCAATTTTTGGGCCACACCCACATCAAAATTTCAAAACATCTATAGGATTCAACGGGGACCAACACCATAGGCCCATCTCCACCAATTGGCAATCAAACGGCGGCTCACATGCCAAAAAAAAGGGACTTGCAAACAAACTCGAGAGAAGCTTCCTGTCAGCAAGGTTCATGCGTGATTCGTTCGGCCGTGCTATAAAATATGGGTGTGTCAGTTTTTAGGGGACTCCCAAAAAGGTGGTGTTCCTCCTGTTTTCCGTTGAACACCATCAACAAGGGTATCCCCAAAAACCCAAGGAACCGGACGGCTGGGAGCCGCCAAGACAAAGAGTTCCGGGAGGAGGGGCTTGATAAATTTGATTGATCTTCACAGGTATTATGTTCGTGGGAGCAAATGTATTTGAACATTTCGCTTTCCCAACTATCTCAGTCCTTTGATCACCATACGGGGCTGTCGACCCTTCCCAACATGTCCCAGGTCGCAGTTGGCGCCACCTGGCAACCGTCTGGGTTAGCATACCAGAAGCAGCTTTCAGTCAATTCACAATGATTCGAAAGATGGATCTGTGCAAGTCATCATGAATCGAAAACTCGAAAGTGAGAACCTGCCCCCCATGCAAGGACTTGAACCAATATCACTAAGCCCACTGAACAACAAGGCTCCCCTCCGCTACCTCCTGCAATGGCGGTTTCCTTCTTTGCCGCGTAATGTTGACCCAGGATTAATAAACCTGTCCCATTCTTAGGGGGGTGTTCCCTCCAAAAGTGGTCTGAATCCCCACTCAAGGGGACACCCCCGATCAAAATCAACCAGGGGTTCTACTTAGATCCGGGGCTAACATTCGAGAACAACAAGGTTTTCCCCATTTGGTGCCCCTTTTCCCTCTTTTTTTGGCGCCCAAGGAAGCTGCAAGCTATCGGCCGCGGAAATGTCTGGCAGTCCGGCCACCGAGAACCGGGCAAATGGCGCATGATGGCACCAGTGGGTAGACCATCTACATAAACCCCCAGGTAAACCAGGAATTGGAGGGAATTCACACATGGGTGTGGCTCAAAATTAAGCAGGAGGGGCAAATTCTATCCTCTGCTCACTGCTCACTGCTCTTTTTGAAATGAGGAACCCATAACCTTCATCATTTTGTACCTTCCAATTCCATTCTGAACCCAGGGATCCGAATCTGTCTAGACAACCTCCGGAATCCCAAAAAAAAAGGCGATCGGTTATTGAAAAGAACGATGGTTGAAAAGAATGGGGAATCATCCCCTAGAACAATTGCCAGTAGGTAAGAGGATGACTCAATCAAAAACGGTGGGTACGGGATGGTAAAACGATGACTCAATCCAAAAGGCAAAAGTTGCAGAATCTGCCTTGCTGTCCGTTCACATGGAACCTGAGGCGATTCCCTTTGAAAGGGACCCCCTGGGTGGAGAGCTGCCTTCACCCAGCTCTACCAGGTTCTTGAGTAGCCAGGGTAGAATAAGGGTACCCGATTTTTTTTTTCCGTAGTCTATTTTTTAGTAGGGGAACCCTCCCTCCCAACCAAAAAAGTTGGTCAAAGAAGGGCACCTAGCTGGGGGGCCCAGCTTTATGAAACTTGGCTTAAGCGCGATCTTCCTCATCTGGCTGCAAATGGGTTGCCCTGGTAAATGGAACCAGGGACTAAAACCTGCGGTCCCCTAGTTGCTTACCCTGGAATGATGAGTCCCCTGTAAATACCAACCAACAATGGTTTCTCATGGTTTCTTAGGTGGTGCGAAGGGGGTTTCGCAACCACAGCTCTACGAAAAGCTTAAGCTGCCGCGATCCAAACCTCATCTCCCGCCTCCCGCCTCCCGCCTCGGCCTGGCGCATCTCTTCGAGGGTGGCCAGGGCACACGCCCACTTGTTGCCCCGCTCCAGGGCGCTGACGGCCTGCAGCGAGAGTCGAGGTCGAAACCGGGTCGACGGGGCGAGGGCCGGCCTTCCGAGCGAAGAAGAGGGCAGCCGAAATTCCACCAAGGGTTTAAGGGATTCAAAGCTTGGGTGCTGTAGAGTTAAAAAAGCTGTCCACATTTTGCCGGTTAAAAGGAAATACGAGGGGAATCCAAAAAGTGAAAGTCTATATAAAGATCCACCCCAGCAGCAGTAGAGAAAGGTACCGCTGGTCTCTGTTTGGAAGCCAACATAGCCAACCATACTTTGGAGAACGGACAGGGTTCCGCCCCCTCAATTCTTCCACACATTGCTTCAGAGGAAAGAAAGGCTTTCCCGTGGCTCTGGTGAACTGGTCTACGGCCTGAGCCCAAAATCACGAGGAACACCTCTTCTCCTGGATTTGTATTTCCCACCCTGAACCATATCTGGTCTTCGACAGGCAAGAAGCCAATCCGGGTTCCCTGCATTTCCCCTGCAAACAGCGCCAAACACCCGGTTCTTCAGACCAAACAAAAACGAAAAACTTTCACCCCGACTGGGTTCTTCAGAAAAAGAAACAAAAAACAACTGCCATCAGCAAAAAACGGACAGTCGATAGGAGTCCTCAGCCCCCTCCCTTTTTCCCGAAGTCCCCGAAGTCGATGTTGAGCCGCTCGTCGGTGGCCCGCAAGGTAGGAACCAACGTGGTTTTCCCAACGAGCAGACTGGCCCTCTGACAAGTCGTTAGAACCCGTTTGCTTGCCACTGACATGGTCCAAACCCAAAAAGTCGGTTCAGGGAGTGGGTTGCCTTTTTTTTGGCTTCTCTCTTTTGTTTCCTGGAGGCCTCCTAAACCGACCCAGCCTGGAGTTCTTCTTGTTCTTTTGATTGTACTTTCCTTCCTGAAGGCCTCCATTGAACGAACGACTGATCAGGGCACTCAGAACACCAACGGCTCGTTGCCACAGAGATGGCTCTTCAGAACCCGGCGCCTGTGGAAGCTTCCGCCTTTCGGCCAGAGAGATGACTTCAAAAACCACCCTTTAAAGGGAGATAGGAGTTTGTCTCAACATAGGAGAACCGCCAAAATGAGTAGTTTGCTTTTGGTTTCCCTTCTCAAGCCAGACCAAAAAGGGTTCCCTCAAAAACAACTCAAACCGAGCCGTCCATCAAGCGCCCCGCCCCCTTAGGCAACTTCTGGCCATGGTCAAAGGCGAGCGGCGGTGCTGTAGCTCACCACATCCGCCACGCGTTGCGTCTGCAGATCCTCAGGGAGGCCGTCCCTTTCGAACATGACCCGCAAGGGAACCCACCTAATGGCAACCCAAGGGGAGAAGTTTAAGTTGGAAGGGAATACCAACTCCCCAGACTCCCCAGGTTCATTCCCTCATTTCTTCCTGAGTACCAGCAAGATATATGCTTATGAACCCTGCAAGGACCACTGTGGCCACCGTTGGATTCCAAAGCAACGCTTGCTGAGCTTTCGCTTTGAGTAAGGCTTATAAGGAACGCTGAGACAACGCCGTCTCACATGACCAAACTCCCGAAGAGTCCTCCAAAATGGCCAGCGCTGCATGCCAGTTCGAGCTCTTCGCGCAGGCGTTCATGGCGGCATTGCACAGGATGCAGTTCTGGAACGCGCGCGGAGTGGCGGCGAGAGTGGCCAGAGACCTCAGTTTTGGCTTCCGTTCCCTTCTACATCCCACGTTTAAAACCACTTGATGCGGTTGTGGACTGGGTTTATGTAGCAGGGCGTTGCCTAATGGGCGGTAAGAAATGGACAATATCCACCCCTTGTAGGCTCCAAAGTCAACTAACATGGGGAACGTCCACCTCAAGCAGGCGATAGACCTTTTTCCCAATGTCCTTACAAAGCTCCGATCGGTAGCTCCGCAAGGCTCCCTGTTTCGCAAGTTTGGATACTCTGAGCTCCGTATCGGCCCTCCAACCACCATCTGCAGTACCTGCAGGCACATGTCCTCTGGTTTCATACCCCGTAGTCGCTGAAACTGTGCTGTTCTCCGCATGTGGATGGTTCCCTCAATAGACCAGAAACCACACGGTTTCCAATTTGGGCCGCAAACCAAATCCCCCAAAGTGGGTGTTCTTGTTGCCCCTCAAATTCCTAGCGGGGTTGATGTAAATTTGTCTAATTGGGCGCTTGGTTCTAAAGGGAAACCAAAAGGACACCCGTTGCGCCATTGTGTGCCTCCGATCTTAAAAGTCCCCGTGACACCCAATCCCTTTGTAAGCTCTACAACGCTGGGTATGGCTTGCAAAACGCTGACTGCCTTTCTGCAGCCCCCCCCAGTAAAAATGTAAAAATGAACAGAACACCAAAAACACACACGCACAAACAACAAAAAAAAAACACGCCAAACAAACTTACCAAGAACACCAAGAACAGCGGAGGACATGAACCCAGACGCCGTTGTTCTTTCGCCCTTTGGTCTCCAAGGCGCTCCTGCCATCGATGGCTCCTCCCCAGCTGCGCAATAGTCCTGGCCCAATTCAAAACCCTCCGAGCAAAAAGGAAAACCCCCATGCAAGCACGTCAAGGCTCATCTTGCTGGTGCGTTACGTAGGGAATGAGGCAATGAACCCCCGGATTCCCTTAAAGACAACCACAAGAGATGGATGGTTTCTCAGGGTCATTCCATTTCTCCTTCCCAGCTGAGCACCACAAGGTTCATTTGAGTCATGTTCAAACCACGTCGATGCCCAGAACCATACTTCAAGAAGTACAGAGGCGGATATCCGCCCCCATTTGTGGCAAGGGGATTTTCCCTTAACCTTCATCTTCCCTGGCTTTGAGGACGTGGCTCGGATCTGGAGCCGGGAAGGCGGCTTGCTTTTTGGCTGGCCGGCTTCTGTTCCCCACCTTTCTTTCTTGGCAGTCGTGAACAACTATGGCCAATGCACAAAGAAGGTCCCTGGGAACAAAAGAAACGTCTTGGAATCGGTGCTGAGAGTTGTGAGAACCTTTCTGGAGGGCAGGGCCCAAGGATTCGCTTTGGTTTGAGAATGGCTCAACCCCTCAAGTACCCTCAATCCCGGGATTCACCACATGCAAACATATCTTGGGCCAGACTTGGACACCTGTAAGACAATTAGAACGGGGTGCCCCTAACTTTCAATCCAACCTCAGTCATGATCAAAGGACAATGTTTGAGGCCCTTCAATCGGAAGCCTCATAATGTGAGTCACAATCAAAACCGGGTACTAAAATGGTCTACCCAGAACCATGCTTCAGGAATTAAGAAGGCGGATTCCCGCAGCTATTTATGGCAAGGGATTGTCCCTTACCAACCGGATCATCTACCCGAGTTTTCATTGCGGCTCATATGTTTTTCACTATATACCCAGGTCCTCCAGTAGAGAGGGTAGAATAAGGGTACCAACTTTTTTCTGTAGTCTATTTTAGTAGGGGAACCCTCGCAACCAAAAAAGGACAAAAGGGCACCTGGGCGACGAGTCACAAAAATCACGCGCCCCGGCCTGGTTGCGAGCTTCAATGAGTCCAGCTCAGCCATGTGCGGGTGCCCCGTAGCAGAGTAGGTCGGTGTTTTTGTTGTGTTGGTTTTCCTGGTCTGTTTGACGGGGAAAACAAAGGGAACACAAAGAGAAACCACCATGTTGTTGCTCGTTTATAATGAGATGAGGTGTACCTTTTCGGTTTGATTTAAGGGGACTAACAAAGTCCCAAAACTAGAGGGAAACCACATTTTGCTTTTGAGGTGTGCAAACTGTTTGGCTTGATTCAAAGGGAATACCAAGGCCACTATCTTGAGGATCCCCTAAAAAAGACACACTCATCGACCCATAACATGGCACGTGTCGAAGGCGGAAGTTGGACCGAAATGGATCTCAGTTCTTGCAAGCCACCCATGTTCACAGCGCCGAGCGCGCCCTGCCTCTGCCTCAACAAACCACAAAAACAGTCATCAATTGAGTAAACGAGCCACACCCAGATTGACATGAAACATGAGCCAAAACCTGATACTAAAAAGGAGTCCCCGACTAACCTTGTTTTGATGCTTCCTCGAGCCCTCTTGAGGTTGAAAGTAACCTTGGGGACCTTCTTCCAGCCTTGCTGTGGCACGGCCGGCCTATTTTTGAGCTGGTCAGCCGCGGGCAGTCGGACGTTGACACCAACCATTTGCGCGACTGCTGTTTTGATGTGAGATGATGATCTGACTCGTGTCCGCTTGGAACAAATGCTCGTCTTTTCGCTTTGTCTCAAAGGTAAACCCCCAAAATGGACTTTTGGTTCTTCCTCTGGCCTCCCTTAAAAAATAAAAGGGCTCCAAAACATGCACATCCGTGATGTTTCTTGGGTTCCTCCAAGCTTCTTTTCATTTACTTCAAAATTGCCGTCTGCAAACGAGCAACGGTCCGGCGCACACCGGCGGCGCAAGGCCAACAAGCAACAAGGCCAAAAAAACAACTTTGCAAGGCTCAGCGAGACATTTGTTTAATTGGCGGCAGCTTTATCAGTCTCCGAGGCGAAAATTAGACCCTCCAAAAAGGCCGTTATTAAGGACCACAACAACTTCGAATGGAGTGTTCCGACGGTTCGATGATGCTTAGGGCAGGAAGGGATCGAACAACAAAAAAGTGCCCAGCCTGGCCTTTGCCTGTGGCGAGGCCTCCCCCCGAGGCTTGAGCAAAGACACCCGGAGGCTTTCCTAGGTCCTCCAGATTTGAGAGGTTGGAAAAAGGTTGGCACCGGGATTGTTTCTGTAGTCTATTTTAGTAGGGGAACCCTCCCCCAAAAAAGGGGAGAGAACGGGCACTACTGGGGGACCTAGTTGTTTGAGGGGAACTTGAAGTGGGGCCCTTTTTGCCTCCTGAGGCCGGCAATAAGATATCCAGAGTCTGGGACGTGGACCACAAGTCAGGGATCCCTATATTTTCTACCCATAAACATCACCCTCAAAGGAAACACACTTCAAAGTGGCCCAAAAAGAAGTGTGATGTATAAAAACAGCCTTTCGCGGGAACATGGGGAGCCCCAAAAAGGATTGAAGGTGGTGGCAAAGAAGAAACAATCATCAACACCCACCTGGAGGTTCGAACTGGAGTCAAATGATGCACTCATTTGTAAGGACCTGCACATACCATCCGTTCACAAACTTAGCACCTGAGGGTACCTTGAAGATCAGTTTCCTCTGAAGGAACCCACTATCTTACAGGGAGAGAGGGAAGGCTGACCGTTCCCAGCTAGCACAAACAGCATGGCTTGCACTGAAGATCTCAATGGAATCCGGTTGCTGCCAAAAAGGGGTTGATAAACACTGTGGACAAAATTACGCACCACTCGGGATGCACTAAATGCTATCCCCAGAACATCACCTACCAACTGGTGCAGGATTTTGTCCATCCACAGTCCGTAGGGGGGGTGTCCCATTCTGGAGGGGCATCAAGATCACGTTGGCGGAAACGCCCCTGGTGTGACTCACCAGGTGTACGACTCAAGGGCTGACATACGCCTGGAAGGACCCCAACTCAAACAGGCGAAGACCTTTCCAACCGGAAATCTGGATGTTGAGCCAGTGGGCAAAGCACCTTTTGACCCACCTTCTCGCAAAGAACGGGATATCCAGTGTAGAAGTCCTCTTGGATGGGGTGGCTGCTCCCCAGAACGCAGTTAGACACGAACGCTAAGGCACACTTCTAGGGTTTGATTCCTTATCCATTCTTCTCAACCATCGTTCTTTCCAACAACCGGCCGTTTTCCCTGGGTTTCCCAAGGCTTTCTAGCTTGAAGCATCCCTGGAAAAAATGGAAATGGAAGGTACCCCTAGAGATTTAGTAGCAAGAAGAAGCTCTCAGTTGCCCAAAGGACCCAGAGTAAAAGGTTTTTTTTTTTGGCCATGACTCAAAATGGACACAACATGAAGGTACCCCTACCCGCGCCAAGTCGCGTCTGCCGCGATTTGTTTTTGTCTCTCAAGGCTCAGCCCCTTCGCAGGTCCCGTGAGACCCTGCGAGAGTCCTGTGTCCTAAATGGGTATGCGTCAAAATACGGGGAACGGACCCCCTTCTTGGGTTGTTCTTGTAGTTTCATTCTAAACCAACCCCCCAAACTGGTATCCTCCAACAGTTGACAACTCATGTCTCACTTCCTGACTGGATTGCCCAAACAAAAGATCAACTGTTTGTTTACCACCAAAATGGTCCAAACCCCAAAAGTATAAAGTCCATCAGCTCAAGAAGCGAACATTTCAGGCAACTAGTCAGGGTCTTCTCTTTGGTTGCGGGTACCATGTGCGGGGTGGGGGGGACGGGGGTTGGAAAAAAAACCAACAAAAACTGGGAAAACCCGCAGAATCTTTCGGGATGGGGGTCCTGGGGGGTCCCTTTTTGACAGATGCCCAGGACATCGGAGCAAGACACCCCCTGTCGTCTCACTGCAAGTGGAGCAGCAGCCATGCCTCCATCTCGGCCTCATGCTTTTTCTTGCTGGAGCTTTCACATCCCCGAAAAACGGAAACCACCAGTTGGATTTTGCTTCTGGGGTCCTTCCGTTCCCTCATTCCCTGCATCTCTCGCACCAGCCTCATGTTTGTTCTTTGTTGCAGGTCAAACCGTGAGAAAACAACTTAGCGGGGATACGGGGCAGGCGGTGATGCCAAAGGATTCCCTGCAAAGGAAACCATGTCGAACACTTACCCCAAGAAGATGCCCACCTGATCAGCCACATCCCTGCTTCCCCCGCATCCCTGCTTGTTTGTTTGTTTGTTTGTTTGTTTGTTTGCCTGAAAACCCTTGCTAAGGTTCTGACTTGTTTAGGTAGTTCGCAAATAAGCGTCCATTTGCTTCATGTGCCACATAACGAGGAATAAAATCGCGCAATATGTACAATTGATAAACATATTTGTCCAAATCCCAGTCATGACCATGTCCACTTTTCCGCCGAAACAGGACAACCCAGCACAAACAATGGTTTCGCCTGATAAGCATCACCCGTCCCAGAAGGTGGCCTCACAAGCTCACGAAAGGACCTTCTGCAAAGGCTGCGACTTGGAGGCCGGTTTCAGCAGAAATCTCGTCAGGATTGGTGTCCCTGCATCGCTTGCATAGCCCCTCACAAATGAAGCCCGAGGCCGGCCAGTTGACTCGACTGAACCAAGACTATCGCGTCCTCTTCACCAAAAACAGCAGCGTCCCTCCAATTGGTGGTTTGGAGTGGTGGTTTGGTGGTTAGGGAGTGGTTTCCCATCTACCCTCTACGAGAAGCAGGGGCTTAAATCCCCAGACCACCAATCCCAACCACCAACCAAGGCTTGCCCGATTCAGGTTCTTGCTTACACAAACTCGCTTGCGAGATTCCTCCGGGGTCAACATTACCAGAGCAAACAACACACATAAGCACGGACGTGGGAACACATACACAGAAAACAAAGCACCACGGCCACGCATGTCTGTGCAAATTACAAAAAAACACATCACCTGACACAAGGAATCCTGTAAGGGACCTTCATCATAGGCAAATCTCTCATTGTTTTCCAGATCCTCATCCGAGTTCTTCAGTGACCCTGACCATTTCGAGGGAAGCCACCAACAAACATAGGACTTGAAGGGTGGAATCCGCCGCTGCAGCGGAGTACACTTTGTCCAACGAACAAGCAAACCATGGTTGTGCAATATCTGCGAAAGCTATGTGTGGAGCATCCATGGTATTTATCCCTGGAGTTCCAACCACTATTAAAACATTGGCGGTGAATATAGTTATCCATGATGCAACACATGACAGACCTGACCTTGCGACCTTGAGGGGGGGGTTTATTAATCCGGGGTATGCATCAGCTGGGTCCCATTCTTGTACTGGGGCTTGAGCTCTAGAAACCCCGGCTTAGTATCCCCGAAAGTGGCCTCGCCATACCTCGTCTAGCCGCTGCGACGTGTAGCATCGGCCGCCCTCTGCCGGCACGGGCCAAAGCGGCGAAGAGGTCGCAGAAGGCTTGCAGGTTCAATGCTGCCTGGCCCGAGCTTCCGTTTGCTTTTGCGCCCCCTGGAACAAAATGAACATACTGCGGGTGGACGAAATCCTGCACCGCCAAAGAAGTCCTGGAATGATGATTCCCCTGTCAATACCAACAAACAAATTTCCCATGGCTTCAAAGTGGTGCGAAATGGATTTCGTCCATCCACAGTATGTCCAGTAGTGATAGATTCCCTTTAAAACCAACAGGGGAAAACAAAAAGATATGCTCAAGCAAATGGAAACAAGGAAGATCAAATGGAACCCACTCTTGACGGGTAGCTTTGAGACCTATAGGAGTGGTTTTGGAACAACTCATGGATTGCCTGGTACATGGCCCATAAAGCCCATCTAAACCAGTGCCCTGTATTTTTCACCAAGCAGACCTAAAAAGGACACCTATTTTCGAGACAAAACCATTCTCAGACAAAACCAGTTGTGGGTGTCTTTCTTGGAGTTGGTACCCATGCTTGGTGGCTTTGAAGGGAAACCAACATGACAAAGCACATCGTTGTGATGTCTCCGCTAAAAAAGACACACCCATTTTGCAGCTGGATTTTTTGCAATCCGGGCAGTCGCTGGCTCCGCTTGCCTGGCTCTGCATCTCCTGGAAGAGGCAAAGTGCTGGCTGCCAACGTGCCACCTCGGCCCGCCAAACCCCGGCGAGCAGTCGACAGCAAAGTCGTTCTGTCTTTAAACGCATGGTGATTATGGGCATGGGTGCCTTTGGGCAAAATAAAGGATGTTCCTTGCAAATGGAATAGCACACATCTAAACCAGTGCCATCAAATTATGTCCAAACTGAGCTTAACAGGACACATAAGTTTGTGGGCTTGTGCTTCTTTCCCCCAACAGCTGAAAGTGTCGCTGCCCTTTTTTCAGCTCTGGATGTTTGTCTCTTTGGGCAGCTTGGGAGGAGGGTCGAAGGAGGGTTCCAAAGGGTTCCGGGGTTGTTGGGTCCCGATACCACCCGAGCTTGAGCTTATTGGTTTTAGGGTACCCCCCCAACAAAACAAAATAAGCTCAGGTGATATCCCCAACAGCAGGCGGTGCTCTTTTTAGTGCTCGCTCCACCCCGCAGCCTTCGCAGAACCTTGTGGAACTCTCGTGAAACCCTGGTGGAACTCTGGTGGAACCCTGGTGGAACGCTGGTGGAACCCTCGTGGAACCTTACCTCAGGGCCGCCCCGGACCACCCCGCAGCCTATCTGGGCTGAGACCCCAAAGCTTTCAGCTGTTGGGGAAAAACAAAAAAACATATATGGCTTTGGTCTTCATTTCGTCTTTGGACACCAGAAACTGGGGTACCCTCAAAAAGACACACCGAAAGTGCGGCTATTTGCGTTTGAAGACCCAATATCACCTTCGGACCAATTGCCTATCGGGGGTACCCCATTCCACCAATCAAATGCGGCACCAACATCATCTATTGATTCCCGGGCGTTGATGCGAAGAACGGAGCGCTTTTGTGGTTGCTACCAGATCCCGCTTACAAGAAAAGAGGAACATAATTTTTGACTATGTCGAAACCACTAAACAACCGGCCTTCATTTCTTCTCCCCAAAGGGCCCCTAATTCTGACCCAAGCGACCCATCTTAGACGACCTGGGGCCACCACCACACCCCGGAGCGCGGTTCCCAAGAGCAGCTGGTTGGCCTGCGATGGCAACCAACTTCTTTACATGGCACAAGACCACTACCTGGGGTTCAGGCGGGCCGTTCTAGAACTTGCTGGTGCTCAGCTAGTGGGCATGAACCTAGGGGTCAGTCCCTGAGTCACTTGCTCAAAACCCGGCATTAAAATGGTCGACCCAGAACCATGTAAAGAATTAAGAAGGCGGCCGCAACTACTTCTGGCTGGGACTGCCTCTTACTAACCTTCATCTACCCGGGTTTTGATTCTGGCTCACCTGAGGTTCAGGCAGGCAGGCCACCGTTCTATAACTTGCTGCTGCGATAGGGAATGACCGGACTCTCCGGGTGCTGGGGAATGAACCCAGGGGTCCCGAAACCAAGGATGGGACCAAGTTTTTTAGGGGTCATTCCCTCATTCCCTGCACCAGGAAGATAATTGTTTACCCTGCAGGAGTGTCATCCAAATTAGCCATTCTCTTTAGCGGGACCAGGTTGAACCCCAGCGCACCACGAAATGAGTTACCATGGTTGAACCATGGCAATTAATTGGAATTTACAGGGGAAGCATCAACAACCAGGGTTCTGCGCGGTGCGAAATGGATTTTGCAACCATCCACAATACCACTGGCTTCTTCTCTTTCAAGACTCAACCGCCTTGCGAAATCTGCGCTTCTCGCTGGAATTCCCTGCGGGCCCTGCAAAAGGCTATCCTTTTATTTCTTAAAAGGGATAAGCAAGGACACCCAAACAGGCCAGAAGCGGAAGAGGCAAGCTATATCCACTGTTCAAAAAGCACCGCCTGGCTCAGTGGTCCCTGTTAAAACATCACCCCAACAAACACTCACCTCTTGGGCCAAGAAGGTGGGCCCAAGACCAAACTCGCTGAACTCTCGAACATTTTTTGTGTGAGTGCTTTTTTTTTAAAGGGCCACTCACCTTTTCGTGGGCCCAATAGTTGATGTTACGGACTAGGGACTTCTCTGGGTGTGGCTCAAAACTAAACGATCGGAGGGGCAAACCGCGGGTGTTGGTCCATGTTTCCAGTTACCAGGGCAACCCATTTTGGAATTCCGGTTTTTTGAATTCGCCACAGCCTGGTTGCTTCCCATGCCCCGCCTCCAGGCGCCTTGCAGGCAAGGCCTGCAGCAGCTGCAAGATCTCTGCCCAGCGCTCGGCAGAGGCACACGCCTCAGCTCGATTTTTCCTCGGGAGGCGTTGGGCTTTGTGTTGAAGCGTTCGAGACCGGGCCGTGGTCCGCGGAAAAGTGGGGCGGAACTCGCTGGCACGCCCCGGAAAATGGAGTCCGTGGTTGGGAGGCTACATGGGCCTGTCTTTCTTTGGGGGACCCGTTGGTGCTGGGGTTTTAACGGAAATGAAACTGCACATAAATATGTTCGAGGTCCTCTAAACAAAGACACCCAAATAGGCTAAAGCCAACAGCACCATCAATAATAGAAACAAACAGCTACTGCGGATGGGCAGACTCCACAAAGCACACCATTCTGTATGGATGAAACCGTGAATACTGAGATAAGCCACCTACCAAATGGTGCAGGATATTGTCCGTTCACAGGTTGAATATCATGAAATTCACCTGAAACATGCTGTGCGTTTTTTAGTGTTCAATTTGTGACATCATGTCATTTGATCAACGTTTAAGTATCAAATAATGAACAAATATAAATACACTGAGAACAACTGCCTCTGTGTGCTTGCTTCTGCTTCCGCGTGCTTTTGCGTCGAGCTTAGGGGCTTAGTGGAGGGCAACTGAGAAAAAGTTGCATCCGCTTCATCCCTCTATTGGGCTGTGGTTGAAATGGAATCCACGAATCTGTGATACAGAAAGGGCCTAACCCCAAAGACTAAGCCCCAAAGAGAAAGGATATGTCCAACTTGTATCACAGAAGCGGTTGGAGAAACCCCGAGTGATCAACCACAACCCTGCTCTACTCCAAATGCTGTTTCAAGGGTATGATGACCGCCGACTTTCCCCGAAGGCGCCTAACAGAAGCCGGGTATTTGGGTATGACCCTGGGTATGTCTCAAAGCAGGTTCAATTGGGTCTTCCCTTTGGTTTCCCTTTGGTTTCCCTTTAAACCGAGAATCTTGGCTGCTTGGCTGTCCAAACTGATCCCACACGAAAAGTAGCTAACTTTTAGTGGGTCAAACTCGGAAAAACAAAAACGAAAAAAACGCCCCAAAACCGCTCAAACCCATTGAGCCAGACGATTCGCTGGAAACCTCAAACACCTCCCAAAAAATGAGAAGATATGTGCAGTAGTGAAATAGATTCCCTTTAAACCCAAAAGGTGGAACATTTAATAAGACACATATTCATTTCAGCAACTGGAATAAATCATGGCAACTGCCCAAGGCCCTTTGTGACTTGATCGCGTTGATGATCTCAAAACAGGGGGAACCCCCCAACAAAAAAGGTATCCAACTGAAAGCCAATGGAAGCCACTTGGAGCCACCCAGAAACACCCCGCGTCGCGCTGAGTACGGCGCTGCGATGGCGCTGGAGTAGCTCACCACGTCGCACTTGGAGCCCATGGCGGTCAGCAAGGCGATGGCCTTGGACTGTGGGCGGTCAAGGCCAGCGATCGAAGGTTCGATTCCCCAATCAGGAAACCACCCATTTTCCAGGGTCCTGGCCCTTGAAGAGAATGATGCCTGAAGAGAATGGCGAGGGTACTGCTAGAGATGAATGTTGACCCCGCATCATCAACCTCTGTTTATTAACTAGGTTCTCGAGCAGAGAGGTTAGAATAAGGGTACCCGAATTTTTTTTTTTTCTGTAGTTGATTTTAGTAGGGGAACCCTGCCCCAAAAAAGGTTAAAAGGGCACTACTGGGGGACATGTTGGGCTTCCCTTTCCCAGTGGATCTCAGCTACCCTTATGGTAAAATCTATGTTGTCTTGGTTTCGAAAGGGTGGTTCCCTTAGTTACCCTCCCACCAAGTAACGCGGAACCGTTCTACGCTCGGGGAGTCTTGGTTTGGACCCAGTTGCCTTTTAAAGGGACGGGGTCCATAACGAACGTCAGGTTCCATGTGAAAGGGGTGGCGAACTGGGTTGTTCCCGGTTTCAGACCCCCCCCCCCCGGCGAAAAGTGACAAAAGTTTTAGTTCTAGCGGGTGCAATTCAGCAACCCAACCACTAAACCAAATACAAACCCGCGGTCGGATCTAGAAACTGGCCGGTCTGCTTTCTGGGCAAAGTGACCAAACAAGATCCCAACACCTCAACCGCATGGCTGGGAACCACCAAGTTGCTTCACCCCTTGCCATTCGACATCTGTTCCCCCCATAATTTCACCAAAGTCGTTCCCGTTCAGTGGTAGGTTAAAGGGAACCACTAGCCAGTTTCTGTGTTCGATCCCTTTCGGGGTATCTTTTTTATATAAATTCCTGAGAGATTTGCAGCTCCGGCTCTAAAGTCGCAATTGTACAGTACAAGTGTAGTACGCGAAGCATACTTTTGGCACACTTTGGCAGCTGTGCATCACTCAAGTCTTACAAATAGCTATTTATTTGTTTACTCCGAATCGTTTTGCAGGAGTTTGTGCATGTTTTGTAGAAAAAGGACTAAAGTAGTATTGCCCCCCTTTATACAATCCCATGTGGGCCATGGTCAAAATTACTTGTGCTCTGTTTGTTGTTTGTGGGGAACTTTGATTTGGAGCTTGTCCCCCCTCCCACAGCAGGACCCTAGACTCATGTAGGTGGGCCTCCAACTAGGAGACCCCTTTTTGGAGAAGCTTTGCCAAATCAAATCCCAGCAGCTCGAAAGTCCATGAGGCAAACCTGCAAAAGACACACTCTTGGTTGCTGTTGACCCCTCTCCAAAAAGTCAACTTCTTGTGGGTCCAATGAAAAAAACATAAGTGTCCTCAAAGGCTTAAAGTCCAAAGATCCGTTACCAAAGAACCATCAATTCATATGCTGGGTGTCATAAAACATTGAAGTCTGCACCCCCTCCTTTCCCTTCCGAGGAGACCCAACCCCCGGGTCCCGCCCCCCCCCCCCCAGCTGCCCGGCGCCTGGCGCCAGCGTTTGCGCCGTGCCATGGCCGCCATGGCGCAGTTCTTCGCCTCGGCCGCAACGCCGCCGCCGCCCGCGGCGGCGTCGTTTTCCGCGAAGTGCAGCGCCTGCTGCCAGCGCCCCGCCTTCTCGCCTGAGCCGTTCGCGGGGTGGCGTTGGCGGCAGGGGCGGTGGCTGGGCTGTATCTGTATACATGTATATATATATATATATTATACATATATATATATATAGATATATAAATTGCACATATATGTATATATATATATATGTTTCTATCTGCATATATAACTACGCGTATATGTATGTAAGGATTTTTTAGGATCCGGAGGGCCTGTGTTTGTTTCGCCAGGCCTGGACCTAAGGCCCCTGCAGGCGCTGATGGCCGCTAGGAAGTTCTCCGATTTGGGCTGCAGGGCAAGATCTGGAAGCTGGGCCTTGGACCAACCGAGCTTACGCACTCACCCATCCCACGCCCAAACAAAACAACCAACCAAACCAAACCGAACAAAACAAACCAACCTACCTGCCTACTTGCGCACTCACCCATCCCAACCAACTAATCAAGCTACCGACCATCTGCCGGTTGCCTAGTCACCTTGACCCAAAAAATCGGGGGCCCTTCCTGGGCTTGACTATTTTCAAAGGGGACCGTATGAAACACTTAAATGGGGAAAGGGTTTCTGCCTGGTTCACCTACCAACCAACTTACCTACGCACTCACCCATCCCAAAAACCTACCAACCAGCCAGCCACAGACCTAGGAAAATAAATCGCCTCAGCCGTCTTACAGGGTTCCCAGCAACGAATCAGACAAACTGGTTTCGAAGACATTCTGAGGGGTATTTCAAGACCTAAACGGCTTCTATTTGGTCCATGAATCTGGAGGTGTTCTTTTTCAGAACAGATGGTCCCCAAAAAAGTCACAACTTTGGCTCAGGAGTCGCTTCCAATCCCTGCCAGGGCTCCAGGATCTGCAAAGACCAGCGCCACCTGCGCCGGCAAAAAATGCAGAAACCATCTGTCTGATATTCTCCACCCCGGACAACTCAGGTGCCCTTTTGAAGGTTGGTTTGACTGGAGGTCAAAAGGGTTCTGTGTTTTATTTGTTCTGCTTTCTTTGCTTGGGGCGGGTGTCCGTGCTAATCTGCTCGTGTAGAGTAATAGGCATTAAGCCTTGCATTGGTCATGTGTAAGTCATTAGATATGTGCATACATACATACTGCAAATATGCACATGCACATACTCTGTGTCTCAGTGTCTCAGTCTCTCTGTGTGTGTGTGTGTGGTGTGGTGTGGTGTGGTGTGGTGTGTTGTGGTGTGTGGTGTGTGGTGTGTGGTGTGTGGTGTGGTGTGTGGTGTGTGGTGTGGTGTGTGGTGTGTGGTGTGTGGTGTGTGGTGTGTGGTGTGTGGTGTGTGGTGTGTGGTGTGTGGTGTGTGGTGTGTGGTGTGTGGTGTGGTGTGTGGTGTGTGGTGTGTGGTGTGTGGTGTGTGGTGTGTGGTGTGTGGTGTGGTGTGTGGTGTGTGGTGTGAGGTGTGAGGTGTGTGGTGTGGTGCGGTGTGTGGTGTGGTGTGGTGTGGGGTGTGGGGTGTGTGGTGTGTGGTGTGTGGTGTGTGGTGTGTGGTGTGTGGTGTGTGTAGTGTGGTGTGTGGTGTGTGGTGTGTGGTGTGTGGAGTGTGGTGTGTGGTGTGTAGTGTGTGGTGTGTGGTGTGTGTGTGTGGTTGTGTGTGTCTGTGTGTGCGTGTGTGTGTGTGTCCGTGTCTGTGTCTTTGTCTTTGCCTGTGCCCGTGTCTGTGTGTGTTTGTGTCCGTGTGCGTCTGTGTGTGTGTAAGACATGTGTACATAGGCGTCCTTTTCGGGGAAATAGATGGCCCTGGTAGATGATCAAACCACCAGGTAAACCAGAAATCGCCATCCAGTTTTCGACCAAAACCCCCAAAAAGCACACCTATGCCCGAAACCCGAATCCCTAAACAACTCAACCCCTAAACCTCAAACCCGGAACCTTAAACCCTAGACTCTAAACCCTAGACTCTAAACCCTCAAGCCCTAGACTGTATATATGTATGCGTATCCGCACTGGCTCACTCATCTCCCGTTTGAAGCGACCCGCGCCTGCCAGCTGCGCTGCAGGCCGACTGCCCCGCGGCACAGGCCACGGCGTCGCATCTTCGGGCGCGCGTGGCTCGGTGCAGGAGGCCAAGGGCCAGCTCCCAGTGGCTGCCTGAGGAAAGCGCATGTATATATATATATATATATATGTATGCTTCCATTTGGTCTTTAAAACCAACAGGGGAAATAATTTGTATATATATATATGGCCATGGGCCAAAACCCAAATCCTACCCCCAGTGAACATCCCAATCCCCACTAAAATAGGTTCTAAAATGGGTGGTGCATTCACCTACCAACCAAAATGGTACCATTGGTTTTGACCCACAGCCATATATCTACAAACATGTTATTCATGTACATATTACATGAATGCTAAAATAAATTGTAACAAGTATATTTGTTGCAATAACTTCCCTGTGGGAGAACAAATCTTCCCTTGGATAATGCATTCCCTATCTTCCCTGGGTACAGAGTGAGAGAACCGCCGGGCGTGAGAAAGGAATTTGTCCTTTCAGAAACCACCGGAACCCTATGAATCATTGCCGACGGACCTGGAGATAAAAGGCGATTTATCCTTGGGCGCCGTGACGAAAAGTAGGCCAACAAGGGAAAACAAGCAAGATGAAAGGAAACGCCCTGGGTGAACTCAGACTGAAGGTCTAGTCTCCTGTTGGTTGCGTGGAGGGAACCTTACCCAAAGAGCGGTCCACTACGAAGAAACGATTGGCTTTGCGCATAGTTCGGTCCACCCAAAACGCCTAGCCAAGCCGTACTCAAATGTGGGAAGAAAACTGGGGCGGTGCAATCAAATCAGAAAAACACCCATAACTCCAGGGGTACCTTCCCCATTCTTTCCAGGGATCCGAATCTTTCTAGAAAGCCACGCCCAAACCCAGGGGACACGGATCCGGTGTTTGGAAAGAGCGATGGATAAAAAAAATGAATAAGGAATCAACCCCTATAACAACCGTTAAAACCCAAAATCCCTATTGGAGGCCTCCTTGAACTTCTTGTGGGCATCATCTAGGTGGGGAGTGTCCATCCCTTGACAAGCCTAGAGGACATGCGCCGGCCTTAAGGGTTGAAAATTGGATAAGGGGTCCTCACTGAAAAATCCAATTTGGTCTTCCCTCAAAACTGCCAGAAAAATGACTGCCAAACCAAAAAGAGAGGAGTAACCAGGCGATCACTTGGGACCTTGACTGAACATGGACAAAGAACAACTCCAAAAGTTTATATGAATGTCCTTCGAAATGAGAAACTATCCGGGACCCGATGCCTTGAAATCCATGAGCTGAGGATGCAGCTTGCCTAAATTGTTTGAAGGGACCCCTTCTGGTGGTTCGAAGGGGAAACAACCGGAAAACGACTGTGTTGGTCGGGCCCCTAACCAAAACACATCCAAAAGCACTTGCCTGCCCAAAAAGTTCAACTTATTGCAGCTTCCATGTGACAAAAAAGACATGTTCCAAAAAGCCTCAGAGGCTATGGATACAACATCTGATACAACTAAATCAGTTGCTTCTGAAAACTAGGGACCCTTTAAAGGCTTGGTGCCCGTTTCACCTTATCCAAAAACAACAGTTCCTCATAATGACAGACTCATAGCAACGGTTTCCTTCAAATAGCCCATCTGAAATTTTTGACCGAACCTCAAGTGAACGCCCAAAACTCATTGACGTTTGGTCCTGCCAACATGGCTATACAGGTTATACGGGCCTCACTACAATCCACATTGCCACATGTTGAACCTATAAGCCGATGGGGGGTTGACTGAACCTCAAATAGCTTTCAACTGGGCTGTCCGTTTTCAGATCCCCTGCTAATAATTTAACCTTTAGTGGGTCAAATTGAAACCCCGCCTAAACCCTAAAAACCGAAATAAAAAGCGAAGGAACCGGATGGCTGGGAACCACCAAATTTACATAAATTTACCACTAACCCCCCTAAAAACCTAAAAATAACCAAGCTTAGGCACCGGGCTGGGAACCACCCAGGCAAGTCACATCCATGTACGAAAACGGCGGGCGCCTCCACACGCGGTGATGGCGGCGGCAAATGTGAAGGCGTCTGGCGTGAGGTCGCGGGATGGCATTTCCTCCGAATGCGAGGCGGATCGAAGTGTAGATGTTCTGCTTGGTTTTGAGTGGGGGGTGTCCCCTTCAGTGCGGGTTCATCACTTGGGAACGAGTCTTTTTATCTGGGGTCAACATGATTCCTTTCGGGTGGTTGAAAGGGCGACCAAAGGACATTCATCATTGAGTTCATCAAAAGGATGCAAGTCATTCTAGAGTTCACGAGAAACCCAGGGTTTTCTCATTTTGCTGTTATTTATGGTGTGGTCAACATTTCCATGGTACATTTTGGAAGGATAGCGGCCAAACCAGGTGACGGGCCCTAAAAAAGTCCCATGTCCTCTTGGAACGTTCATAAATTTGACCGTGCATCACATCACATTTCAAGCAACATTGGGATACCTGACCAAAAAGAGTTCTCAGCTGGGACTCGCAACCTTTTCAGTGACAATCTGTTGGCTGGACTCGGGGATATCAGAAAGAAGCGGGGTCAACGAGGGCGGGTGTCGACTCCAACCTGCTACTCCAAAATCCTACAAAAAAGCGGGTTCCAAATCATAACCTGGTTTTCAGAGGAGAAACCTGGATTTCAAAAAGCATACGGAAAATACGGGTTTTGTACTGCTTTTATACGGGTTTTGTCCGGTTTTTGTACGGGTTTGAAGAAGCAAAACCAGGTTCTTCAACCGAAAACCCGGTTTTCGACGAGTGGCAGGAACAAAACCTGGTTTTTGCTGCCCACCCCAAGTTTTTGTAGGTTCTTCGAGTACCAGGAATTCCTTGTACCCTCCGAACCTGAGCATCTCACTTGCCAAAATATGGACCCGGAAATCAAAGCAGGGATCCGGATGCATGAAAAACACCCCTTTCTTTTGGTGTTGAAAAAGCAACATGTTTCAAATGGGCACAAAATGGAGATCTTTTAAGGAGCCCTGCAAAGGCGATCGCCTTTTGGAACCTTCCTGTTGCTTGAGGGCGTTCTCTTTCAAGCAAACCAAAGGGAATATGCACCCAGCAGACACAAGCCCACTTAAAGGCGTATCCGAAGCCAACTTTCGAGGCCCTTTGCAATCAACCAACAGAGAAGCGGAACCTTCCCAAATACAAAATATGTATTTCTGTGATACACTAACGCCCCAAATAGGGGGGGACAAAATTGCTTGTATCACAGAAGTGAAGTGGTTGGATAAACCCCGAGTGATCAACCACAACCCCTTTATCTCTTCTCCTTGTTTCTATGGTCATTTCGTGGCCAATCAAATTCACGAGGCTCAGTTCCTCAGTCGGCTCGCGTCCAAATTGTTCCACCGCGCGTTGCTCCAAACTCGTCGGCCAAAAGCTGTGGCCGCTGTAGCTCAAAACTCACAAGCTGTGGGTCAAAAATGAGTACCCAAAATGGGTTGCCCTGGGAAATGGAACCAAGGACTAAAACCTGTGGTCCTCTGGTGGTTTAAAACCTGTGGTCCAATTCCTGGTGGTTTAATTTTGACCCACCCAAGTGGCAATCCTGGCTGTTCGAGCCGGACTCGAATTCTGTAAACTTCAAATTGCCGTCTTCCATTTGCTTTTTTGCCCCCTGGAAAAAATGAGAAAATATGTCCAGTGGTGATAGATTCCCTTTAAAACCAAGATATGAGAAAAACAAATCTCGAGCCAATGGAAGCCGTGGCAACGATGGGCGAGCCAGTCGACTCAGCGCAACAAGTCGCCAACTCCAGCTTGGATGTCCCCGACAACACCACCGACGGTTCCGCGGCGCCGCCCGCCCTCGCGGCGGCGGTGGCCGCCGTCCGGGATCTCGAGCACGCCATGGCAGTTCTTGTAGCAATATAGAACGCTGCAATAAAAGTAGCCAAACTCGCAATTGCAGTCCCAGTTGAATCCAGCTGTGGTGCGAGACCTTGTGCTGTTATTGGGCACCGAGCTCCAATTCGCCTTCAAGCTCGTATTGAACGACTTCAAGGTGGGCAAGCCGACAGTCTTGCTTGCATTTGCGGTGGCTCCGGCCTTGTTCCTAGAGCCGCACGTCGATTCGAGGTAGCAATAATCCCTCGAACACACGTTATATGGCGAATCGCATCCACAACTCCAACTTGAGGTGAACTGGCACAGGCACAAGGCTGGGAGGCAGGCCAAGCACGCCAAGACGCCACTTATGGCTGCCATGACGCCTGACACCTAATGCTAAGAACTATACAGTTAAAACTTCAAACTCATTTGAGGCAAAGAAGGAACGGCGATGCAATCCGAAGGTCCATCTGTGGGTGACTGCTTGGCAAACTGATCATTCCCCAAAAGACACCTCCATGGTGTCATCTAGGTCCTCCAGTAGAGAGGTTAGAATTCGGGTACCCTTTTTCTGCAGTCTGTTTTAGTAGGGGAACCCTCCCAACCAAAAAAGGGTAAAAGGGCACTACTGGGGGACCTAGTCTTTGTTTGCCCCACCCTTTTATGAACGCATCGCCCCCTTTGTGTCCTCAAGCATGCGAGCCCCTCCAATCAATTGTTCCAAGAGACATGGGACGGACGAGTCAGTACTAAAAAACTGCACCTCCCCCAGACCCGTTGACGAGTCAACCCGTTGGGCAAGTCAGTACTAAAAAACGCACCCCCCCAGACTAGACACGTTGGGCGAACCAGTACTTGGACTTGTTGGAAGGATCAGGCACAGTTACCGCCTCTGCGCCCACCCCAGCGCCCCTGAAGTTGATTGATCACATGTTGGCATCAAGGTTTTTGTGCCCAAGAGACCCCAGCTCGCGCAGCGCTCGCAGTAGCAAGCAGGGGCAAACGCGCAGGCCTAAGCGCCTGGATCTCGTTGCGTTTGGCCTTCTTCGATTTTGGGGACTGGATCGGCGTAGGTGCACTCTCCCGGGCTGGGGTTGCGACAGGCTTGTGCATCGTTTTGGCCAAAGCCAACTGTTTGGCCAGATCATCTGGCACTTTCTTGGGACCTATGCACGGATCAAACCTGGGAAACCCATTCGCTTCGAACGAGTATTTGAGATTCATGGGGGCTTAACCACAAGACTCGCTTACACATGAGATTCATCGGGTGTTATAGTGTTGACTGTGTCTGCTCAACTCTTGGACATTGTTGACCCCTCTGCAACACGTGTTTAACTTTTTGCGGGGAATACGGAAAATCCGACCTGTTTCAACCAGAACATTGGAGTCCAAAGGTCCGTTGCCAAAGAGCCGTAAAGTATTCACTCAAAGGAAACTCATTTGAAAGGCCCAAGAAGGTGAGGCTTAAAAACCAGACCAGAGGCTTCATGACCGCGAGGTGGTCCTCCAATAGATGCAATGCCCGCTGCCATTGGCTGCCTGGCAGCTCGCCCTATAGCAACATAGATCTTAATACAACTGATAGGGGTCACAGGTTTTTCCCGAATCAATAGGTTGAACCATTTTCAGGTGGTGTGATGTACTGATCATAGGTGTCCTTCTGGACAAATAGATGGGCCCTGGTAAATCGAAGGAGACCCATCTAAACCAGGGCCATCTATTCTTAGCCAAACTAATCTTAAAAGGACACCTATGGTGTAGTTAGTGATCCGAGGGGCCACTGATTAAACCCCCGAATCAGAAGTTGATCGATCGCTGCACCGTCCAAAAAAAAGGGAAATCGTGGGAGTACTGGCTGGGACTCCTGCTCCATGTCCGGCATTTCAATCACAAAGTCAGAAAGTCGAATTCGCCAACCCCAAACTCAGCGAGTTCACAACCGAAAGACCCGGAGCCTTCATACACGAAGAGGTCACCAAACCAGTGTGTGTGTGTGTGTTTCTTCGCGATTGAACCAAATGAATCATTTCAATCCGCAAGGCCGACCAAGTGAAGGCCAAATTATGGTGGACTAATTTAGCTGAATTGCATCGAGCCAGACTCTCCAGCCATTCTCCTGGTCCATCACGGATACTACTTAACAAACGCAAAACGTGCGTGACAAAGTCAGGAAGGTCGGTTTGCATGGCCGGCGTCCAAGCCAACAGCCAGTTGGATGATGTGTGTTTCATGATGTGCTTTGACGTTTAACAAGCACAGCAGCAGAAGCATCATCACAACCATCATCATCATCATCATCATCATCATCATCATCATCATGATCATCCTATCTTGGTTGACGTCCATGCTATCAACTTTGCCTGGTAAGCCCCCTCCCCCAATGTATGCCTCCGATGCACCCTCCGTCCTTAGCAACTACCCCGAAGCCAACCAGCCCCCGGACCACGCCTGATGCAATGTTCAGAGGTAGACATGAGTGGACCTTTCATAAGCACGTATTAACTAACATATCAGTCACAAGCATGCCCTTCAAAACAAGCCAGAAACAACAACATCTGTGAATGTGTCAGAATAAGGAAGCCACACCATGGTGATGTCCCTTGTGATGTCCCTTGACGCCAACCTTTAGAAGTGTACCCTCAACAACACACACACACAAAATGTCCCGTGACCCGACTAAAATTCAGGCCATCTTGATGGCTATGATGTGTTAAAAGGCACGAACCTTTTCAGTGGTTTCACACAAACACAGCCTAAGCAAAGTAACATGGAACCTCAAAAGCGGGTCCCCACCGTTGTTTTCTTCCTCTAGAACTCTTGGCTCTTGGGGCTCCACGTTAATCCAGGGCTGTGGGAAATGGAATCCACTTCTCTACAACAAAAAGGGCTTCCCAAAGACTAACCCCCCATATACAGGAGGAGATTGCAACTTGTCTCACAGTAGTTGGAAAAACCCCCGAGTGATCCCACAACCCTGCGCTAATCTGCCAGGGGGTTAATACACTAGCAAATGAAAGGCCGCGACACGTGATCTGCGCCCTTGCTCTCGAGCCTTGACCGCAAGCACTGACAGCCGCGTTGAAGCCTCGATCGAGGTGCTTTACAGCGGTCCGTTTGCAAACGGTTAGCTCAGGGACGCTTCTCAACCTGTTTCAGTTCTTCGTCCGACATGTTTGGTGGTTGATCTTTGCCTTGGTCTCCGAAAAAGGAGCTTTTGCAAAAAAAAAAAGAAAGTAGGGCGCCCTCTCTTTGATCGCACAAAGTTGGACTCCCAACAGGGGCTGGTCGTTAAGATCGAACACCGCCCGTTTGAAGCAACCGAGAAATTGAAGCCCCCCCAGGGTTGAATTGAATCCAACATCACAGCGAACTTCACCCCTCCGAGTCTGTGTCTCCTCTGTGTCTGTGTCTGTGTGTGTTTGGGTGTATTGTATGAATATGTCCAAATGTAGATAACAGTATACACGGTACACAATAATCAAAGTTGTATACTAACATAGATGCACATAACCCGCGATAAAACATGTACAAGGAAGTCATTTTAGCCCCCAGCTGAAATTTGGTCGCCGTGGCACTATGATCCTCCCCCAAACAATCGTAGACCAGCAGTTGGGTCTGAGCACATGTGCTAGGTTCTTGAGTAGAGAGGTTAGAATAAGTTGGTACCCGATTCTTTGTCTGCAGTCTATTTTAGTAGGGGAACCCTCCCCCAAAAAAGGGTAAAACGGCACTACTGGGGGACCTAGTGTGTTTCGCACCAGAGCCTGGTTCATCCAAATCGCTATTCGCCACCGGGGCGAGCGCGAAAGTCGACATCTCGCCCAGCAGATGAAGCGCAGAGGGCCACGCAAAGGCGGATGCTGCTGCGCTGATGGCCGCGTTGATGCAGATCACCTGCAAAGCCATGTGCATGTGCGAGAATTCCAAACCCTGAAATAAGGCATACCGAGAAGATGACTTGCATGGGGAGCTTGAGTTACTTCCGGGTCATGGAGATAAACCCACAGGGGTTGATCTTCCACTGGGTTGATACAGTGCTTCTCACTTTTCGGGTGGTTTTGAGTGGGCAACCCGCTGAACAAAAAGCCCTTCACTGCACCCTTAAAAACGGATCTGAGTGATGCGTCCAGCTCCAATTCGATGCCAGCTCCAAGTGGTCCAAATCCTTCCGAGTCGTCAACCAAATGTCGCTCAGGACAAGGATTCTTGAGCAGGGTGATAGGGTGATGGTAAAACTCCAAGTGGTAAGAACTCAGTTCTCAAAGTAAAATGTCAAGGACGTTTTGTTGAGAGACATTGTTGGAGCCTCTCAACGAGTGCAATGAAATCCTTCGACTTGTTATGCTAAACACTTCTCCGGACGACTTTCAGCTGCTGGCATTAAATTTCACTCAGAATCACCCAGAACTCCAAGCAACGTGTCCACCCAAAAGGTGAGATCCGAAAGCCAAAAGCGCTGCCATGGTCCGATCTGCGAAAGCTTAACTTTTCGTGGGATAAAATGGGTGTGGCTCAAAATTAAACAGGAGGGGTTACGCAGGTTTTGGTCAATGTTTCCATTTACCAGGGTTCCATTTTGGAAACCCAACCACTAAACAAACCAAAAAGGGGGAGGGGTGGGAATCGCCGAGAAAAGAACGGGGGGTCACTTCTACTGATTCTGCCGGGCAGAATTAAAGCAGTCAAACTCGTCGCTGTCTGGGATTGCTTCTTGGGGATTGGTGCATGGAAACCAAACGAGCATCTCCATACAAATAGGAGTCCAAGACCTCGTTGTTTCAGGCCTTTGGGAATTGTCCATTCCTTCAGATAGGTGTTTGAGGCCTTTTGGGGTTTTCCATTCCTTCAGATGTAGGGTCCAAGGGGCTCCTAGGGAAACAAATCTTACAGTTTTGCCGTTCCTTTTCTGAGGGTTGATCTCCTTTCCATGATTCTGACCCATTCCTGTGAACAACTACTAGATCCAGCACTGCTTTAGGTACCCCACGTACAAAAAGAAGGTGCTATTCCTTTAGACAGTTTACACACATCTTGGCCTGTGGAGCCATTCCCAGCAGTGAATCTCCAAATCCCAGGTGGGCATCATACATTCACCGAACATCAATGAGCGCATTCACTGCACCATCAAGAGCAAACACCTTCGTGACAACTTTGCAATGCTTGATCCTTCCAAAGCACGCACAGGTGGTTCACCTTATTTGGGGACCGCTCCAGCTGGGTTTCCTTTTGGTTTCCCTCACCATCCCAAAGGGGTTTCCCCCCGACAAAAGAACACGTCCAATTTGCTTAGGACCCCCCCGGACAAAAATGAGAAACTATGTCCAGTAATGAAATCGATTCCCTTTGAAACCAACAGGGGCAAATAGATAAAATGTTCATTTCAGCAAAGGTGATGGGTTCAGGATGTGTGTCAGAGTTGTTCTCTAGAGGTTCATTCCCCATTCTTTTCAATCATCCTTCCTTTCAAAAACTAGCTGTTTCCCCTGAGAATTCTGATGGTTTTCTGGAGAGATTCGGATCCCTGGAAAGAATGGAAATGGAAGTGTCCCCTAGATGTTTGCTGCTGCAAACGAGGCGAGCAAATGGAAACACACACACACACAGCCAAGGGCCCCTTGCCACCATCAAGCTGAGCTGCATCCGGCTGCATGCTGCGCCGGCATGTAGCTAAGACCTGGCGCTACAGCACTTGGGTTGCGAAAACCGTGTTTCGCACCACGAAACGAAACCATGGGTTGGCCTTGCGAATTGAAGCGATTCATTTGGTTCAATCGCTGACACCATGACGTTCGATGGCATTTACAGGGGAATCAGCAGCAATTCCGGGGCTTCTCCTCGGGGCCAAATGGATGAATCGTCCATCCACAGTATGTCTGGAAAGGTCATTCAAAACCAGCCCCGCACATGGAAGATGACCAAAACCAGAAAGACACAGAAGGGTTGGGGCTGGGAACATAGTTTTAAACCGGTAGCTGAAGGTTCATTACACGTCTCCAATGCTAAATACGCTCCCCCCCAAAAAATAAATAATAATCACAAAACATAAAATAAACAAAAAGAAGACTAGCTTATAAAAAAGAATAGCTCATTGCTCATGTCCCTTTGGTTGCTCTTCAAACAACAGAACACCTGTTCATTCTGATCGATACGACAGGGAATGACTCATAATAGTAACTACTCACCAAGCGGAATAGAGGAATCCCTAAGGGCCTTTCATGTTTAATGTGAGCTCGCTACAACTAGTGCACACCTCATGTTGATGGCAATTTCAACTTCCGACAGCCTGATTTTTTCACAGACGCAAGTCAGGACAATGAAAATCACTTCACAAGGCTCGTTGACGGCAAACTGCTGACTATCCAGTCAAATCGTGAGCGCCTGACACCCATTGACGTTTGCTTCTATGATGGGCTTGAACGCTTTGCATACCGTGGATGGACAAAATCCAGTTAGCACCATCTAAGATGGAATGATGATTCCCCTGTAAATACAAAGAACCCTTCTGGTTTCAACCATGGTTTCATTTCATGGTGCGAACGGATTTTGTCCATCCACAGTATGAAGTCCCTGATCTCCCATCAAACCAGGTAGGCAGCTTGGGCCTTCTTGGAGCCTCCGCAAAGAATCATGCAACACAGGGTTTGAATCCCTTTGACTTGTTGTGAATCAAACCGCCTTGTGTTACAGAAACTCAACCCGGTACTAGGACTGGCGAATACTGTGGATGGACGAAATCCGTTCGACCACTTTGAACTTTGGGAAACCCTCGCTAGTTGGTATTTACAGGGGAATCAACAGAAGGAAAAGGTTTCTCCTTGGTGGTGCTAAATGGATTTCCTCCGTCCACAGTATTTAAGGGAAACCACGGGTCTCGGGGGGTTTTCTGCTTGAAGACAACCTACCCTCTACTCCAAATACCTTTTTTTTTCAGGGTATCATGTCGATCCTCCACTAAAAAGGGAGGTATTCACCATGGAAAACTTGGTTTTCCATCAAAAACTACCCTGGAAAAAGACCGGGTATTTTCAGTTTACGGGGCTAGTTGCTTCCCAGCTTGCGGTTCCCGCCCCGTTTCCGGACCTCCAACGCAGCCTGCCACTGCTTCTCACAGGCGCTGATGCATGCGCTGCAGGAAACCACGTCAGCCTGGGATTTCCTCTGCTCACTACAACTTATAAGCTATGCCCACTAAATGTGGATGATGACGCTTTAGACAAGCCACTGTTTTGTGCTTGCCTGGATGATATGCTAGACAAACCGCTTCTTTTGCTGGCAGACCTACTAAACAAATATGGCAAGTTGATATCACGAACCGGATACGCGAAGTTTACAAGGCAAAGGACCTTCTGGGCAGAATCACTCGTTTGACCTCCCATTGGTGAGCTATGATTTGCCAGATCAATCCCCGTAGCTTCCCGGTGGAACAATTAAACCATGTTGCTAGGACAAACAATAAAGCCCAATTCTGGAATCCTGAACACCATTGACTTGGTGCTCCACCAGCATGGCTTTAAAGGTTTGGGCCTTAAAATACTCCCGAAACCAGGTAACCGAACCGCGTAGTTGAAGCAACCACGTAGGCCTTGGCAGCTACCCATTTGCAACAAATTCAAAAGGCGGCACCCTTTGCGATTGGACCTATCCCTTGCAAACCTGCGTCTTACCTTGTCCTCAGATTCCCTGCTAAAAGTTCATCGCTTCGCGGGTGAAATTCGGAAACCCAACCACCAAAGGTTAAACTACACCAACTAAAAACCTCCAAACACCGAAGCGGGATAAACCCAACCTCTAACCCTAGGGTTCAACCCCCATTGAAAGAATGGCAAGGACCCAATTTGGATGATGACACTTGGGTAATTAACGGTGGTTATATGAACCCAGCCATTGTTTTAATGGTGGCAACTGAACCCCAACCTCTAAAGTCACCAAACCAACTGAAAACCTCGAGAAAAGAAATAAGAAGAAAACACAAAAACGAAGGAACCGGATGGTTCCTTCGGGAACGGTGGCCTCGCCATAAAGTATCGGCTCAGACTCCATAGATGGATTCCTCACTTCCCGAGTGTATTGCCCGACAAAGAGCCCAACATACTCTATATTTACAACTAAAAAGGGTCCAACACCAAGCCAAAAAGAGTCCAACATACTCTATTTACAACCAAACAAAAAATCGAACCCCACAAAGTTGCAAGCTTTAACTCCGGACGTGCTGTTCCTTTACCACCGAAATGGTCCAGTCAACACAGGACTCGATTCCATGGACCGGGCCTCCACTTGGAGCTGCCCCATGTCCGCCAGCAGCTTCAGCGCGGAGCGCGTCTCAGCGCAGGCGCCCAGCGCGCTGAGTGCGGCGTTGCAGCAGATGAGGCTCAGCTGCACCTGGCATGCGAAGCACCTTGCAGCTGGGCTGTCCGTTTCTTGGTTGACGTTGGGTTTGGGGAGCAAAAATTATCCAAATTTAGCAGCCAAGTGGGGAGTTCAACCACTAAACCACAATAAGCAAAAATCTAAAATGTGTCCCAACAACAACCAAGGTTTTCTGAGGTGTCGCATCCCCTTTGTTGCCCCTTCATCATGAGTGTTGACCTGTATGTGAGCCCCCTGATCCAAAAAAATGAGGCAACCATCCACAGTACCCTCCAAAAATTTGATTTCCTCTTGGTTTCCCTTTCAAACCAGCCGAAACAAATTCCCCTGTGTAAGAAAGATCCACCCCACCAAATGACACCAAGACATACTCCCCTTCCGTGCTTCTCACAGTAGGTGTGCCTAAAACTGGCAACGGCTTCCTTTTGGTTGCCCTTGCCATACCAAAACTGGACTGTCCTCAGACCCCGTCTAAAAGCTTAACTTTTTGTGGGTTAAATGGAAACCTTACTAAACGCTAACAAGATAAAAAGCTAACAAGCTAAGGAACCGGATGGCTGGGAGCCACCAAAATAACCTTTGACTCTCCCAATAGGCAGAATATATCTTCTTGTCTCATGGTGGGCGCCTGGCTCGACTGCATCTCCTCCAACAAGCCCAAGGCGTCAGCCCAATGGCCCCCTGGCGACAGCGAAAAACCACAACTAGGTCCTCCAGTCGAGGGGTTAGAAGAAGTTGGTACCAACTATTGTCTGTAGTCTATTTTAGTAGGGTCCCGAACCCTCCCAACCAAAAAAAATGTCAAAGAGCAGGGCACCTAGCTGGGGGACCTAGTATCAATATGATTATGACCTTCTGTGGGTCTTTGTGCTTGATTCCCAGATGGGTGTTTCCAACAGTGGACCGCCCAAAAGGGGAGAGAAAGGTGGCACCTAGCTGGGGGGCCTAGAAGAAGTTGGTACCAACTTTTTTAGGACGTCTATTTTAGTAGGGGAACCAGGCGAACCCTCCCCACCACAAAAGGTTTAAAAGAGCAGCGCACCTAGCTCGGAAACTAGTCTTGTTTCAAAGGCTGATTGTACAAGTCCATGAGTGTTTCTACAATTGGGGACACATCCAAAACTGGGGGACCTGCTCTTGTAACCAAGACCCTTGCCACCAGAAGCCAAAAGGCCAATGGATGGAAGAACCGGAAAGCGAAACTCACTCCAAACCACGGAAAACACGACTGCCTCGCTTCAGGGCGTTGATCGCGGCGCCGTAGCTCACCGCGTTGGGCGCCACCCGCGCTTGGGGCATCCCGCCTCGGGTGGTGGGGGGAGGAGACCCATTTGTAGGGGGCGGTGAAGGAAAACGAGGCTCACTTTGGACAGAAAATATGGTTTTGGGGATTCTTCCCACTATATTGAAAATTGTATTTTGGGAACCTTGACTATACATATAGGCCAGTGAGAATAGGGAACCCTCAAGAGAATCCAAACAAAAACCACCTGTTTTGAGTTTTGTGGACACAAAGTTGGTATTGGTTTAGGGCTTGAGTACTCGAAGTAGACTGTATCCATGGCAGAATCAACAGCATGGATGGGAAACTTGGGGTTTCCTCGAACCCCGGCATCTAAATTTCATATCCGTGGCAACAGGGTCCTGTGTTCAGTTTGACCATTGATTGTTCATAACTTGCTGGTTCTCGGTAGGTAGAAAATGAGGGAATGACCCAAACAGATCCATCATTTGGATCCCAAACGGTTCAGTCCACCGGAATGAAATCCCCCGAGCACAACATCGTCACGGGGCACCCGCGGTCAATCCGGCATACGCGGTCGTTTCATCTGGCCCAACAATTTTGCACCAGCCCAGTGCGTTGAACGGAAAACTGCCAGCCGTATTTCCAAGGACAAGTCAAACGATCGTCAATCCCTCGTGCTTTCCTTTTGGGAAACTTGAAATTGGCGTGCTATGCAGCGCAGCGTTGATGCCAACATTGGCACCAACGCTTAGAGAAACGCACATCTTTCGAATAAGGGTGACGTCAGACCACAAGAGACATACTGTGGATGGACGAAATCCTGCACCACCCAAGAAACCCTGGAATGATGATTCCCCTGCAAGTACCAACAAACAATGGTTTCCCATGGTTTCTTAGGTGGTGCGATCGGATTTCGTCCATCCACAGTATTGAGTGCCTGCGAGACGTGTTCTCGCCCTTCTCTCTGAACAAGCACCAGCTAAGCTTCATAGAAACCAGCAGGAAACTACAGCAAACAAAACACGACTTGGCTTTTGGTGGCTGAATTGGCCTATGCTTGGGAAATTCAGCCAAAACACGACTTGGCTTTTACCCAGACGCTCCCAACTCATGTTTCGGGCCCTCGGGCCCTCGCGGGCCCTCGCGGGCCCTCGGGCTGGTTGGGGGGGGGGGGGTCTAAGGCTCGTGGCAACATAGCGCAGATTAGAGAAAGCAAATAGATAGTCTAGATACCGGACACTTAATCTGAACTTAGTAATTATCTACTGTTTCTTTTACTGGGAAGAGATAAAGACAGATAAAAATAACAAATAATAAAAGATCAAACAAAAAGATAAGACAACAAATAGAAAATAAGATAACAACACACAGTTAAAACAGCAGAATTTATGTAAATAACTTGCAAAGAGCTTGCCCTTCAGCAGAAGAAACGTTGCAGCCGGGTGAATCAACAAATGAAACTTTCGAGCTGGAATTGTGGAAGTGTCAAGCACTGTTCTCTCGCTACAGAGTTACAAGAGCCCCCGTTACATACCTCCGTACCAAGGTTCGCGCCGCGTCGGGCTTTGCATGCCCCTTAAAAACCATAGCCATGTATAATCATAACCCGAACAATGACATCATCCTGGCGCAATACAATGTGGACCTGGTACAAAAAAATGCGCGTCTGAGAACCCACAAGCATAATAAAAATAACGGGGAAGGCCGGGCTTTGCAAAGAAGAGGTTTGGAGGGGCCGCGTTTTCCATTTAGTTTGGGCTGATGGTTCTAGTTTCATTTAACCCGCTTTTCCATCTAGTTTGGGTTGGTGGCTTGGAGGGCCGGTTTTGCATTCGTTTGGGTTGCTGGTTGGAGGGGGCAATTGTTTCATTTAGTTTGGGTTGGTAGTTTGGAGGGGGCCGCTGTTTTCATTTGGTTTGGGTTGCTGGTTTGGAGGGGCCGCTTGTTTCATTTAGTTTTTGGGTTGTTTGTGTGGAGGGGCCGCTTGTTCTATTTACTTTTGCTTGGTGGTTCCAGTTTCACTTAATTTTCGTTGGTGGTTTGGTCGGAGGGGTCCGCTTTTCCATTTGCTGGTTTGGAGAGGCCGTTTTTGACATTATGTTTGGGTTGGTAGTTTGGAGGGGGCAGTTTTTTCCATTTAGTTTGGGTTGCTGGTTTGGAGTTTGGAGGGGCCGTTTGTTTCATTTAGTTTGGGTTGGTAGTTTGGAGGGGCCGCTGTTTTAATTTAGTTTTGGTTGCTGGTTTGGAGGGGCCGCTTGTTTCATTTAGTTTCGTTTGGTTGCGTGGAGGGGCCGTTTTTTCTATTCGGTTTGGGTTGGTAGTTTGGAGGGGGCCGTGTTTTCCATTAGTTTGGGTTGCTGGCTTGGTTGGGTTGATTATTTGTTCCAATTAGTTTGGGTTGATGGTTCTAGTTTCATTTAATTTGTCTTGGTGGTTTGGAGGGGGCCGCTTTTCCATTTACTGTAGTTTGGGTTGGTGGTTTGGAGGGGCCGGTTTTCTATTATAAGGTTTGGTTGCTGGTTTGGAGGGGCCGCTTGTTTCATTGAGTTTGGGTTGGTTGTTTGGAGGGGCCGCTTGTTTCATTTAGTTTTGGTTGGTTGTTTGGAGGGGCCGCTTGTTTCATTTAGTTTAGGTTGGTGGACAGTTACGCACGTTGGGTCGCTCAATTCATGCTTCTTTACTTGCGAATTTTGGAAGAAACCAACTAGGTCAACATCCAGGGCCCCTCGAATCTGAGTTCCTGGGCTGGGGAGATTGAAAGACCGACAAAAGGGTCAAAAACCCGGGTTGTGAAATCCTAGTTCCTGATTTGGGGAGACCAACAAAATTCAAAACGCTGAAAATCCCGGGTCCCCTAAAGTGATGTGTCTTTAATTGGGGAGTTCAAAAAGTTCAAAATCCCGGGTCCCGAAAGTGATGTTCCGCCGGGTGTTTCTTTACTTGGGGAGTTCAAAATCCCGGGTCCCGAAAGTGATGTTTCTTTACTAGGGGAGTTCAAAAAGTTCAAACCCCACAGTGATGTTTCTTTACTTGGGGAATTCAACAAGTTCAAAATCCTGGGTCCCCAACGTGATGTTTCCGTACTTGGAGAGTTCAAACAATTCAAAAATTTAAAATCCCGGGTCCCAATAATGATGTTTCTTTACACGGGGAGTTCAAACAGTTCAAATGCCGTTTTTTTGCGCAGTTGGAGGGCCTGTCACTGGCCTGCTTGGTTGGGCTCCTGCTTTGCATGAAGTGGGGTTTCCTAGGGAGGGTCCGGGGCCCTCCCTCCTGAAAGGACCCGCCTGCTTGTCGGATACGGGGCCTTGTGGGCCCCTAGTGCAATACGGACGGGATCAATGGATCGCTGATCGACCAAAATGGCCTCGAATCACACCTCCCCTATCCGACGGTTATCCGACGGCTATCCGACGGCTATCCGACGGTTATCCGACGGTTATCCGACGGTTATCCGACGGTATCCGACGGTATCCGACGCCGGGCCCTCGTAGACCCTCAGTTTTGGGGGCCCCGGCCCAATTATCCGACGGTTATCCGACGGCTATCCGACGGCCATCCGACGGTTATCCGACGGCTATCCGACGGCCATCCGACGGTTATCCGACGGCTATCCGACGGCCATCCGACGGTTATCCGACGGTTATCCGATGGTAATCCGAAGCTTGTTTGCAGCCCAAAGGCCCCCACCAAAAAACCAGCCCGAAACCTCCTACGACCGCGAGGGCCCGCGAGGGCCCAAGGGCCCGAAACATGAGTTGGGAGCGTCTGGGAGTAGAGTTTCTATTTTGTTTTTTGTGTGTGGCTGCCATGCTTTTTGTGCAGTTGGATTTTTTCTAGGCCTGTCACTGGCCTGCTTGGTCGGGCTGCTGATTCTCTTGAAGTGGGATGTTTGTAGTAGGGCTGTGTGGATGTCGCTTTCTTGGCGCAGTTGCTTTTCTTCAGGGCCTGTCGCTGGCCTGCTTGGTCCGGCTGTGGCCTGCATGGCCCGCCTGATGACCCGCATGTCCTGCCCACCGCCCACCGCCCACCGCCCACCGCCCACCGCCCTGCGTGAGGCAACAGCTCTTCGCAAGCAAGATTGCCAACAACATCTGCAGAAAACAGGCCGGCAAAGACAACAACCAAATTAGAAACCAGAAAAAAAACTTTGCGAAAAGCAGCAGCCCAACCAAGCAGGCCAGCGACAGACCCTGAACAAACAAACGGCAGCCGCGGACAACAAGCAATTCAACTCTTATAAAAAAAAAAATCCAACTTTACGAAAAACAGCAGACCAGGCAGGCCAGTGACAGGCCCTGAACAAAATCCAACTGCGCAATAACAAAAAATTGCAGCCACACACAACAAACAAAGCAGCAGCTTTACTAAAAAAACAAGACCGCGAAAAGCAGCAGCCCGACCAAGCAGGCCAGCGACAGGCCCTGAAACAAAAACAACTGCACCAAAAAAGCGGCATCCACACACAAAAAGCAAATTAGAAGCCCTACTACAAAAATCCCACTTCACGAAAATTAGCAGCCTGACTAAGCAGGCCAGTGACAGCATGCACAAAAAGCATGGCAGCCACGCACAACAAGCAAATTGGAAGCTCTACTAAATAAATCCAACTTCACGAAAAGCAGCAGCCCAAGCAAGCAGGCCAGTGACAGGCCCTGAGCAAAAATCCAACTGCACAAAACACATGGCAGCCACACACAACAAGCAAATTAGAAGCTTTACTAAACAAATCCAACTTCACGAAAAGCGATGAAAAGCAGCAGCCCGACCAAGCAAGCCAGTGACAGGCCCCTATAAAAACAACACAAAAAAGAACGCGGCAGCCACACGCAACAAGCAAACTAGAAGCTCTCGGGAAAAATCCCACTTCACAAAAAGCAGCAGGCCGACCAAGCAGGCCAGTGACAGGCCCTGAACAAAATCCAACTGCACCAAAAAAGTGGCATTCAAACACAACAAGCAAATTCGAAGCCCTACAACAAATCCCACTTTGCTAAAATCACCAGCCCGACCGAGCAGGCCAGTGCCAGGCCCTGAAACAAATCCAACTTCACCAAAAAACGGAAGCCACAGACAGCAAGCAAAAAACAACAATCTCGAAGCAGCAGGCCGACCAAGCAGGCCAGTGACAGGCCCTGAAGAAAAACCCAACTGAGAAACAAAGCGGCAGCCACAAAGAAACCCAATGGAAACAAAACACTTCACGAAAAGCAGCAGGCAGACCAAGCAAGCCAGTGACAGGCCTTGAAAAGAACCAACTGCACAACAACCAAAAAAAACCGCCAGCCACACAGAACAAGCAAACTAGAAGCCCTTCGGAAAAATATTGCTTCACGAAAAGTAGCAGCCGGACCAAGCAGGCCAGCGACAGGCCCTGAAGAAAAGCAACTGCGCCAAGAAAGCGACATCCACACAGCCCTACTACAAACATCCCACTTCAAGAGAATCAGCAGCCCGACCAAGCAGGCCAGTGACAGGGTTAGAAAAAATCCAACTGCACAAAAAGCATGGCAACCACACACAGCGAACAAAATAGAAACTCTACTCCCAGACGCTCCCAACTCATGTTTCGGGCCCTTGGGCCCTCGCGGGCCCTCGCGGTCGTAGGAGGTTTCGGGCTGTTTTTTTGTTGGGGGCCTTTGGGCTGCAAACAAGCTTCGGATTACCATCGGATATCCGTCGGATAACCGTCGGATGGCCGTCGGATAGCCGTCGGATAACCGTCGGATGGCCGTCGGATAGCCGTCGGATAACCGTCGGATAATTGGGCCGGGGCCCCCAAAACTGAGTGTCTACGAGGGCCCGGCGTCGGATAACCGTCGGATAGTAATGCTAGGGGAGGTGTGATTCGAGGCCATTTTGGTTCCATCCATCCCGTCCGGATTGCACTGGGGGCCCACGAGGGCCCCGTATCCGACAAACAGGCCGGTCCCTCCCTAGGAGGGCCCCGGACCCTCCCTAGGAGGGCCCAGGAGCCTCTGGGTAGTGGCTTAATTGACCAATGCTTGCTGTAGAAATCAAAAAACCGCGGGTTTCTATCAAAAATGTCCTTAGAAATGCTGGCTATGGGATAGAGAGTCTATCGGTCCGAAAGCAAAGTCCATCTGCCGTCGAGGGCCAGACCAAACAAAGCCATCCATCGCATGTGTCAAACGGGGACCGTTTAAAGAATCGAGCGCATTGAAACCCAGAAAAGGTACCCTCAAAAACAGGACTTAAAGGACTACCCTGACAATACCGAGGGACAAAATCAATTTCGCCCCGCCTAGGAAACCTGCAATGAGGATTCCCCTGCAAATGCCAACAAACAATGGTTTTCCATTGTTTCAAAGTGGTGCGAACGGATTTCGCCCATCCACAGCATTGCCACCAAATACCCATTTATGGGACTTCCCTTCATACGCTAGTAACATCCGTTGCTCAAATGGCCGCCACGAACCAGGTCTCCAAAGGAGGTCGCGAAAAAAAACTAGCCTGAACAAGGGCACCAACTCAAAACCGCACACCCAGGGCCCAATCCTATTTGCCATTGGGTGTCTATGGTGTCTCACAAAAGCAAGTGGTATCCGGGTATCCACCTGAATCATGCTCGACGTCACTCATATTTTCTCACATTCTCATTGCGATCGTTGTCAGCTTCCAGACTCATGTTCGAATCTGATCACATCTCGAGACAATCAATCGAAGCCGAACCCACTTCCTTAACAGGCTTTCCTTCCAAACCCCCAAAAGGTTGGGTCCCAACCAAAAAAAAAATACACAAAAAAACACAACAAAACAAGAAAAAGAAAAAACACTGGCCAGTGTTCTCCAGAAATGTCCGCACAGGACTCCCATCCCCAGCCCCGAATTCGTTCGCTTCAGCGCCGAGGCGCGGAGGAGTGCCACTGCTCGGGGCCACTGGCTGGCCTTGCCGCAGGCGCTGATGCTGGCGCTGAAGGCAAAGACGTCGCACTGGGACAGAGGGGAGAAGGGGGGGGTGGGGGGGGGGGTGGGGGGGGGGGTGGGGGGGGGGGGGGTGGGGGCGGGGGTGGGGAGGTTTGGGGGTGGGGGGCTCAGGGTTTTGGTGGGATTAGGGGCGGGTTGGTGGGTTTGGGGTGGGTTTGGGTTCAGGGTGGGGGTGACTAGGCCCAAATCGCATTTCCATTTTGGGGTCCTGGCTGCTGTTCTCGTTGGAAATGTGGGTCGAAACCCTCACCTAAGAGGAAAACCATCTCCAGGCACCCTTCCACTGGTGATATGTTTGTTGGAGGAAGGTATGTGTCAAGATTGGGATTTGGAGGCCCAAAACGCTGTGGGGGTTCCATCGGGTTCCCCAACGTGAAAACCACCCAACTACGTTCAACCCATCATGGACCTTTTAAGGAGAAGCCTGTAACACGGCTTTCTGGGATAGACCACCCCCCAGTTCAACCTGTGTCCATAAGCCTTAAAAATGGGAATGGTAAAACCATATTCAGACCTGAGGCACCCAACGTGTTGTTTTTTTAGGTACGATAAAAAGACGCTCGAATTACCGATTTCTGCTCGACCCCCCCAAAAAACGCTCGCCCCCCGAAAAACGCTCGACCACATCCCCTTCTTCCATCCAGAGGAAGGCGGGATTGTTACTTGTATTTTTTCTTTTTTAATATGCACTCGTTTGCGGATATGTGCGCTCGTTTTGCGGATATGTGCGCTCGTTTTGCACTTCGATTTCTGCTCGCTCCTTTTGAATATTCAGCGACCGATCATCTTGGAGGACCGACCAGTCCGGTCTTGGGACAAACACTCGAAGGGAAAAAGTGTACGTTTATCATATTTTGGTGACGACCCCTGGTTTTGCAATACGTTTGGGCTAAGGGCAGAAATTTATGTAACGAAGGGTGCTCCAGGGACCATTGAATTTAGGCGTACCACCTATGTAAGCAACCCTGGAATGATGATTCCCCTGTAAATACCAAAGAGTTTCAAAGTGGGGCAGGATTTCGTCCATCCACAGTAGGTGAAGGGGCTAAGCTTGATTAGAATGGGGATGTATGGTACAAAAACCGAAATGTTCAGTCATGACTTTATGGGTTATAATAATGTCGGCAAATAATTCAGCTGTGTTTTGTAGTCTTTAGGACGTTTCATACGTAAGTCCAAGAAAATAGAATCGCGAAAAAAAACTGGGTTCTCAAAGAGTGTTGCATAGAAACCACGAAACATTGCACGATGCTTGAACTCAAAAAGTTGACACGGCCCTGTGAACTTATGGCTTGCCACTTTTTGGGTGTAAAGTCCCACAGACCTCAGGGAGAAAGCAAAAACAACAAGCTGGGACAAAATTGCTCGCAACTAGCGACCTGGTTGTAAAGATGTATAGTCAGCTTCCCCGTACTTGGTGGTTTGCTGGTCAGGGGACGGATTCCCATTTACCCTCCACAAGAACCAGGGGTTCAAATCAAACCATCAATCTAAACCACTAATTACGCAATTAGGGGCTGCCTGATATATGGGACGTGCTTGAGTTACCAAAAGGCAAACGGCGAGTAGTAGAGCCACCACCTGAAAAGGCCAGTAGGTGTTGCCTACCCTCGGAAGGTTGCTTTCGAACCTTGGGCAAAGACCCCCGGATTTCCATGGAAAAAAGAGACGATCCGCCCTCATTGTGCGTGGGTAGCCATGAGGCGAAAAAACAAGAAAAAGGGCGGCCTGAGGTTCTGGCTTGGACCCGGGGCTTCCAAAGGCCCTCAATCAAAGTAACTCTTGGTCGGTGGTTTGGGGGTGCAAACCACTGGTTCTTGTAGAGGGTCAACGAGAAACCACCAAACCACCAAACCACCGGGCTCCAAACCACCAACCTGGGGGGGGGGGGTTGGCTCACTCAAAGCCAGCGGCCTGCGCCATCGGCCAGGGGAACCGACCCCCCGCCTTGGCTTCGGCCAGCGCCAGGGCAGTCCGCCAGTCTCTGCCCGCCGCCGGCTTGGAGCTCGTCTCAGGGTGATGAACTATTGATCAACCAGTTTATTCACCCGGAGTTCTCATTATCACAGGAATGCTGCAGTGTCCGTCTGTATCTTGATCTAAGGGTTTCTCAAAACTTTGTCACTTTGTGAGCCATCAGCATGAATTGACTGAGGGCCTGTGATCGCTTAAACAAGGCTTTTCAGGTTCTTCCGCGAACAGTTATGCGGAAATTTCAGGCATTCTTGTGGGTAGAAAGCCACGTGGGGTTTGGGGAATGAGCCGGCGTAATTGAATCCAGGAAGCCAGTTGGGAAGCCAGATTGGATGCATTGCAACCGTTCCCTCCAGAACCAGCAAGTGGACATCTGGCGTACTATGCTCCACTTCGATCACTTCACCGGCAGGATTCGATTGGTGCGTGTCCGCCTCTGGGAAGAGGAAACCGTCGCTGCCTTGACAGTGTAACACCTTTGGGTGATTGCTGCCAAATGACCCGCACATCCGACATTTTCCGACCTTCCCAATTTTCTTCAAACTAGGAATCGATTGCCCGGAACTTTCCATTCCGCCATGGGAATCGATCAATGTGAATGGGAGATGAAAACGCTGCTTTTCACTTCGCCGAAGGATCACCTTTCTCGGCCCCACTAGAAAATCCCATTGGAGCCTCAGCTCCATGCGGCTCGAGTCCGGTTTTCCGATTGAGGCTGCAACTTTGGAGGCCGCAAAACAATTGCGGAGATGGGGGCCGTTGAGGCTCTAAGGGCTCAAACTACTTGGTGAATTGACCAATTGATGGCAGATTTGTTGTCACTTCAAGACTTCCTGAGTGGATTGGCTCAACAAAAGCAACCACACTTGTTCTTTGCCAACATGGTCCAACCCCAGAACGTGCCTAAAGCCCACGCGGCCTCGGGACATGAGTCATGAAGCAACTAATCCGGGCTGTCCACTTTCAGATCCGCTGAAAGTCACTACCTTTTGGTGGGTGAACTGAAAATCCGACCACCAAACACTAAAAAGGACCTATAAAGAGCTAAAACGAACCAAAAGCGCTAAGGAATCGGATGGCTGGGAGCCACCAAGTGGGAGCTCAAGTATCCCTGGCTCCCAACCCCAACGCATGCATGGCCTCCATGGCCATTCAGACGAGGCGACGCTGGCACCGCCGCACGCCGCGAGCCGCGGGAAGCCTCGAGCCCGTAGCTGGCGGAAGACGCCTCTCAGGTTGCCGCTGGAGATTGGGGGGGGTCCCAGTGGTGTCTGAGTGGTTTTCGAGGGTTTCCGAGTCAAATTAGTGGTGTGCCAGGGTTCAAGAGTGGTTCCCCCTTTCATAGTGGTTTCTGAGTGCCATCCCACTGAGGGGCGTCCCATCGCCAGAGGCGACCTTCGAACGGAACCACTCCGCTCGGGCGCAGGGCTTCGGGCGGTCTGACCCTTGCTCCTTTTTCCACCGCGCGCATGGCCGGCGTTGGCATGGGGAAGGCAACTTCCATTTGCGCTTCCGCGAAAGAATAACGCAGATCCCAAAAGTGATGTCATGGGAAAAATCATAGTAATATCCTGAAACATATTTTTTTCACCGATCATGAGTACACGTGAGCACTTGCTTGTTCAACAAACAGGGAGCAATGAACTGCTGCCTTAGGCAAATGGAAGATCATAAGATGCATTGGCGAAATCCAAGCGGCGCATCCGACTTGCCCCCAAAAGACTCGCTTCTTGGGTACTGTGGGCGTATTGTTGAGGATTGGCGCCAGTTCCATCCTCACCTCTGGTCCGATTTGAGACCACAGAGTTTCTTTGACTCCGACTGAGGCCACTTTCGTGGATGGATGCCAAAAGAGATCGTTGCAGCCAGAACGACCCTGAAGTAAATGGACGGTCACTTTGTTCAGCAAGCTGGCGGTTTCCAAGCGGTTGTTCCCGGGCGGTTCCCCTTGGATCCCCTGCTAAAAGTCTATCTTTTGGTGGTTTAGCGGAAACTCGCCACGTCCAAACAAGCTTTGCCCATCGGTTTGATCGCTTCGTCCACAGCCGGACACATCAACTCACGCAGGTGAACTGGAATCGGAGAAGCCATCCTCCTCCCAGATTTCGGTGGTCGCGGGGGAGGGGGGGATTCCGGCCAGAGTTGAGAACCAATTGATGGTACTTTTGGTGCAGCTTCGTTTTCTTCGGCAAACCGAAAGGAACCACCCATTTTCGGGGGTCACCCTATCACACATAGGTATAGGACTCGAGGTCCACTCGGCTCCCAGTTTTGGTTGAAACAACCAAAATGGGATCAAACTCATCCAGTGGCTTCCAAAAGTGCTGCCTTCCTCTTGCAGCATTCCTAAAAGCAACATGCAAACGCTGATCCGTTGACAAATCCACAAAACAGATCAAGCACTCGCTTGGGCTCTTGCACATAGCATGCTATCTCTCATCCCTCTGTTTCTTCCAACGCGGTATGCTACGCTGCTATCGGATGGTGCAAGTTCTCACTTCCTGAGTGGACAGGCCAAAAAAAAGAACCACAACTTATTGTTTACCCCTGAGACGGTTCAAACGCAAAAAGTGACGAAAGTCCAACAACTCAGGGAGTGAGACTTCCTAAAATCCTGAGTCACCATGGGTCGGAATCGTGCCATTGTTTAACTCAATTGATGAGCACAAAGTCAAATATGGCCTCGATGGACTTCGGAACCATCCACAGTATTTGGCCATGGGTCCAAATCCCGTAATTGCAGTGAACATCCCAATCTTCACTAAAATAGGTTCTAAAATGGGTGGTGCACCTACCCGAAAATAGGATCCCTTTGGTTTTGACCCACGGCCATGTATTGCCCAGCATCAAACTCGTTGCTTGCCCCGTCTCGCCGCTTCCATGCCGCGGCGTCATGCCGTTTGCCCGGAAATCCGGCGGTTAAAAGGGACACGCATGAACCTAATCTGCTAGCCAAAGGTGAGTCATTTGAAACCAATCACTTTGGGCAAGGTTATGTCAAGTTGAACATAACTTGGCCCAACCTCATTTTAGGGGACGCAATCTATGAAACCCACGGTGAGATGAAACTTTTTCAGGGTACCCCTTTTGCCAATTGGGCCTCATCGCAAAAAAAAGGGTAACCCTTCTTCTCGTCCTGCCCAAACTGCCAGTGACTCATACCCCCTCTCCACATGCCCGCTGTTTTTAGGGTGTATTCTCAAGAACTGGGGTTCCCAGAAAGTAAATACCTGCTAAGTCAGAAGTTGACATCATGTCGGTGGAGTGATAGGGGGCTAGATGTTTTCACTCCCAATGATGACATGTTCCTTCAAAGTAGGTAGCTTGCAAGGTAGCACACCAAGGGCACCATCCGTGGAAAACGCGAGGAACAGGGCTGATGGGCTGGACGAAATCCATCTCGCACCACCTAGAGGGTATTTACAGGGGAGGCGAATCAAACAAGGGTCCTGGTGCGAAATGGATTTCGTCCATCCAAAGCAAGGGTGGAATACGGTTGGACCGGTGAAACATATTTCCAGTGTTGATGGATTCCCTTTAAAACCAACCGGCGAAAGTATAACATATTCATTTCAGAATCCGCAAATGGAAGATAGTTGGAACTGGGACCCCATGTAAAAGTTGATCAAAAGCTCTTTCACATGGGATGACCAGATTATATTTCAACCACGCTGGGAAAAGAAAGTTCCCCGCGGTCGTTCCGCTGGGGGCTTGGGGGGGCCAAAAAAGGGCTTGAAGGGGGGCTGATGGCTTGTCGGGGGGGCTTAAGGGGGGGTTTAAGGGGGGGCTTAAGGGGGCTGAAGGGGGGGCTTCAAGGGGGCGCTTGGCACCTTTGGGCCCCGTCTCTGACAATTCGTCCGCCCGCTCCTCGCCGCTGGACAAGTAGGATCTCTCGCGGTCCGAGCTCCCAGATAGGGGCAGGTCCGAACCTGTCTGTTGTGACCCAAAAGGAGCCCCTCCTTGAATCCCCAAAAGGCCTCAAAAATTAAGGCTTGGGTTCCTAGGGTTCATTTTCTCACTTGTTCAGTGACCCTGGGAAAAAAAGGGAACCCTTTTTGGGGTTTGGACCATTTTTAGTGGGGCAGCCACCCAAAAAAAAGCAGGAAAAAGGGTGCCACTGAAGGATGACTTAAGTCAAATTGCTTGGCTTTGCTTTAACTGAAGCAATTGCGTTCTGAATGGTTGTCACAAAAAAATCAGGACCCTTTTTGGGTCTTCATCTTCCGAAACATGCCGCTCCAAAACCCGGAGATGTGTCCATGTTACAATGCCCAGCTCCATGCTTGGAATGCGAATGATACATGTGGCTGTGTGCTAGTGCCAAGACACGACAGGCCAACGCCCCGGTCAAAGGCACGGACAAATCATACGTTTGGACCCATATGAGTCACAATCAAAACCCGGTACGACAATGTCCGACCCGAACCATGTAAAGAACTAACAAGGCGGCCGCAGCTATTTATGGCTGGGATAGTCCCTTACTAACCTTCACTTACCCGGGTTTTGATTGTGGCTCATATGGGTGTGTCTCAACGTGAGGGGCGCCCAAAACTGTGGCTTTCAACTTCTGGCGTGACTTCCACAGTGGTGGGCGGGGGCCGTCTGGACTCAGTGCGACCTCCAGGTGGTCATGGGGGCAAGGGGAGGCACCCCGAAACGTCTTTCTAGAAGTAAGGCTTAGGTTTTGGGGGAAGGGACAAAATAGGAACACGTCCTCGTTTTCGTGCCATCTCTGGACGTGTTTGGGGCAGGCAAATCAAAAAGGAACCAGCCAATCTTCGCAAGTCCCAGAAGCACCAGAGGTGTCCGAAGTCAACCTGAACGGCCTGAAGTTGTCTGGCCTGGGCCTTTTTGTAGCTTCTTCACCCCCCGCCCCTCCATCCCCCCAAAAAAGACTGAGCCCCAGAACTCTAACTAAAATAACTAAAAGAGGGGAAGCCTGGATTTGTTTGGAATCCGCTGGATTCCTTGTCAAATCCTTCGGGACTTCCGGAATCCCCATTCCCAAATCAAATGTAAACACTAAGGTACAGTCTTCCCCCATTCTGCCAAGAACCTTTGCATTTATTTATTTTTAGGGGAGGGACCAACATCTGACCCTGTCCACCTTAACCTGGAAGACACATTTCCTGTAAAGAGGATCTGCCAGGAAAGCGGGGGCACCTTTGCTTCGTATATGGGTGTGCTGTTTAATCGGGCGCGCCAAAAAATGATGGGTCGTCCTCTGTGTTTCCCTTAAAACCACGAATATACATAGATATATATATAAACAACAAAAAAGGGTAAGGCCCCCCCCCAACAAAAAAAAAACAAGAAGAAAAAGAAAAGAAGACGCGCCACCCAGCCGCAGATCTTTGATTTTACCAGAACCTCCACCCGCCGCCGACGGGATCGCCTGTGGTGCTCTGAACCGCATCCTCCACCTCCTCCACGTGCGCTGGGTCCGGCGTGCCGAACCTACGGACCAAACTACAGTTCCGGGCTCGATTGAGGAGACTTCCCACGCATCCGGAAGACCAGACCTCAAAGAAATGCCCTAAGTGCAGAAGACCTCAAAGAAACCAAAAGTGCGGAAGACCTCAAAAACCACCTAGACATAGAAGTCATTTTGGAAAAATCCATGGCCCTGTACTTCAATCAAACCAGGGCCATCTGTTTGGTTTAACCAAAAAGCACACCTATGCTCCTAAGACAGTGCATGTTCTTACTAGGGAGCCACCTCTGATTAGTACACTCTGGATTAATCCGAAGTTGAGATGTCAAATTAAATTGATCCAGTTGAAACATCGCTTCCAAATGATTTAGAAAATGACGGTAAACCAGCTGGTCTTTGCATACATCTTTTAAGGAACCCTGTGAAACATCTGCTTTTGCTCAATACTTCCGGAATCTGAAAGAAGTATTGCAGTGGAATCGCTCGCCATAAAAGGATTGCAGAACCATGGTTAAACAATACTGGACCGTCCTCACATCCCCTTCTAAAAGTTTAAGTTTTCGTGGGTTAAATGGACACCCAACCACCAAGCCAACTACAAACCTAAAACCCTACGGAACTGGACGGCTGAACCGCCAAGAATAGGTGTGTCAACATAAGAAGTGAGAAAGAGAAAAAGGGAGAGAGAGAGAGGGAACAAACGAACGAACGAACGAACGAACAAACGAACAAACAAAAGAAAGAAAGAAAGAAAGAAAGAAAGAAAGAAAGAAAGAAAGCAAGCAATCATGTAACGAATGAAATGATGAAGCGGCGGAGGAAACGGCAGCTGCAGTCGCGGTGCACTATGCTGGGGTTGAGGGCTACACGCTGAAACCAGGCCTATCGCGAGGTGACACCAGAGACCTTGAGGACATCAAGCAACTGCTGGACTAGGAGTGTGCGGAGGCACCACCCGAAAGCACGCCGAGAGGAGGAGAGGAACCAATTAAAAAGACTGAAACAAAGAATGAGAGTGAGAGACAGACAGGAAGATAGATAAATACTTGATAATCAAAAAGGACAGGGAGTGAGAAGAACAAAAAGCGAGAGAAGGAAACGGGGAGGAGACTACCAGGTTCATTCTATAGTTCTTCCATCTTTTGAAACTTCCACCCAACGGCTCTGCCTGTACAGGTACTGTGGACTTAGTATCCTTGCACCTGTCGGAATTGGTTGTGTTATCCCAATGTTCACGGGGTTTCATCCATCCCAACTGGCGCGAAGCGGATTTTGTCCATCAGTACGGAAACAGAAAAGGCTCGCCCCCAGCTGAATTAGACTCCATTGGAAGGAATTCTGAAGACTTGCCAAGGGATTTGAGTTGATTCACGGTGTTTGGAAACTGCATTTTCCAGCTCGAAACGCGGTGTCCTGTGCAAGACACCGAGCAACTTTGCTCGCTCTGAGAGGGCCCAGGCAACGAGTCAACGCATCTCACGAGTCAATTGCACAGGTTCGGACAGGAAGGCAACCGAAGGGAGACCTAAACTCACCTGCTGAGTGGATGGCCCAAAAAAAGTCCAAACTTTATATTTGCCACTAGATTTGTCTTCCCAAAAAGTTTAAAGTTCATGAATTCAGGAATTGAGTATAAACAAGTACAGCAAAGGGACCGGGGACCTAAACAGGTAAAGGGATTCGCTTGCGGGACCCAAAGAAGGGCTCGAAAGCCCAAAACGGCCTTTGCTACAAGTGTTGGACCTAGACCCATTGGCCTCGATTTGCTGTTTCGTCCTGGAAAAAAAACAGAACGTATCTCGATCCCTTTTAACACCTGGAAAAAAAGAAAAGAACAAGAGAGACAAAAAAAAAGAAACCCTCATTTCAGCCAATGGAAGTGCGTTTGCGGATTTTAAAATGAAACTAAAAGGACCACCGCCCCACCTTCAGCCACTGGAAGCTCGGGTTTCGGACATGTCCTTTTGGAAAAATCGATGGATGTCCCTCGCAAATGGGGCATGAAACTCATCTATACTCGTGGAACCCATCTATTTCTACCCGTTAGGAACCGATCAAAAGGACACCTGCGTACCCAGCAAACTCGCCTGAACTCCAACGAGGGTAAAAAACAAAGCACATATCATCCATTTGCTTAAGTCCAAAAACAAAAAATGAATCTATGTTCATTAGTGAAATCGATTCCCTCGAAAACGAGGGGGACATAAGCCATACTTGTGTTCAGCAAATGGAAGCAAGCTGTGCGTTTCCGATCCCCTTCTAAAAGTGACCAATTCATTTTGTTTTTCGCGTCTTCAATTCGCTTTTTTATTTGTATTTTTGTTGTTGTTTGTAAGTGCCGCCAAATTGAGGAGCTTTTTCACTGAGCATGTGTGGGTGTGATATGACATGCATGCCGAATTTTCTCAAGTTGATCTCTTACACACAAAGAAGCTTATAGAAAATAAGTGACCAATTAACTTCTTCGGGGCTTGCATTCGGAAGAATATTTTTTCTAGTGCTACCAAATAGAAATCGTCCGAACATCGACCCGGTGGGTCGGCACCGACTGGCCTCATTATTCTACCATGGCCAAAGTCACCCCCTAAGTTGTGGGTCAAAGGGAAACAACCCCTAAACCGGCAATAACCCGTTTTCTGACTTTGATAACTCCCAGAAACCATCAAAACAATGACCCCAGAATTCTGCAGACAATTCCGCAGACCCCCCACTCCAAATACCCTTTTGTTTAGGGTATGATGTCGACCTCCCTAAGGCTCATGACCCCTCCAATGCAGGGCCCCGGGCCCTCCAATGAAGAACCAGGGCCCTTGAAAACAACCCATTTTGAGGATTTGCCCAAAAACAGTCGGGAGCCTTAGGGCACGTAGTATTGCCAGGGTTCAATCTTAGACCCCAGCGCTTTATTGAATACTAACAATGGCTTCCCGCTGAAACTAAAACGAGTCCCAGAAAGAAAAAAGAACACAAAAATCGGGAGCCTTCATTCCCGGGTTTTTCTGCAAACACATGAGCAGTCGGGAATTTTCTGACCCCCCACGGATCAAAACAGCCTCAGGGCCTTCTGCAAAGCATCGGACCGCCGGAGAGCTTCGGACTTCGGAGCCGAGCCGCAGCGCCAGGGAGCTGCGGCGGTCCGGCAGGATGGCCACGGAGCTGCGCCTGGCGGAAGCCGAGAAGTTTTTAAGGAAGGAAGCACGTCCAATTGTGGGGGATGGCAAAATGAACCCAAGCCTGGCGGCGCCTAGCTCTCTGAAAACCTGGGGCCCCACAACTGTTGACGTACCTCATGTGGTGGGTCAAACTTGAACCACCAGGAACTGGACCGCAGGTAGGGCCGGACGAAAGAAAACCCCAGCGCACATGTGTATCCCACAGTCCATGTAGGCAATGTATACCAACATGTGACCCACTTGGAGGGTACGTGTGAGTAGTGCATACATGCATGGTTTGTTTGGGTATACACTGTTTCCGACTTTGGGGAGGGACGTTTTTCTCCATGGCCTCGTTCAGTCTACCGCAGGTTCACGAACGGATTCCTACCCAACGGGAAAAAGAAAGAAACCCTGCGTGAATTCCCTTCAAAGTCAACCAACAGAGAAGCTTTTTAGTACAATCAACCATCAGGGCATGGGTCAAAATAAAACCTGAATGGGACCGCAGGTTTTCTTTTTGTCCATGCTTCCACAACCACTAAACACTAAAAATATCTAAACAGATATAAGAAGCTAAGGCACCGGATGGCTGGGAGCCATCAAATTTACATAAATGTACCACTCAGTTGTTCAGTGACCCTGGAAAAAAAGGGAACCCTTTTTGGGGAAGACCCTTTTTAGTGGGGCCTCCACAAAAGAAAAGGGGAAAAGGAACAACTGAGACCATCAACCCGTTTGGGCCCACGCCAAACGCAAAAACCCGCGGCCGTGGACCCGACCTCCGGAGCCCAAAAGCGCTGCTGGCTTCCCGGTCCGCCGCATCCTGAATGACCTGCGGCCGGCTTGGCATGGGAAAACGGGGTCGAATCTGAGGGTTTTTGTATCACACCCGGGCCCTGGAATGGTTCAAAATAACGCGGTCTTATCCGGGAATGTGCCTACATAGGGGTCAATACCCTGTGTATTTCCTGGGTGTAACACAAAAACCCTTGGATCGAAGGGGTAAAACGTGGATAAGGGGCCTAAGGGGATCAAATCTGCGGTCAGAATGGACACCTTTCCAGAGAATCCATTCTTAAGGTGGAGCCCATATGAATGAATTTCAACCCACTTTGGGGTTGGTGGAATTGGAGGAATTGGATGATGTTTGGAGAGATAATGTTGACCCCATATGAGTCAACCAACCAGGAAAATTCATAGGGGGAGCGCTTGTCCATTTCTGGGTGAAATGTGAAAATCAAACCACTTTTCGAGAGGCCAACAAACACCCTCCTTATTAATTATGGGGCCAAGATTACCCCAATTCTAGAAAACGGCTTGGATGTGGCGAATCTGTACGAATCCATTCCTGGATACTAACAGAGTACTAAGACTACTAAAGAAGGACCAACAGGGGGAAGAACAGGCGAAATCCACCAAAAGCGCATCCAAACTGTGTTCTAGACCAATAAGAACTTTGGTGTTCGTTGGGGTTTCGCTTTCACCCCAAAAAGTTCCGCAGCGCGATCCCTAAGCCATATTTCCCAGCCATCTCAACCATCTCCCTTCAACTTTTAACCCGTTGCAAGAAACAACACAAAGCTATTAAAGATGTGGGGATTGATCAAAAGGCCCTTTACATGGGGTGACCATGAGGGAAACCAAAACAACATATGATGCGTCAACCATCAACCACTAGACAGGAAAAGTTGTGCATGGTCATTTGGGGGCCAGGCATAGTGTGCATTCACAAAGGAGAGCATTTGAAAAACCACTGATGTCATAATCACTTGGTGAACGATTTCATCCAGGGTTGTGGTAATGACCACTTCTGTGAGACAACAAAAAGGGCTTCCCAAAGACTAACACCCCATACAGGAGAGACTCCCTTACAGAAGTGGGGATAAACTCAGTTGCCCAAAGGACCCAGACGTACAAGGTTAACCTTTTGGGGCCATGACTAAAAATAGACCAAGGTTGGGAAACCAAAAGGTCAGATCCGGTCGATTCGCTTTGGACCAACTGAGCAAAGCCCCCGAGTGATCCCACAAGCCTTTCATCACTTTCGCCCTCCCAACTAGGTCCTCCAGTAGAGAGGTTAGAATAAAGGTACCAACCTTTTTGCTGTAGTCTATTTTAGTAGGGGAACCCTCCCCCAATTTTTTTGACTCACCTGCTGAGTGGATGGCCCAAAAAAAGTTCAAACTTTATATTTGCCACTAAAATGGTCTTCCCAAAAGTTTAAAGTTCATGAACTCAGGAAGTGAGCTCCACCAAGAAGGCAAAACGATCATCTTCCTGAGAATCGATCAAGTTCAGAACAGTTTTTGGGGCTGCAGGTTTTAGTAGGGTCCCGAAGCATGGTAAAAGTTGGCACGGCTGGGGGAAGCCAGGGACCTGGTTGGCAATGCCAAGGAACCGCCGCGGTGAGGTTCACGCCGTGCTGCTCTACCAGGGGATTCCTCCCCACCTCAGCCAATTTGGAGCGAACCTGACCTGAGTTCCCTGGCCCCGTCGATTTGTTGGAACCCAAAGGAACCCCCTTTCTTGGATCCCAAGGAAATCAGGAAACAGCCAGGAATCTACATGAGTCATAATCAAAACCCGGTATTCAAATGGTCGTAATCCCAGAACCATGCTTCAAGAAGTTTGAAGGCGGATTCCCGCAGCTATTTATGGCAAGGGGATTGTCCCTTACTAACCTTCATCTACCCGGGTTTTGATTGTGGCTCACCTGAGTCTGGACTGGCCGTTGTCTGATCCCCAAAAAGTGTCTACACACAAGTGAATCAGACTTTTGTTTGAATCAGACTCTTATTTTGGCGGACGATCGTACATACGACAAAGTTCCCATTGAAGCCTTATCCAGATTTCGATGTCTCATTTCCAAGGTTGCCATTTGGAAGCTTTCCACTGGGGATTTTCAGGAAGTAAACCCACATTTGGCTTTCGGTTTCCTCCTTCGGTTTCCTTTTGATATCCTGCTGAGGCTCAAGCCCAAAGGACGGGCTTGAAGGGTTTGGACGGGGGACACTTTCGTGTTCCGTTTGGGGGTCGATCAAAAGGTTCGTTACTTGGGATGACCTTAGCGGAAGTGCACTGGAAACATGATAGTTCAACCACTAAATGAGAAAAGTTACCCATGGTCACTTGGGGGCCGAAGGGAACTCGGTTGCTTTTTGCTCCCCTGCTGAAAGTTTAACCTTCAGTGGTTTCATGGAAAACCCATTAGTTGGCAAAAAGTTAAAGTCCTAACATCCAAGCAAGATGCACCAAAGGGAATATTGACCAACCCTCTCAAAAGGAGTCGTGACAAAACGCAACAAGGAGGGCCATGTTTTGCACAAACCTCACCTGATTGGCTCTAGCAAACCCGGCCAAGCTGTGAAACCATACAAGTACACAAGCTCTTTGAAAAAAGCTGTGCTTGAATCTGAGTCTTCCCCAAATCTTGTACATTTGATAGTTGCCCCCAAACATCTGGAAACTGCTTAAATGAGGGGTTCACCTCTTTTTTGGGACCTTGCCGAAACATTGCCACTGAATGGGTCTGTCTTTTCTTGAGGGTGCCCCCCTTTTGTTGGTGGCTTTAAAGGAACATGCTGAGGAAAACCGAGGCCATGTTGGAGTCCCCCAAAAAAAGACAGACCCAAATAGGCCAACCCAACAGGTCAAAAACCACCATTGTGGAAGTCACCCAGAAACAAGACAGACCCACGCGGGAAAACCAAACCTGGGCTGCCCTCAGATTCCTCGCTACAAGTTTAACTTTTAGTGGGTGAAATGGAAACTACCACTAAACACTAATAGGCTTTAAAAAGCTAAGGAACCGGATGGCTGGGAGCCACCAAGAAACAAGGTCTGAAACGCTGGGTTTTGGGTCAGTGGGCGCCCCAAAAAAATCGAACTTCCTTCCAGTTTTGCTCCATCTCCGCGATGCGCCAGCAGCGGCTTGAGCACATTCCTCCGGAACTTCACTCCCACGGAGTAGCACACGCCCCCCTCGGAGGACTTGTAGAGGCCTGGCAAACAGTTTGCCGCGTCGGACACGAGTCGTCCCCCGGAAAAAATTGGAGAAAATGGGTCCGGTGGAATCGACTCCCTCTAAAACCAGAAGAAAAACACCTTTTTTCGGCAAACGGACGTCTTGGGGATAGACCTGAAACCTTTGGCTTGCCCGCAACACAAGAAAACAAAACCCGGCATCTTGGGCGGTTCTGGGGAAGCTGGTTGGCCATATTCGGGGCAACACAAGAAGACCCGGCACCCTGCAGCTACTTTGTGGCTGCCGTGCCATTTTGACCATGGCCAAGAAAGCAGGCAGTTCTTGACAAGGGAATCCAGCAAGCTCTCTGCACCTTAAAAGGGCCATTTGGGGTGGTCGGTGATCCCCAACATGTGCGCAGTGATAGATTCCCTTTCAAGCCAAAAAGGGCAAAGTAGTCATAATCAAAAAGACCAACAAAAACACACAAGCTCTTAAGCAAATGGAAGGAACAGGGTATCCAAAAAACCCAAAGCCATATTTCCTTCGTGCCAGGACACTGGCGTCCCCCGGCACGTCGTCCCCGTAGGGAATACTCAACAGCTGCAGTGCGCAGCTCGTTGAGCCTCCGAAGACCTGAAAAAGCGCGGATCATTTTCTCAGGTCAGGGGGAATACGAACGGAACAAAAAACATATTTTCCGACAATCGGCGCCCTCTTGAGGCGTGACGGATTTCAAAAAAACAACGTCACGCCCCAAAAGGGCGCCGATTTTCTATAAATCGTGCTTTTTTACCGTTTGTTTTTTTGTATTGTTTTTTTTAAGGGGGAAACAGTACAAAAAACTAACGGAAAGAAACAAAACACGATTTTCGAAACTGCATGTAGAAATCTAAATCCTCCAGTAGAGAGGTTAGAATAAGGGTACCTTTTTTTCTGTGGTCTGTGTTAGTAGGGGAACCCTCCCCTACTAAAAAGAGCAAAAGGGCACTACTGGGGGGCTCATTCCCCATTCTTTTCAACCATCGTCTTCAAAAACCGATCGCTGTATCCCCTGGGGTTCTGATGGTTTTCTGGAAAGATTCGGATCTCTGGAAAGAATGGGGAAGTGTCCCTAGAATAAACATGTCATCTCTAAACTGGTGGCAAATTGTTGTGGCTTCGGCCGCCAAGTTTCCGCCAAGTATTGAGAGAGCCCAAGGGGCACCCAAACACGAATCCCCCGACGAGCCGCGCTGCGTGCCAAGGCGCAAGCAAGTAAGCGCCTCAGAAAACAGAAGGCACTTGGAAGGACATGGAAACCGAGTATCACAGTTGCAGGTTACAAAGTTCAAGGGTTCAAGGTGGCACAACACAACAACAGGAACCAACCCCAAACGGAGCCCGGGAGCGGGGGGGGGCGGGGGCGGAGGAGATTCATCCAAAAACAAGACACAGTTTTGCCGCGAATCGGGAGCAACTCCTCCGCAAAACTTGCGCAGTTTCGTCTTCTCTTTTCAGCCACGTTCTGCTTGCTCAGGGGTTCTTAATTCAGGACATGCGAGCCCAGGCGCAAATCATCACAAAGGTCGCATCCACCAAAGCCTGCTTCGTGTCGGGCTTGGAATTCTCTTGGTCCACATACCTGGGCGTGAGGCCAGGGACAGGGACGCGCAGGAGTGAATGGGGACGCGGCCAATGGCTTCAGCAGTGGCAACAAAAAGCCGATTAGCTCGACAAGGCGAAGTTTGAGCTTCGAAATGGAAGGTGTTGGGCCTTGAATGTGGGTGTAAAACCCGCAAACCCACGCAACGTTCATTGACTCGAACCTTCGCGAAGTGTCGCCAGGCCAGTGTCAAACCCTGGGGCCCATGCGAGAGGTAAACCACGAGCCTTCGCGGCCTCTAAATGTGTCGCACAAGTGCCTTCGCGGACCGTATGCGAGTTTCCCCCCCCCCCGAAACAAAGATCCATCATTACACCGAATTCAGAATACACCCATGCTGCTTATACCAGCATCCCCCAACAACTGCCATTTTCCCATGTGGTTGTGGGTCAAAAATGGGTACCCAAATCTGCGGCCTTTTGGTGGTTTAACTTTGACCCACACTGGGTCAAACCCCCAGTGCCCCGGTGAACATCCAGAAAGACTTCTAAAAAGACAGTAGTGGAGTGGTAACCATGACCTAGTGGAGTGGTAACCATCCCCATTTCCATGACCAAGGACTCAAATCTGCGGCCTGGTGGAGGCAAATTTTCCAGGCTTCCATGTTGGCGACCGATTTTTGACCCACTGCCCTCCTGGCTCCGGAGTCTCGAGCGGCTCGCCCAGCTCCAGGGACAAGACCAGCCTCGAGCGCGGGGAGTCAGGGGAGCTTTCCCGAAGTCCAGAAATTCTGAGCCGTGGTCTCTGATGATTCCCCAGGTCCTCCAGATTTGAGAGGTTAGAATATGGGTACCCGTTTATGTTTTTCCCGCCCCCCCTTTCGTCTATTTTAGTAGGGGAACCCTCCCAACCAAGAAAGTGGGTATTTTTCTGTTTCGTCGATTTTAGGTAGGGGAACCCTCCCAACCAAAAAAGGATAACTGGGCTGTCCTCAGATCCCCCGCTAAAAGTCAAATGGAAATCCCCACTAAACACTAAGAAGCTAAAAGGCTAAGGGGATGGCTGGGAGCCACCAAGGTAAAAGGGCACCTAGCTGGGGGACCTAGACAAGTAAAGCCCCACGTCGAAAGATCCGCCCCGAAGGCAAGGCGCCCGATGCCACCTCTGAGACCCGAGTGGAAGAGCATGACCTGTCAGCTTCGGTAGATCCAACGAGGGACCCGGCTGAGGGTAAGTCCAAGAGTCACCTGAAAAGCAAACAAAACCAAGCCCAAAATGAGGCAAACAAGTTTAAAACTAAAACAAAAACAAAAAAACGAGTGAAACGAAGCAAAAGAAGAAAAAAAGTAAGCTGAAGCCAATAGAAACTAATCAGGGGCAGGGTCAGAGGGATGGAGAATCAAAGGGGTTTCCCCCTCCCCAAAAAACAAACAGAAGAGGGATTTGCACTGGGTGTTCACAACAGCATGCTTAAAAGTCTCAGAGGCCGACGCTTTCCAAGAAAGGATTTACCCTTGACATAACACACAAAACACTCCATGCTCCGAAACCCCAAACCCTGGCTATGGTTCTGCAAGTCTTACAATACTACGGGTGGTACACGGGTGGTTGCAATATTCAGTTCGCACCACCTAAGAAACCATGGTTGAAACCATGACGTTTGTTGGAATTTACAGGGGAATTGAATCATTCCAGGATTTCTTAGGTGGTGCGAAATGGATTTCGTCCATCCACGGTATCTCCAAAACCTGACACAAGGGATCCAAGCAAAGGATCTTTACCATGGTGAGCTCGTGTTAATCCCTGATCGGTGAGCCCGCCATAACAAATCGACGCAGAATGTTTCATGTATTCCAAACCCACTGGTCTCACCTAAACCCCAAGCCGTGTCCATGTGACTCATGGGGCCCTAACCCACTGGTCTCGCCCGCAACCCCATGGCCATGTGACTCATGGGGTCGTCCCCTAACCCACTCTCGGACCTTCGGTCCGGCCTGGTGCTTCCAGGTGATGAAATGCCGGCGCTCTGCCGGAACCTTGTGGCTCACGCACCACCTAGGCCAGTTTTCGCGCCCAAGCGGAACAGCTAACTTCGATAATTTTAGAATGGCTTGTATGGGTGTCTCGTTTTTTTGTGCCGGGGGGGCCTTCTCGGTTGGTGTTAAAGGGAACGCCAACATGAAAACTGCCATTATTATGTTTATATATTTTTTTGGTGGGGGGGTGGCTAAAAAAGAGACACCTATGAAGGCCTTACTGGCACAAGACCAGGCACCACACGTACCACACGGTTCACACGTGCCACACGCACCACACTTGGCCAGGAATAGGTATGTGTCATGGATACGGCCCGGTTGCCTTCCGTCCCCTTTCCTTGTTGGCTCGATAGGCAATGACGACCAAGGAAAACTAAACCCGGTGGCTTCCTTGAAGGGAATCCCCAACCGTCATTCCAAACGCCCGGACTCGGCCATTCCCTGCCTACCGCGCCAGCAAGTTTCCGGGTGCTCCAGAAAGTTCTAGAACACGGCACAAATGTTGACCGCCCAGTGAGTCCTTTAAACGTAAACAAGTGATTCCTACCCTCTAAAAAACGGACATGCTAAACTCGTTGACAGCAAACTTTTTGACCACACACAAACACATCCCAGACTTCCTGTTTGGCTCCCCAGATACTCCATGGCATATCTACCCACATGCACATCCTTCAAATGGTGGCGTGGATTACCTACACGAGCCACGGTCAATTTTCATATTAGGTTTTGGTGAGTAAGGCATGATCTGATGGAAATTAGGGTTTCCCCATGCCGTCCCCCTTACCATATACCCCTCCAAGGTCGCAGGCTGCTAAATTGGAAGCGAAAGCTGCTGAGACCTCCAAACGAATAGGAAACACACTAGACTGAAGCTGAGTTAAGTATATAGTCTTGCAATGATTGCCACCATCGGTCTACACATTGAGCCCCCACTGTGAAGCAAGGGGGTCGTTTGCGCTTGCGTGCTCCCCTGAGACTCCCATTAGCAAGCTCATGTTGGCCGGGATGGACATGGTCTCCAGACGCTTTTTGCCAGCATCTGCAGCCAACCTTGTCCATGCATCACCTGTGTGCACTGGGCATGTGTTCTCGTGTGCGTGCAGGCCTTTCATAACGACGGTAACAGAGGTGTTTTCAAATAAAGAACAGCACCAAAAGTACCAGGCTTTTTTTAATCAGCCTGTTTCCGCCTAAAAGGGGTGGTTTTGGTCAGCTAACTTCAGGAAAGCCAAAATCCGTTTCGGGGTCTTCAAAAACAAACACACCCACACCCACACGCACACGCACACGCCAACGTACACGCGCAACTGCACGCGCGCTCGCACGCGCAAGCGCAAGCGCAAGCGCAAGCGCAAGCGCAAGCGCACGCGCACACGCACGCGCACGCACACGCACACGCACACGCACACGCACACACACACACACCCACACACACACACACACACCACACACACACACACCACACACACACACACACATGTGGGTCTGTCTTTTTCACAAAATGGCCTCGGCTTTGCTTTCGGTCTCCCGCACACAATTGGGGTACCAACTCCAAAACAAGAAAATGGCTTCGCCGTTCCTTTTGGTTTCCCTTTCAGCACCGTAAAAATCGAGTCCTTTTGGCGTCCTTTTTAGCACCAGAAACAAGTACCCTCAAAACGTGAGACAGTAGCAAACCCACATGAAACATGTTTTTGTCGGTCGCTTCCGCAAAGCGACTTCCGGGGCTTCCCTTTTAAACACCAGAAAGATTCCGGGGGGGTTCCCAACTCTTCTCCCACATGACTCTCGCTTTCGCAAACAATTGTTGGTCGCTTCGTTAAATAAAAAAAGAAAGAAAGACAGAACTCTTCCGGGGGGGGGGGAACACAAACAAAAAACTTTCCGGGGGCCGAGGGGCTTGATGCTGTTGCAGAGCCAGCTCATGGGGAAGACCGCCGCGGCGCGGCCCACCAGGCAGGCCAACATCACCTCGGGCTGGACATGGGCCCATTTTGTTGGGCGTTGCGGGGTGGACATGGGTGGACATGGGGTTTGTTTGGGAGTTGGTGCGACGAAAAAAGAAAAAACAAAGAAACGCCCCAAAAAAAACGGAAAAAAGGGGAACAAAAAAAACGTTGGGTTGCACCAAGTATGAACTCCACGATTTATCGGAAAACAAGAGGCCTGCTTATTGAAAAACAACAGCTGGAGATCACATGGCAAAACTCCTGATGTAGGTTCAACACATCCCTAAATGAGGTAACACCGGTATGTTCAAAATGAGGGTCCCGATTTTCCGCCGTCCGTAGGACATTACAAGGATAAAGGATCGATCTTGAGCAAGCTGGGTGTGAATGTTAACGGGGAACCCTTTATTGGACGGAGACCCATGTCCAGCAATCGCTCTTGAGTTGGCTCCCTATTAAGCATCCCTCAGATGCCCAGTGGCCATGGGGAAAACGGGCATCATTTGTTTGGTTTAAAGGGAACCCTTCCCAAAAAAAAGGAAAAAAGGGCACCACTGGGCAACTGGGATCCTATCCACGTACGTCGGTATGCCATATGAGTTCCCCAGGCACATCATAAGTTTGTAGGGGTACCTACAACACCAGTTCGTCATCTCTACTCTTGGTATGGTAGCAAAAAACTTTGTTTTTTGCAGACCCCCAGTAAAAATGAACAGAACCAAGAAACCAAAAAAACAAAAACAACATGCCAAGAACAGTGAAGTCGTGTTGGTTGATGTTCAAGGCACTTCGGGCTCCCTTTGTCGCAGACGGGCAAAGGTGACTCAGCTTGGCACCCAGAGCGACAGCAGGAGCCCATCCTGGGCGCAGATGTTTAAAGAACCAACCCCATGTTCTATTTTGAAGGGAAACTACAAGGAGGTAGCTTGAATCTAGTGTTCAAAGGAACAAAAAGAGGGCCAAGAGGATGTACCTGCTGCCTCAAATTTTCGGAAAAACATCCTTTCATTTTTCCAAGCGGTGCTGAAAACAGAACATGTTAGGGGCCTCAGGTAGCTTGAGCCCGAGCGGCTTTTTTCCATCTTCCAATGGGCTGGGAAGGCTTTCGCCGGGGAGCAACATCTGGCTGTGGCAACCAAAATTAACCGATCGGAGGGGCAAGCCGCGGGGTTTGGTCGTGTCCACTTACTGTACCAGGGCAACCCATTTTGGAAATTTCCGGTTTTTTGAATTCGCCACAGCCATCTGGGAATACATGGTGGGCATCCTTGACCAGATGGTCCAACTTGTTTGGAGGGGAATCCTCATTCAAAAAAATGGCCTGAATCTGAAGGCTACTTTTCTGGGCCGTAGGTTCTCCAATTCCCTGCTACAAGTTCAACTTTTGGTGGGTCAAATGGAAACCCACACTAAACCCTAAAAGCTACAAAACCCCGTGACTCCCTGACATTAAGGATATCCGTTGGGCTTCCCTTTGAAACCACAAACAAAAAGGCACCAACTCCAAAACAAGACACACCCATGTAGGCCTTAAAAGAAGAACCCTTCTTAAACCAGGTAGCCCAACCACCTATGGCCCTTTGGGATCGCTGTCGTGGAACATCCATCCAAACCTGGGACATGATGACAACGTGTTGCAAACGTCACATGGACCTCTAGTCTGCCCCCTACGAATTGATATGGAACCCAGAAACCATAGGAAACTCCTCTAGCCTTCTGCCTTCTTGGGTTCCACGATCACACCGCAAGTAGACTTGAGGGACCCTCCCCGAATTTCCCTCTGCACAGTCCTTTTGCACGTGCACCACCATCATGCCACAGCAAAGGAAGATGATGGTGTCCTTGGTCTCACGGTTGCAATATGCTGCCCGCAATGGAGGGACCCCAGGCAATTTGCCTGGGGTCCTTTTCTAAAAAAGGGTAAAAGGGCACTACTGGGGGACCTAGTTTTGGCTTCCCCTTGAAACCACCCCAGAAAGGCGCACCTCGAAGACAGGCCACGGGTCAAGTCTGGTTCCGTCCTGGTCTGGCTGAAATTTTGCAAGTCCCGCGGTACCCAAACCAAGCATAGGCAACTGCAATTGACCGAACCTCACATGCCTTCCGGCTGTATTACGCGACCGATGCGGGTCCCATGAAGGAAATCATGCGGCGGTTCGGATGCCACGGCGTGAATCAAGGGACCCCATTGTGGCGATCTTGTTTTCATTTTGATTTCTTGGACTGAACTAAAACCTCCCCTGAAAATCGAAGCTCCACGCTTGCCTTACCTCTAGTTGATTCAGTCGAAAAAAGGTCAGCTTCTGGTTGGATTCCTCCTTCAAGTCAAAGGTTGCAATTCACTCGTGGTTCCATTGAACCTGCCACTTTTGGAGGTTCCTTTCAAGGCGAATGGCTCGGAAACCATGGTTGAACTAAAACACGAGCCTCAGGTTGCCGAGCGAACGAGGTGCGCCCACAGAGGCGACCTGCTTCAGCAGGAAAGATGCCAGTGTCGTGGCCTACACCGAGGGTTGATGTCACGCGACTCTTACCCCGTTGAATGGGCGGTCCGTTTTCTGATCCCTTACCAAACGTTTAACTTTTAGTGGGTGACATGGAACCCCCCACGAAACCCCCCAAAAAAATCCCCAACAACTCTTACAGCTATGGGGTCTCTGCCTGGGGCAGCTCTCAGGGAGGGTTCCTGGAGATTCG